CCCACTAGCTCGCCCACGCCGAGTGTGACGCCGACCCAATCGCCAACCAACTCGCCCACTCAGTCACCGACTCAGTCGCCCACTCAGTCGCCGACCCAGTCACCTACAAACTCGCCCACCCAGTCACCCACCAACAGCCCGACGCCGAGTCGTGACCCCGAGCGTGACACCGACGGTGACGCCCACGCAGTCGCCACCAACTCGCCTACGCAGTCGCCAACCCAGTCGCCGACCCAGTCACCTACAAACTCGCCCACCCAGTCACCCACCAACAGCCCGACCCCGAGTGTGACCCCCGAGTGTGACCCCGACGGTGACGCCCACGCAGTCGCCTACGCCGTCGCCAACTCAGTCACCGACCCAGTCACCCACCAGCTCGCCCACCCAGTCACCGACCCAGTCACCGACCAACTCGCCCACGCAGTCGCCGACTCAGTCTCCCACCCCATCGCCGACGAACTCGCCCACCAACTCGCCCACACAGACGCCCTCCAACTCGCCGTCGCCGAGCGTGTCCCCGACCCAGTCGCCGTCCAACTCGCCGACCCAGTCGCCCACGCAGTCGCCTACGCAGTCGCCGACCAACTCGCCCACTAACTCGCCGACCAACTCGCCCACGCAGTCACCCACTCCGTCGCCGACCAGGTCTCCCACGGCCTCGCCCACGTCGTCGGCGTCGCCGACCCGCACGCCGACGCCGTCCAGGACCGCCACGCCTACGCCCACCAGCACGCGCACGCCGTCGCGCACGCCGACCTCGACCCCCACGTCGTCGCGCACTCCGACCGCGTCGCGCACCACCTCGCCAACCAACTCGGCCTCGCCCACCTCGGGCCTGAGTCCGACGGGCACCCCGTCCATCACCCCTTCGACCAGCCCCACCATCTCGACCACCCCGTCCACCACCCCGTCTAACTCGGTCACGCCGTCGGGCACCCGATCGCCGAGTCCCAGCCCGCGCGTGGTAAACGGCACCGCCGGCGGCGGTGATGGCGGCGTCGACGTGGGCATCATCGCAGCCGGCGTGGCGATCCCGCTGGCGCTGATCGCACTGGCTGCGATCGGGGCCGCCGCGGCCCTGCTGCTCTGGCGCCGCAGGAACAGCCCGACGGGCGAGGAGGCCCTCGCCGTGGGCGCGCCGTCACTCAACGCAATGACCATCTCGCCGCTTTACACGGAGCGCACGACTACACACAAGAACGAGCTCTACGCGGGCGACAACACGAGCGACATGTTCGGCGCCCCGGCCGCGGCTGCAGGCGGCAGGGAGGACGCCTTCCGCGCCCACACCATGACCTGGGACAACGTCTGAACATTTTTTGTTGTTTTTTTATAACTGTTTTTCCCAATACATTCCCCAACATAGTTGTTAACGAACTTTCACGAGGCCTTGGGTTCGCGGCTCGACCAGCTGAAGGCCCGTGAGACGAAGGTGACGGTGGGCAGTGATGATGGCGACGGCGACGAGTTGGCCGCCGCGCGGGCTCCTCGCTCCTTCGCCTCTGGTGGCGCGGTCTTGTTCCGCCTCCGCTTCTTGTTGGGCGCGGGCGAGGAGTCGGCCCTCGGGGACGACGGCGGCGAGCTGGCGGGCGAGCTCGAGTCGAGCGGCGAGGGGCAGATGTGCCCCTTCTTCGGCAGCTGACACGTGCGGCACGTGTAGGTCTTCATCTTCCGCTTCCCTCGACCCAACTTGACCGCCGCCGCTGCCGATGATGACGATGACGACGACGATGGCGATGGCGATGACAATGATGATGGCGACGAGCACTTCATCGCCAATGGAAATGATGACGGTGCTGATGAAGAGAGTGGTGGTGAGGGTGATGATGATGATGAAGCTGATGATGGCGCTGGCCGGTGGACGCCAGGTTGACGGTGCTGGAGCCCCGGGACTGAGGGGCGTAGGGCGGCCTGCAGCGCGACGAGCTTGGCCTGATGCAGCGGCGCTCGGAGAGCGGCCACGTCCGTCTTCGGCGGCATTGGCGGAGGAAAGACAGCCGGCGTCGCGGAATGCGGCAGAGGAGCGTGCTGGGGCTGGGGCGGGAGCGAGCGGAAGATGTCGCACAGTGACGACAACGGCGGCAGCGTCAACGTGGGAGGACCCACAGGGACGACCGGTGGCTGCGGCTGCGGCGGCGGCGGCGGCTGCGGGTGCACCTTCGCCGCCGGCAACAGAGTCGGAAGCTGGAGCTGGAGCTGGAGCTGCCGCAGCCGCTGCTGCAGCTCGGAGTGCTGCTGCTGGTGCTTCTGGTGTTGTTGTGGCTGTTGATGCTGCTGCTGCTGCTGCTGCTGCGGCGGCTGGAGGTGGTGCTGCAGCATATGGCTCAGCTGCTGCAGGCCGGCGGCGGGGTTGACTTCCGTCGTCGCCAGCACCGGCGGCGGCGGTGGCTGGGTGGCTTGCGGTACGACCGACGCGAGTAACGACAGATAGGCCGCTGTGTTGTGGGCAAACAGCAGCGCCAGGTAGTCCGCCAGCGTCTTCGGCGACGACGTCGCCCACGACGTAGGCACCGACGTGGCCGAGGCAGCCGAGGCCAGCGCGGCGTACAGTTCGGGCAAAGGCGACGGCGGGAGGTGGTGGTGCGGGGCAGTGGTCGCGTTCGAGGTGGTCGTGGTCGTGGTCGTGGTGCTGGCCGACGGCCACGGCGACGTGACGGGCGAAGACGAAGAGGAAGAGGAAGAGGAAGAAGTAGATGAGCAGGCGGCGGCGGCGGCGGTGCTGGGAGGCCCGCCAGTGGCCAGGTGCAGGAGCGACGAGGCGGCGTTGGCGAGCGTCGACGAGTGGTGGGTGGGCACCGCGGCGGCGGGGAAGAGCGAAGACAAGCCTAAGGGCTGCGCGGGCGACGGCGACAGCGACAGCGACGTGGGCAATGGCGACGGCCAGGCGGGCTTCGACGACGACGCCGGAGACGGTGACGCGGTGGAGGCCGACGAGATCGGAGGGGGGAAGAGCGATATGAGCGGGAACGTCAGAGCTCCGTGTGGGGCGACCGGCGGCATTGCGACGAAGCTGTGGCCGTGGCCGTGGCCGTGGCCGGGATGGGCAGCCTCGTTCACGCGGGTCGCTTTGGGAATAGTGTAGTTGTTGGTGGTGGTGCTGTGGATGTGGCTGTGATCGCTCGCCCTACCGGGTGGTCCCACCACCACGGCCTCCCTGTCGTTGGTTTCCTCCTCGTCCTTCCCCTTGCGCCTAGATGGACCCCATCGTGTGCGCATGTGAGTCCCTCTCACACAAAAAAAAAAGAAGCACAAAACCAAAAAATGAGGTGGCAACGTACAGCTTGCGTGCGTGCTTGAGACCGCACGAGTTGCACAACCTGCGCGTGCGCACACGCACACACGCACACACGGTGTCAAAAAAAGTTGCGGAATTTGTGGAATGGTCGCGCGTAGAAGAACTGTTTACGCGCAGAAGAGGGACACAAGATGGTGGGTGGAGGGTAACGTACATGGTGCGGTTGGGTCCTCTTCGCCAGCACGGGCTGTGGACGCGCCCGCACTGGGAGCACGACTTTATGTCGCTGCTGCTGCTGCTACTGCTAGTTGATGGGTTGATGTTGGTATCGGCAGCCCTTCTGGGGCTCACCGGGAACGTAGGCGACGTAAAAGAAGACGTCAAGATGGTCTTCGAAGACGAGGTCGTCCGAATAGTGGGCGGTCCGGCGTAGGGCATCGACGTAGAGGCCGCCACCACCAGGTCTCGGGTGGTGTGCTCGGGCGAGGAGTGGGGCGTGGGGGAGGACATGGGCGAGCCGCCACCGTCTGGACCAGACTGGTCGAGGTCGAAGGGCTCCTTCTTCACCAGGGGGAGAGGCGTCGCCGTCCAGCCGTGGGTCGTGTGGTGGGTCAAGTAGTAGCTCTGGCCCTGGCGAACGTCGCTCTGGCTCATGGCTTCTTCGTTGTCCTCGGGTGCTGGCGAGAGTAGCGCGGCCAGGCTCAGCTGCTGGCGGCGGGGGGCTGGGGCTGGGACGGGGGCCGAGTAGGAGGAGGCAGATGTTGCAGAAGAAGAAGGAGAAGATGAGGCCGGCCAGGAAGTAGATGGCGATGGTGGAGAAGACTCGGCCCTCGCTGAGTTGTACCTGTTCGCCATGTGGTCGTGCTGTCGCTTCATTAAAACGATTCTACGTTTCTTGCAGGTAGCCCCACGGAACAGGTCGTGGCTGTGGCTTGAAGAAGTTTGTGTCCAGTGATGGTGTAAACTGTCTAGCGCCAGGAGCACAACACACCTAGTAGGGAGATGGGCAATGAGTGTTTCTTCTTTTTAAGGCCTTAAAGCGAAGAAGAACTCAACGTGTTTGAAGTGAAGGCCTCCCCGTGGTGATCGCCAGCTTTGGTCAATCCGGAGATCACCACATCTCCCTCACCTACGCAAGATGGAAAGGGCCGTACTGTTTTTGGTGTTCGGTGTTGCGTGTCGCACCCCAAAGGCGCAACAGGTGGCCTTTCTTGGGGCAAAAGATTGTCTTGCGCCCACTTGGGGGGGGGTTGGCAGGAAGCAGGCGAAGATGAGGTGAGTGAGTGCAGGTGATGTCTTCTTCTTCTTCTTGAATCTTAGATTGGATTTTGGCTGGCGTGGGCGCCCAGAACGAAAGAGAGCACGAAAGAGCGGATGTGTGGCGTCGGGACAATCCACCTTGGCATCACATGATCACATTGGCGGGCATTGCAGGTTTGATAGTGTGTAACCGCCAATAGGAATCAGGCAAACATTTCTTGGTTATTTAGTGATTGGCGGCCACTCATCTCTCCGTGTGATCGGTGAACAAATTAAAAACGTGTCCGGTAACCCCCAACTCCGCTGCACAAGACCCCGGTTGCGCTTGTGTTGTTACTGAGCAAAAGAAGACAGCTGGTGATTGAGCTCCACAAGCTTGGCCCGGCCTTCATGAATGTACGCTCACTTGGCCTTGGCTGCCTGGAGCAGAATCTTCCTCCTGTGTGACTCCATGACCTTGAGTTCCATCCTACCCGACAGTTGCAGCTTCTTCATCGCGTTCTTTGATATGTTGGCCGGTCTGCGAACACATTGTTCGGTAAGTAGGTGTGCGTGTGCGTGTGCGGTGGTACGTGTGCGGCTGCGTGTGCAGTGTGTTGCGTGTGCGTGTGCAGATAGTGGCGCACCTGAGGGTGAGGCAGAGCGTCGTGAGGTTGCGGGGCAGGTAGCGCAGGCCTTCATCGGTGATTCGGTCGCACCCAACGAGATTGAGCACGCGAAGCGACTTGGAATGCCGATTGTAGAGATGGACGAGTGCCTGGTCGGAGATGTTCTTGATGTTGTCCTCCAGGCCCAGCGCGCGCAGCGTGAGCGGCAGCGCGGCCAGACCCTCATCGTCAATGTGCTTGCACCACCCGACATTCAGCTCCTACACGCAATTTCCTTCAGCACACGACACACACGACACATACGACACACACACGGCAATAACACCACACACACACGACACACACAACGAACGGACCTCGAGGTTTGGTGGCAGATGGAGAAGAGCCCTGTTGGTAATGGAGGTGAAGGAGAGGTCGAGCTTCTTGATCGACGCAGGCAGGGTGTCCAGCGATTCGTCCGCGATGTTGGTCTGCGAGAGGACCAGCTGCTCTAGCGACGCGGGCAAGCTCACCAGACCATCGCCTGTCGTCGGCCACACCCACCGATGTCAGCCAAAAAAGGCCCCAAGCAACCCCGGCTTGATTGGTTCGACGTACCGTAAATGCGGGAGCACGCGCGGACAACCAGAGTCTTCAAGTAGGGCATCCCGTACAGCGCCTTTGTGTCAATGCGTAACATAGAAACAACAAATAACAAATAAGAATAATTATAATAATTATAATAAGAAACAAGGTCAGGTGTGAGGCACAGGACCCTTTTCAGGGTCAAGGAAGTGTGTGCTCACCTGAAGTCCCGAGTCCGTGATGAAGTAGCACTGTGTGAGATCCAGGTAGACAAGGGACGGCGGCAGATCCCACAGGCTGTCATCTGACACACGGCAGTCCCTGTATGGCCATTGGGGTAAGCAAATTAAAATAGTCATTGATCAAATCAATTATTGTCCCACAACAAATAAATGATAGCCCAAATTTATTAGAAAAATATAAATTGGTGGGTGTGTGTGTGTGTGTGTGGCAACGTACGTGACAGTGAGCTTCTTGATGGTGGGGGGCAGCGAGGTGAAGCATCGGCCGGCAAAGTTGAGATTGAGATGAGAGATGTCGAGCTCCTCGAGTGTCCGAGGCAGGAAGTCGAGCGACGAGATGGCGAAGCACTTGTGGAGCAGGAGCGAAGTCAGGTGCGGGAACGGAGGGTTGTCCACCACGGGCAGCAGCTGCCGGCCCACGTCGCCTGCGGCCGGTTCCGGCTCTGGCTCCGTCGGCTGTGGCTGTGGCTGCTGCGCTGTAGACTCTTCATCGGCATCCTCGTCATCTGACACGAGATCGGGCAGCGCGGCGATCACTTCCGGCGCAAAGTCCAGCGGCGACTCCAGTTCGCTCTGGATGGCGTCGGCGTCGTCGTCCAGCTTCGCCTTGCCCTTGCGCCGACGTCGCTCGGCCTCCTCCTCTTCGCGCTGCTGCTGTTCGGCCACGAGCCGGGCGCGCTCGCGCTCCTCCTCCTCGATCTCGTCCCGCGTCCGGCCCACCACCCCGGAGAGGTTGCGCAGGCCGATGTCGGAGACGAGAAAGCACTCGGAGATGTCGAGGTGCTCGAGCGCCGGCGGCAGGAGCGACATGCCCTGGTTGGTGATGTTGTGGCAGCCGGAGAGGTTGAGCGAGCGCAGGCTCCGGGGCAGCAGCGAGAGGTGCGCATCAAGCACGTGCTGACTATTCGAGACGTCTGCATGACGGTTAGTGCCGTGTGTGTCGTGTGGTGCGTGCGGTGGTGTGTGTGTGTGTGTGTGTGTGTAACATGCCTAGATGAGTGAGCGAAGCTGGGAGGTGCTTGAATTCGTCGCCCATGCCCACACTCCACCATCCAGTGAGTATCTGTGGTCCGTGAGGGTGTGTGTGACGAAGGAATTCAGCCAGGCGTCACGCACAGGAGGACGGAGAGGTGGCGGTTGAGCGGGCAGAGGCGGTTGTTACCAGGGAGTCGAGGTGCGGGCAGTTGGCCGACAGGAAGTCGAGCTGGCCGATGAGATCGTCGCAACTGCGCACTCTAACATCGGCAGCATAACAATGAGGCCGATGAGCACCGCTTGTGGTTCTCGAGAAGAAGACGAGACGAAGCGAACGCGTATGAAGGAGGTCACAAGTCAAGGTTGCGCGTACTTGTGGTGGCGGTAGTGGGAGAGCGCCAGCCAGCGCCAGTCCACGGACACAGAACTCATGAGCCTTGAAGAAGAAGAAGAAGAAGAAGAAGGTGAGCGCACGCTCGAGCAACGGTGAAACGAAAATGGCTTGGAGGAAGGGCGGAGGTACAATAGGTCCTTCTTGTCCAAGAAGTCGATGATCATGGCCCACACCTCGTTGGGCAAGCAGCTCATGTATTCGGGTAGCGACCCGCGAATCTTGAGCCGCTCCTGGCCCTGGAGATGGCGCGGCACCTTGCGCTCGCGCCGCGTAGACGCGTGGTTGTCCGCCTTCTTCCTCTCCACAGCAGCTGTCGCCATCATCTTCTTCGAAGCCACTGCATCTTCGCCGTCGCTGCTACTCGAATCATCTCGGTACTTGCCCCGCCCTTTCCTACCTTTGCCCCTCTTCATTCGCTGTTGGCCTCGTGTAGCGGTCGTTGACGCGGTGGATTGATTGTGATGCTGGGGTGCCCTCGAGCTCTGCACTACGTTGTCTGCAGCGATGACGCTCGCTTCCCGGTTCGCCATGGATTTGGATTGCTGCGCGGCGCGCCTTGCCCGTCGGCTTCGAGCGCCGCCCTTTGCGGCAGCGGCAGCATCTCCAGGCGCATCCTGCGGCACCTCATCGTCGCTCTCGATTTGGTCTCCCTCTGCTGATTGGCGGAGCGCCCGGCTCTTGGCGCGAAGCATCTGGTCGTGTCGCTCCAGCTCATTGTCACGACGCTCGAATCCATCAAAGACCGCTCTTCTGTTCCTCTTCTTCATTTCTGCCCCAGATTCTTGTTCTTCAGATTTTGAAACTTTTTGTTTTTTTGTTTTGCGTTAGGCGAACCGGACTCATTCCGCAGAAAATTATCGAAACTAGTGTTTCTCTTGATTTCTTTTCCTTCTTACTTTTTCCTTGTTGTTTCAACCTATTTTCTCGCACATGCAACCAGCATTGCCGTTGGCCACTCATCTGGCCGTTGGCGTGTTGCACCCACACTTCATTCAACCTTCATATTTGCACACCATATCCTTGCGAAACATGTCCTTACATTCCAGCCAGCCAGCCAAGAAGTCAGCCTCAATAGACCACACCATTCCGATACTGGGCGATGACAAGCCCCTCCAGTTTGTGCGTCGCGGGTCCCTCAACCCCGCCGACCTTTACGCCCCCATGTACCAGGCCAGCTCCGATCCGGCCTCTGCCGCTTCAGGTGCGTACCCTGTTCATTATTATGTTCTTTTTTTCCCTGTTTGCTCACGTACACCACCGTACCAGCTTTGATGGGTCTGCCCGAGGACAAGTCCTGCGTTCACATTGAGGGCGAGATGGAGCGTACACTGCACAAGACGGAGAAGCACCACCCCGACATCATCCTCAACGCGTTCCCTTCCGACGTGGGCGGCCAAGACGACATCTGACCTGAGTGAGGCCCGACGTGGTCAGAAGAGTTGCTGTTTGTACACAAGATGGGCACTCTATTACAAAATACAATCAGCACCAGTATCCGGCGAGTAGCGGGTCCTCCTCCCACATCTCACCATCATCCGCCACACCGCCGTCGGTGTTGTTGCTGCTGCACCCCATTATGGCCTTCAGCTCCTCCTCCTCCTTCTCTTGCTCCTCTTCCTCCTCCTCGTCACCCCGAATCGTCGTTGTCGTCGTCCACTGGCACGCGGCCTTGCTCTCCGTGGCCTTCAGCTTGGCCGCTGCCGCATCTCCTCGACTCGTCGTCCACTGGCCAGTAGCCACCGAGTTGTGTTGAGCGCCCTCATTCAGCTTCGTCGGCTGAGCCCGATGGTGGTCACTTGCCCGCGCGGGCGCCGCCGCCGCCTTGGCCATCGTCGTGGCCTGGCTGCGGCCGGTTTCGGCCCCCGCCAGCACTGGGTCCGCCAACGTATTGGCCACCACTACCTTGAACCGGTCGCCCGCCCACGACTGCCCCCGCGCCTGCGGCTGCGGCTGGTGTTGATTGTCGTACGGGAGGTGGTTGCGCTGCGGGTATGAGGTAGGCGGCTCGGCTGCTCCGAGAGAAAGGCCCTCGTCGGTTGCCGTCCACTGGGCCATGGCCGCGCTCTCGACCTCGAACTCCATCCGCCGGCGGCGGCGTTCGGCGACCGCCCACAGCTGCGCGTCGAGGCTCCCGGCCGGCGGCGGGGGCAGCGGTAGCGGCAGCGGAACAGCTGCTGCGGCCGGCTGCTGCCCGACAGGCTGGGGTCGGCCATAGGCCCGCGGCTGATGCTGGTCGATCTGAAGCTGTCGGCGGTAGTGCTGCAGGAGGTCCTGGTGCGGGTGCGGGTGCTGGAGGTGCTGCTGCTGCTGCTGCTGCTGCTGGAGGCGCGTCTGCTTCTGCCGTTGCAGTTGTTGTTGGATGTGTTGTAGTTGCTGCTGCCGCTGCAGTTGTTGCTTCTGCTGCTGCTGCTGCTGTTGCTGCAGTTGTTGTAGTTGGATGTGTTGTAGTTGCTGCTGCCGCTGCAGTTGTTGATTCTGCTGCTGCTGCTGCTGCTGCTGCTGCTGGTAGTGTTGTTGCTGCCGTTGCTCTTCGCGAGCCTGGCGGACCTGCGCCCGTCGGCGCTCCCAGTCCTCGGCCTTCTTGCGGTCGCGCAGGGCCTTGCGCTCCTCCCGCTCCGCCAGATTCCTGCGCGCTCTCTCCTCGCGCCGCGCCTGCTCCTCCTCCGCCGCCTGCGCCCTCTTCCCTCCGCCTCGCTCTCGCTCCCGCGCTTTGTCCACATCCTCGTCGCCCTCCACCGCTTCGCTCTTCACTTTCTTCATCGCCGCCGCTGCTGTCGTCATGGTTGGCGATAGCACCCCGTCGTCGTCGTCCACGTCGTCGTCCGGCACACGATCATCATTCTCATCGACGTCGTTGTCCCGCTTCCGCTTGGCCCGCTGGTTTTGGGGCTTCGCCTTGTTGGTAGTAGGGCGGTCGAGCGGCAGCCCGAGCTCGCGCCGGGCCTGGTCCGCGCGGCACCGGAACACGCTCGATTCGAGCCACTCGCGCTCGCGCGGCTCCGTGTAGAGCCAGAGGAGGGCCAGGTCGCGGCAGCCGCCGCTGAGCCGCAGCGCCACCGTGCAGTCGGCCTCCGGGAAATTCGAGTACACCGCGAGCCTTCGCGCCTCGGCAGCCTCCGGCGCCTGGGCCACCGCAGCAGCGGCCGCCTGGGCGGCCGGTGACGACGGCTGCGAGACGACGGCGCCACGCGATCGTTCGGCGGCGCGCGCCGTCTGCTTTTCGGCCTTCCGCCTCGCGCTCTCGAACTCCTTCAGCAGCTCGGCGCACCCTGCCGCACGCGTGACGACATCAGACCACATGACACACACACACACACACACACACACACACACACACACCGCACACACACACACACACGACACGACACACACACACACACAACACACACACACGACACACGCGGCACAGTACCGACGAGGTTGGCGAGCGGCTCCCAGGTGGTCTCGTCGTAGCCTTTCCACTTGACCTCGTAGAGCGGCGCCGGCGGGGTGCGGTCGACGGCGGCGGCGACCATGCGCTTGTCGAGGATGGCCTCCACCTCCCACTCCTGGTCGCCGGTGGTCGTGTCCGAGTACTGTCGTCGTCGCGTCTGCTTGGGCGACGGCTGCCTGTCGCCGTCGAAGGCGACGCCCGCCGCGCGCAGGACGGCCTCCTTGTCCCGCGCCAGGAGGCCCACGTGCTGGTACCGCTTCATCCGCGCGAGCCACTTGGCCAAACTGGGACGCGTGCCACACATTCCATTCCATTTTTTGTGTTAAATAAGAGAAAAATAGGGAAAATAGAAAAAAATAGATACATAGAAAGCTTGGAGAGGAAGAGGAGGTGGGTTGTACTCGGAGGTGCGGCCCAAGCGAAGGTGGCCATGCTTGCGCTTGAACTTCCTGAGCTGGTACACGCGCCCTGCAAAGAGCTTCTCGTCCATCCGCGCCGATCGGCCCCTCGCCCCAACATTCTCCTCCTCCTCTCCCTCCTCCCGTTGCTCTTCCTTCGGTTCTTCCTCTTCTTCCCCGTTTCGTTTCGTTGCTTCCGTAGTTGTCGTTTGGCGCGAAAGCGGCTCGGGGTCGACTAGAGGCGGGTCGAGCGGGGCGCGAGATGAAGATGGCGATGATGATTCGGTCTCGCCTGAGCCCCAAGCGAAGCCAAGCTCGTCCAGTTGGCGTACTTTATCGAGGCTGAGGGAGTTCTGCCGCCGGAGTCGTTGAATGTAGGCCGCCCAGCCGCCCAGGCCTTGCTGGTTCTTCGTGGGAACGCAGCAGTGGCCATAGGCACGAGCAAAAGCTCGCAGCTGCTTGATCCTCTTCTCCCACACGCCCTGGCGAAGCTTCACAGGCGCTCCTCCCTCCTGGGCTGGTGTGGAGACGTTGTTGGCTGCAGGAAAGTTGAGGGCGAAGGGGGTGATGTGCCACTCCACACGAATGTCGCCATTTTCGTTCTCATCTTCACTGCTCTCTTCTTCATCCAGATCTAGGCCCTCATCCAGATTTTCTCTTTGTTCATCTTCATAGGGGGTGGTGGCAAGTGAGAAATGAGTCCAAGTTGGTAGATTGAAGAAGAATGAATCTTGGTTGTGTTGGTCCTGCTGGTGTAACTCCATCCAGTGCAATTTTGTTGAGTCAGTGTGATCTGGCAGAAGTTGAAAGGTAGCTTTGCTGTTTCTTCCAGCCAGCTTTGCTCTCCTGTTATTGTAAAAATATTCAAGATATCCAAACACCTTGAGCAAGCCCAACAGGTGCAGTGGTATTAGGCTGCATCAATTGCTTACATTCAACCTCAACAGTATAAATAGCCATGGCATGCATGTTCATTGTGTGCTGAAAAGCCAAAAAGACAAAAAGTAAAGGAGATAGCTTGCCCTCTGCCGGGTTTGAACCAGCGACCTCACGATCTTCAGTCGTGCGCTCTACCAGCTGAGCTAAGAGGGCGGAATGGTAAATGTTCACTTTCGAGGCGGAGAGGCAGTGGCGACTAAACACCAGAACGTTTTAGGACTGGGTTGGCGACTGCATTGTTGCTCCCTCCATCTTTTGGTCGTATGTGTTTTCCACTCGCCCTTTAGCGCCAAAGACAGTAGAGTCTGTGGAGACCATGATTTTTGTTTCGAAAATTGCTCATGCTGATAAAAAAGGAAGGTCAGAAAAGAAGCTACAGGCCTGCTGGGGGTCGAACCCAGAATCTCCTGATTCGTAGTCACACGCCTTTCCATTGGGCCACAGGCCTTGCTTGTTTCACTCATCTTTGTTCCCTTGGGGATGGTCAAGCATCTGGGCACAGGCAAACTTGACTTGCAGGTTATGGTGTGCTGAGCCTGCTGTGCAGAAATATGCTGGTCCCTAGGCTCAGTGCATCCACCCATATGATAAAAACAGGAGGGGCCTCAGTTGGTCAAGTTGTTATTATGTCAACTAGTGATTCTCCATCATGAGCCAGTCAATGCCAACAGAAAATGCAGCAAAGCCACCACAGCCCATGGCTGTTGCTGTGAAGCCAGCTTGTGAGCAAGAGAAAGTCAAGGGTCAGCAGGGAGGTCCAGTGCATCAGGTAAGGAGAGGGTTGTAGTTTGTACCCCTTGAAGCAAGGAGACCGCCTGAGATGCAGCCAGCAATGAGCGGGTTCATTAGATCACTCTTGCCCCGGTACTGCATGTTGATGTGCACCATCAAGAGAGCATGAGGATAAAGTGCTCAGAGTTCATTGAACTCCAGCATGCACCACATCACCACCATGACACCCACAGCTGCGCGTAGAAGGGAAGTACCTTCTCTACGACGCACTCAGTAGTGGCGTACAGAGCACCCACGTAAGCAAAGGCCTGTTCAAAGAAGATGATGCGCATACAGGTCAGAAAAAGGCGCTACTTCACGAAGGAGAGGGTGAGCTGTGGAAGAAGCATCACCTTCATCATGGACACGCCACTTCGGCCCATGTGCTTGAAATGCTCTGCCGTTTGCTTCTTCCACCCGCCCTTCATCTGTTGTCGCAGTCAGCAGTGGGCCGCACGTCCAAAACGTAAAGCTCAACAACGAATGCGTCACACGAAGGCGAGTGGCGCACCTCAACGTCGGGCATGCCCATGCTGGAGGGGCCACCCAAGCTCGAGAAAAAGATGCCCATCACGAAGCCCATCGCGCCACCTGCAAGAGGCGAATGGCGGAGATCAATGATTTCGAAGAATGGCAATGTCTACGAATCATTGAATGAAAGGGGCAGCTCAGATGAAAAACTTGGCGTGGGGAAGCTACGAACCAACAACGAAGGTCTGTACACCACGGAAGGCACAATTTTCGGCAAATCGCGGATCCCAGAGATACTTGATGACGAAGGGCTCCACGAAAGCGTCCAGCTTCTGCTGCCATGTGCCCGGTGGCGCCTGTGGGAATGGGCTCTGTGACTCTTGTCGCCTAGCCGTCTCGGGCTCCCCTTGCGATGCTGCGTCCCGGCCCTCCATCTTGATCACCAAATTGAAAGGAGGGAGGAAATAAAAGGAAAACAGAAAACAAACAACAAACCACAAGATTCAAAGAAAGCAACGATTGGCAGCCAACGTACAAACGATCACGATCAAAACCAAGTAACCCGAGATCGAAAGATCATACAAGAATGGTACTTTCGCCGAGTAGCATGTCGCAGCAGCAGCCACCCTACAACCAGCAGGATCTCGCCCAGGGGAGTGAAGGAGAAGACGCAACGGCGGCACTCATGGGTACGCCCGATCAAACCTGCGTTTTCGTAGCTTCCATCTTTTTTAATCATCCATTGCTGTGTAGGGGTGGGCACGTACTTTGGCCTCTTTGCCTTGGTCATCCCTGCCCGCGTAGTGTACGATCGAACGGCCGCGAGCGTTGGAACCTCTCACCTTTACCGAGGTACCCTCAAGCCTCTTCTTCTTCTTCTTCGAATCTTCGAGTAGTGCCATCCATGATTCGCCACTACTCACGAAATATGATGGCCTACGTTGGCGTGTGCCAGGCTTCCTCGCCACACTGCGCGGCGGCTTCAGTGACCTCGTGGGCGGCTACAGACAGCTCTGGCGGGAGGACGGCCTCAGAATGTTCGCCAAGTACGTTCTCTAGGCTCCGTCTTCTTCTTCCTGCGTTCGCGCATGGGTCTTCGGCCTGGCCTCGACAACGTCTGACTCAGTACCGACCGCTCATCGCGTGTATGATGCCTTCCTCCAGGTGGCCCGCTCTCGGGTTTGCCATCGGCGTGGGAGCGTTTGCGATCCAAGGTATATATATATCTTCTGCGTAGGCCTTTGCGGTGCGATGTAGCTCGTCGTGGTGCTCGCCAGCCGCTTACCAACGCTTACGTTATGGTGGCACACAGAGGGAGCACAGCAGGCGTGCCACCGCCTGCTGGGCGTCACACAGGAGGACATGGAGGCGAGGAGTCACAAATGGCACCTGAGCAAGGCGATGTGCCTCATCTCCACGGGCGTGTTGCTCTACCCGGCCACCATCCTGTGGACCGTCCACTCCACCAACAGAATGCCTTCCTGGTACGCCGCATCCAGGAGTAGTGCGCATTCAAATATTTGTGTGCGTGTGCGGTGGTGTGTGTGCGGTGGTGTGTGTGCCCTTTGGTGTGTGTCCCCTTTGGTGATTACAGCTTCGCTCACTGAGAGAATCAACCATCCATCGTTGGCTATACGTCCAGGACGGTGTATCTTCGAGACAAGGTGTGGAAGGGCAAGGACTACTTCTATAGCGCGGCTCCGCTCTCCTCTCTCTCGTTCCTGGTACCGGGCTGACTCTCTGCGCACACGCACACGCCACAGTAGCACTTCAGCTCCTCACGTTCTCCTTGTCTCTCCGACCGACCAACCAACCACAGGTCTTCTTCCTGAGCGACATCATTCGCGCCAAGGTGCTGCACTGGAACAAGAAGACGTTCTTCCCGGAACTGCTCGCCTCGCCGCCGCAGACCGAAGACGGTAACGTTCAACTTTCTTCTTTCTTCACTTCAATGTCATACCAAGTGCTGACGTGGGCGCCTTGGTACGCGCACCCTCCCCTCTGTACAGAGGTGTACGACGAGGAACCCACACAACAGGCTGCGCTTGTGGGCGGAGCCTACAGGCCGCTCCTGCACCAGATCACCAACCTTTCGGTACCCACCCTGAGCTCTCTTTTAATGCGAAGCAACTTGGCCGCAGCCTTCGAGCACTGTTTTAACATTCGAGTTCGTGCCACGACCACCAACAGCTCTACACACTCTCCTCGATGCTTAGCGCGATGTTGACGGGTCCTATCGACGCGGTGCCTATTATTCCTTCCTCGCCAACACGAGACACAACACTGATGCTCGTTTGCGTCGGTTTTTGGGCTCATGTGTTCGCGCTGCTCAGGTCACGGCGAGGATGATCGCCAACCCGCTGCTCTACGGACCGTTGGGCATCCTCGGGGTACGCACCCCCTTGGCATTTGTGTCTCGCACGAGAGCAGAGTGCGTCCACGACACGCACACGCACACGCACACGCACACGACACACGCACGTTTCGCGATGCTGGTTGGTGGGCGGCTATTGTAACAGACGGTGAAGACGATCTACCGGGAAGAGGGCGTGTGGGCCTTCTTCAAGGGCTTCGTGCCCAACGTGGTCTTCCTCCTGGGCACCTACTACGCCGGAATCAGCGAGGAGGCCGACACGGGCAAGCCACCCCTCTAGAGTGCAGAGACTTTACTTTCACATTTACGCCCCTTGTGCCCAAACAATCTCTGATTAGGCCTATTTGTTTCACACCCACCAACAACCACTTTTGAGTGAGTGCCAACCACACATTATTTACTGCAGTCTGGTTGCACCCAAAAGGAAGAAGAGAGCTTTCCACTTTGGGTGTTGTGATAACTAGTCTCATCACCCATTGACTTGTTGGATCTGCTCTTCTGTGTCAGCCTTCTCCTGGGCCACCATTTCTGACAGACACACACGAAACATGGCAGTGGTCAGCCCAGAAGACATGAAACTATGCATATCTTCTGTCTGGTGAGGGGAAGATTGGGGCGTACCCAATACATGGCGTTCAAGGGCAAAGAGGTGGTCGTCCTCCACCCCCATCTGGCGCACGGCCTGCGCCAGGTTCAACAAATATTCCACATTGCGACCACTCGGTCCTGCAGGATGAACGGGGGAGGCCATCGTGAGCACTCTCGCCACTCTACTTCGTGCTCATGAAGAAGGAAGGCCAACAAAGCCATGGTGATGGTGATGGTGATGGTGATGGTGATGGTAGTGGTGATGGTGATGGTATGGTCGGTGGTGATGGTGATGGTGATGGTGATGGTGATGGTGATGGTGATGGTGATGGTGATGGTGATGGTGATGGTGATGGTGATGGTGATGGTGATGGTGATGGTGATGGTGATGGTGATGGTGATGGTGATGGTGATGGTGCAACGTACCCACAGACTTGTAGATCTGAGCGGCCAGCTGCGGCACAGGCGCACTGCCCAAGAATTCGGGGTTGTCCTCCGTTGCCCGGTATAGGAGAGCCTTGAGTGCGGTGGACCACAGCGCAACATGTGAGACCAGACTCGGCGCAAGAAGAGATCAAAAAAAGCACAGTAGAGCTTAGAGCGGGAGGCGCGTACACCGACGATGGTGGGCTGGTGGGGAGCCTCCTTGGTGAACACGTCCACGAGCTCGCGAGTGTAACCGCCCTGGCCATGCATGACAAATGGCAACGCAACGCAACGTAAGCGCTGACTTTAGTCTTCCGGCCGACGTGCTATTGATTGAGGGGCAGAGCGCCGGGCGACCTTCTCTCTGTAGTCAAGGTAGGAGAGCACTTCGTCGACCTGGTCCCTGCCGATGTAGTAAGCCACGCCCCAGGTGATGATCTGATTGATGACCGCACGACCAAGTCAGCTCCAGATGGTCTTTGGTCGAAGCCAGAGCCGAGCCAGAAGCAGCATTTGCTGTGCGACGTATGTGGGTCGCCGCACCTCCTTCGTTTGCTCGTGGACCTCCTCCACCTTGATCAATGTGACCACTCGCCCAGGCGCACCCTGTCAGGAACGCGTTGTGAGTAGCACAGCCACGAGTCGCACTACAAAGATGAGAAAGATGCAACAGCTGGAGCGATGGAGAGAAGTACCGGCACACCACGATGGTCGGTGCTGCCCTGCCAAAACCGTCGCTTGTAGCCGCGCACGTAGCCGTCCACCCTGCAGCGTGCGAATAAAGATGAATCAATAAATAATCCATTCCGTGTAAAATGAAAGATTGGAAAGAAGAAGATCAGTCAGCAAGGGGAGTGGAGCGGCCACGTGCTTGTTCTCAAAGGGGAAGGAGGGACGCCAGATGAGGGAGCCGTAGCCGAATATCCACACCCCGCCATCTCCTCCGGCACTGCTGGCAGTAAGCTGCGATGGTGGGGCATCAAGCGGCGTTGCGAGCTCCTCGATGTCATCTCGTTCTTCCATGGTTGGGCAGCATCTGCCATAGGCAGGGCAAAGGCGCTAACGAAGGCCAACCAAGCGGAGTGTATCGCCGACAAGAACTGATTATGGCCCACAACCACTGTTTTGGGCTTCCCCTGCGGTCAGCCCTCTTAGCTCAGCTGGTAGAGCGCACGACTGAAGATCGTGAGGTCGCTGGTTCAAACCCGGCAGAGGGCAATCCTCAAACTACTCACTTTTTGTGTCGTGTTTTGACAATTTTTTGAACACGTTTTGTTAACGCGAATGTCAGGAGAATCTGGGCAGGGTGCACATATCACAGCTGCCTTCACTGGTGCTGTTGATGTACGTACAGTGCTGGCACTGCCACTCGGGCAGCCGCTGGCCAACACTGTTCACCAAGTCCACAAAAACGGCTGAGCTTTGGGCCAACAGCCTCCGTGGAGAAGGAGACGCACCTGGGGTCGCCGCTTTGAATCGATTTGATGAGGGATTCGATCTCCTCGCTGGGCACCAGCCTGTTGGCAGCCTGCAGGACCTTGAGCGCGGCTGGGCAATGTCACACAGTAGGCCCCGTGCGCGTGGTTAGCGGTCTGGTCTGGCCATGCTGACCGACCAACAGCATCTAAGAAAAACGCATACCATTGTTGTTGCCCCTGGCCAGAAACTTGCGGCCCAGGGTGGCTTGTCGCTTGGACTCCGCAACGTCGGTAAGATAGTCCAGATGGCTCGCCCACCTCAGGTTCTGATGGTCACCAAAACGGCACGCGTTATCTCGTGTGTGTGTGTGTGTTGTGTGTGTGTGTGTGTGTGTGTGTGTGTGTGTGTGTGTGTGTGTGTGTGGTGTTACGTGCGCGCGAATGCTAGGGCTGCAGTACCTGCGACTCGCACCAGCGGAAGTATTTCTTCCAGTCTCTGTTTGACGAGTCCTCGTGGATGCTGGTCCGATCGTTCAAAATCTAGCCATGGGGCACACGACACGACACATGCGACACAAAGATGTGGCGAAGGTGAGCAGCCTTTTCACACGTGGAGGGGAAAGGATGGATCGAGCGTACCTTTTTGGAGTACTTTTCCCACTTCTTGGTGACGATGTGCTTCCACAAGAGGTTATCGTTGGTGATCGTGTGCCACGCACGACTGACCTGCACCAGGCGGTCGAGATCAGACAACGGCGTAGGAGGTGCGTGCGAGGGGGAGTTGGTTGCACCGTTGACGCCTTGAGAAGGTCGGCGGCGCGTAGGAAGCTGAAGATCTCCAGGATCACTTCGTAGGGCAGGCGCAGCCCGGCGGCCGGGAAGGCCCGCTGCTCTGCCGAGATCGTCTCCTCTTCGTGTCGCAGCTCTACGCGCATTTTGATCAAAATCCCAAAATAAATGCGTCAATAAATAATACAGGATGAATTTATTGGGGGGGGGATGAGCGAACCTTGTATGGTGGTCTGGAGATGGAAGTCTTCCATGTGCTGGGCAGCATTGCGTGCGCCGACGAGACGACGTATATCGCCCATCTTGAACTTGATCTCCCTGAGGGCTGATTTGAGCTCGATCCTCTGCGTCTCGAGCCGTGCCAGCTCGGCATTTAGCTCCTCCGTGCTGCTCTCGAGCAAGCGTGGATCCATCTTCGCGCCCAGCCCAGTCGTGACAACAACAACAATCTTGAGAGGTCGTGTGGGCTGCAGCACCGCCTCTTCTGCTTTTCGCTTTTCTCCTGCGTTCATGAACTAAGTTGCCTCGAGACACACAACACACGACACACAACGCGGTAGAGGTGTCTGCAGCGTGTTTGAACATGCGGTGGCTCGCAAACAAGGTGACTACTGGGCGGTGGCGGGGGCAGAGTCGCTCTCGGGCAAGATGCGGGCGGTGGCGGCGCGCAGGGCCTGCCTCCGCTCCTCCATGAACACCTCCAGCTCGGCGCGCGGGTAGTACTCGCCCTCGTACCACTCGATGTCGTCTGATGATCGCACGTCGCGGTCAGCGGGGTGGACTCACACGCACCACCGCACACGAGGAAACAAAAGAGAAAAAAGAAAGGGAAAGGCGAAGCGCACCGGTGCCGAGCCTGTGGGCGGCCGCCTGGCGCTCGGCCTGTCGCCTCTCCTGCTTGCGGGTCCAGTTCTTGAGCCGCTTCACCCGGCGGTCCTTCTGGTACTTTCCATTGTCGCCTGTGCAAGGCCAGCGCGCACATAACACGGCACACGGCGCGGCATGCAACACACGGCACACGACACAGGAGCGAAGAGGCAAAGCGAAGGTGAGCGAGCAGGCCAGCCTCTGGACACACGGCGCCATGTAAAGTGGGTGGTGCGGGGGGGGGGTACCAGCGCATCGGATGCGAGAGAAGTCGCGAGTAAACACCAAACCAGACGCAGCGAAGCCCCCTACATCCATCGGCCATGGCGAAAAGAGTGATGAGGAAGCAAAATGAATCGGATTAAAAATCAACACGCAAATTAATCTCCGCAAGTAGAAAAATGCATATGTACCGGTGCATGTGTGGGCGCACGAAGTACGGGCCAGGACGGTGGCCGCGGCATATTGGGAAGGGGTGGAGGAGAGGGTTCGCCGCATGATCGTGACTATCTACAAGATATCAAGCGCAAAGAAATGAAAAGAAAAAGAGTGGGCTGGTGGACTTGAGGAGCAGATTTGGGGAGGGTACACGGGAGTGACCTTAACAACCAAGTCCGCTGTGGTGTAGTCGGTAACATTTATTGTTCTCACCCATGCGCCCCTGGTTCGATTCCCGGCAGCGGAATAGCTTTTGCTTTTGCCACCAGGGTAAACCTGTTTGATGACAACAGCTTGGGATATCAGCCCACTGCAGCCACCTTTTTCAACAGCTTTGGGGTGGCATCATAGACACAACCACCCAAGAATGGTAGTTGGGTGGGCAGGCATACCCAGATCCCATACCAATTAAATCATTGTGCTTGTAGCCTCCCACCTGCCTGCATGCCAGCCTACCTGCCCACCCACTCACAATATATGACATAAGGCACACAAAACACATTTAATCAAGATAAAATCACAAACAAAATCACTGCTCAAAATGACTGGACCCTCATTTCAAATGAGTGCAAGTTCCAGGTGCTGCATGCAATACACAGCACCAACAAATTTCTTTCTTCTTTTTCCACTTAAAACTTGTGGTCATTTGAAATGAGAGGTCACAAATGACTGTGCTAAAATCATGTGAGATTTGACATTTTTGATTTACAGGGCAGTTTTGAAGATTTTGATTTGCATGTGTGATTTTGACATGCTAGACTGCTGCTTATAAGTGATATTGAGGGATTTGAGATGAAAATGATTTCATATTGATTGTGTCATGCAATATTCACCAAATACACTAAGCATCACACAATCAAACAATGAGGTTAACAATAAGAGATACTCAGAGAGTATGGTGGACTACATCAAAGATGGCTGCAGTGGGCTGATATCCCAAGCTGTTGTCATCAAACAGGTTTACCCTGGTGGCAAAAGCAAAAGCTATTCCGCTGCCGGGAATCGAACCAGGGGCGCATGGGTGAGAACCATAAATGTTACCGACTACACCACAGCGGACTTGGTTGTTAAGGTCACTCCCGTGTACCCTCCCCAAATCTGCTCCTCAAGTCCACCAGCCCACTCACTTCCGTTCCCTTTTGTTTTGTTTTGGCAGAGCTGCGCTTTGTCACAAACCGATCGCCAATGTATTGCTGATGTGCAATCGTTCCCACAGCCAACACTGTCCAGCCCCGCACCACGCAACAGGCGACTGGCGCGAGGTGTCGTCGCGCCTGTCGTAGCGTCACTGGCAGCGTTTCGGCCCATCGCATCAGTGGTGGTGTGGTGGCAGACCACTGGCTCGTGTTGGAGCGCGCATTACCGCGGCATCGCTCCGAACACCCTCGCCTCGCGGCAGGTGCTTAGTCGGCCGTGTGCCCTCTCTCGGCGTTCACTCTGCACTCTCCAGTCTCGGCTCGTGCGCGCTTGCGCCCCTCAGTGGCGACTGCAGCCAACCACCAAGTTAGGGAGGACAGCACCTTAAAAAAAAGGGCAGAGAGAAGCGAACACGCACCGGCTATCCTGGGATGCACCTCTACCGCGGCCAGCCTGCTGTGCAACTGTGGCAGAAATTGGTCAATTTTAGAGCAACGCACACGCACACGCACACGCACACATGCTGTAGGAAGAAGAAGAAGAAGAAGAAGAAGATGGAGAAGAAGAAGAGGAGATGGAGGCATGGGGTACCTCGTACGGCAGCAGAGCCGCCGGCGGGGAAGGAGGTGGGGGCGGTCGACTTGGCAGCGTTGGCCAGGAGGCGTTGGGTGGTGCTCTGGGTCTGCTGTCGCCTCGCCTTCTGGTTGCCTCGCCCGCGTCCCGCCGCAGCGCTGAATGCCAACCCCGTGGACCCGATCATCTCTGGCATTCACCAAAGCGCAATGGCCATGACCCCGATCAGCAAACACGACACGACACGACCAACGACACGACCAACGACACGACCAACGACACGACGACGAGAAACGATGGTGGGGGGGGGTTGGTAGGTACCGTCGATCTCTTTCTCCTCTTCGGCGCGTTCGTCATAGGCGGCCAGGGTGCGACGCTTGAGTTCCTCGTGCTCGCGGTTCTCCTCGGCCTTCTGCTGCGCCCGCAGCACGGCCAACGAGCAGTCCATCGGGATCGCCACGTTCTTGGTCTGCAGCAAAAAATAAATAATTACCAAACCAACAAACAAATAAAAATAAATTGGTAAAAGTTGTCACCACCGGCGAGTCAAAAGCAGTACCTGTCGTTCTTTGCCGCGCTTGAGCATGACGCGGAACTCCATGGCCTTCTCGCCCTGGCCGATTTCCTTCACCACGTTGTCCTTCTTGGTGCCGAGAAGGTCGAGCGGTTTGAGGAGCTCTGTGTGGACGTTGACCGGTTTGGCGTCCTGCCTCCTCTGCTCGTAGGATTCTCGCATCATCTTCTGCAGCGCCCTCTCAAACTCCTCATCGTCTGATTTCGGTCAGCCAATATATACATATAAACATAGAAATATAAATAAATAAAAAAACGCATGGGTGGCTGCCGCGGTACCAGGGTCACGGCGGTCTTCGACGCGGTTGGGGCCATTAGCGGCCTTCTCCTCCTGCGCCTCTTCGTCGTCTTCCTCCTCTTCCTCTTCATCATCTTCGTCGTCACTGTCGTCACCGTCCTCGTCATCTTCATCATCCTTGATGACGTCGCTGTTGGCAGGCTGCGTGTTGGTGTCGTCATCGGCTTCCTTCTCCTCCTCGTTGTCAACCTCACGGCGCTCCTCCTCTTCCTCTTCGTGCACTGTAAAAAACCGAGTAAAACCCATTCGCGTCGTGAGTCAGCGCCACGCGCTGCGGGTTGTGCGTGCGGTGCGTGCGGCGTGCGCGAGTGAGTGAGTGAGTGCCTTGGTTGAGGTAAGAGTCGAGACGGATCTCCTTGTCGATGTAGATCGGACCCTTGGGGTAGTGGTTGGGAGGATGAGCGGCCTCCTCTTCCTTCTCCAGCTTCTCCGTCTGCGGTGGGCGCCCCATTGGACGAGTGAGGCTCGAGTGTCGACCACACGACACACACACACACACACACACACACGGCACACACGACGCACACGACGCACACACGACACGAACCTCGGTGACGGCCTCCTCGAAGGTCTGGTAGCGCTGCAGTTTGGGGCGCAGCGACTCCATGGCGTCGGACACCATGAACTCGATGTCGATCGGGACGTACTGCTTGGACAGGTAGTACCGCTGGAAGTAGACGAGGAAGCGGTCGAGCCGCTTCTTGGAGGTGCCGCGGTCAAAGTACTTCCCACACGTGTCCAGCAGCACGCAGATCAGCCGAATGCGGAAACAGTCGTCCGGCGGGTCCAAGGTGAGATCGCCTGTTGTTGTCGTCGTCGCCACCACCACGCGGCATACGTACAGGAACAACAACTTAATTCGTGTGTGTGCCGTGTGTGTGTGTCGCGTGTGTGTCATACCGGCGGCGTGGTTGAGTAGAAGATAGAGTGCGTAGAAGATGGTGCCAGATTCGATGAGGCGGTAATTGTAGAGCTCGCCCAGATATTTCACCTCGGCGACGCGCCTCTGTTGATACTTGAAATCGGGGTTCTGGAAAGAAAGGCGGCCAAGCAAAGGTCAGGAATTGAGTCAAATGAGGTCAGTCCTGGCGTGCGCGTCAACTGTGTGGCAAAGAAAAGAGGGAGCCAGCGGTTGTGGGGGAGGGGGGAGAGTTTGCCTCGAGGCCGTTCACAATGTTGCGAAGGAGGGTGTCCACGAGCTTGGTTCCCATGACGTCGTGGTACTGCGACAGGGCGGCGGCAAGCGAAGCCACCACGTGGATGTTGCCGTACTTGCCCTTGTGGATCTTCACGAACGTGTCGAGAATCTGGGCCTGTGTGTAGTGTAAAAGAAAACAAACAAACAAACAAATAAATAAATCAATTCGATGATTTCAGTGGCTTCTAGCCAGGCCTAGAGGTAAAAGGTGTACTTTACCTCCTCGGTGTCCCACGGCAGTTTTCGGAGCTGCTTGAGGATGTTCTTGACCGTGTGACGGTTGAGATCGTTGTAGACCAGCTTGTGCGTGTACTGCACCATCGGCGGAATCGTCTTCTCCTAAAATCCACACACACACACACACACACACACAGTTTCGCATTGAGCACGTGCTTTTCGTCGGGGGTACAGGTGGAACAGCAAAAGCGAACCTTGCGCGCAGGACGTTCTGGCGGGATGCACTGGTAGTAGGCATTCTCGACGTTGTTCGCCAGGCGGTTGTCCAGGTTTTTGCTGCCCTTTAGTCGCATCATGATGTCCAACTGCAGGAACGGAGGGAGCGAGAGAGAGCGAGAGAGAGAGAGCGAGAGCGAGAGAGAGAGAGAGAGAGAGAGGGTAAAATAAGCAATCGAATCATAGAACGGCCAACAACGGAGGAGCGTGAGATGCAGTACGTACCATGTTCTTCGCGCGCACGTGCGTTTCAGGATTTCTGTATAGGAAGCGACCACATTGGTCCAGCAGCGCGCAAGCCACCTGGAAAGGAGGAGAGGAATGTTGAGTTTTTCGTGGCCTCGCTAGTAAAGCGCACAAAGGAGTTAGAAGTTAGAACTCACCTCGATGTTGTGGTGGAGGAAGTCGTCGAGGCACTCCTTCAAGCAGTTGAAGATCAGGTGCAGGGGGCACACTCGGAACTTGACCAATTCGCCGAGGAATCGAATGTTCTAGACGACCGCCAGAAGAATTGTATTGCCAATCAGTACCAGGGGCTAGCCGATCACCACCGAGGGAGAGAGGCGGTGGTGTTATAACGAACCTTGAGCTTGGTCTCGATCATCATCTGGTCCTTCTTCCTCATGAAATAATTAAATTCTTCCTCCAACTGGCGGGAGTGAAGAAAACGTGCGATCGTGGTCAGGCGCTCATTCGGCCAATGTCAAAAAAAAAAAAAAAAAAAAGTGGGGTGACGCAGTACCATGGCCACAAGGGCGGGTCCGATGTCCTTCATGCACTGGTTGAGCGTCGCCACAAGGCGGGCGTAGTACGGAAGCAGGGCAAGCTGAGTCCTGGGCGCGTTGAACAGTGTCTGGGGAGGGGGGGTTGTGTGCACACATCCAGCAGCAACACCCGTTAGACCATTGGCCCTCGGCTGGGGGAGGGGGTAAGAGCGCAGGAGTATCTTACCTTGATGAGCTTCTTGCGATTGCCCTTGGTGTTGATGTAGCAGAAATCGATGGCGGCCTTGTCGATCAGATCTCTGTTGACGCAGTTGGGCAGACGGTGCAGCAGCTCCTCCAGGGTGACCCCGCCCACGGACATCTTCTCCTCCTCCTTCTCCTTGGCGGCGGTGGCGCTGTCCTCCACGGCCGTGGCCTTCTTGGCTCCGCCCGCATCACCGCCGGGCGTGGTCTCGGTCGCTCCCTCCTTCTCCTTGTCGGTTGTCACTGCAGCCTCTTTCTCCTTTACAACCGGGAAGACAAGATTAGTGTCAGCAAAACAACAACAACATGTGTCGCGAAAGAAATAAAAATAAATAAATGGCAAGCGTTAATTACCTCGGCCTCGTCCTTCTTGCTGTCGCCAAAGAGCACGGCGGGCAGGAGCACACGGAGCTGTGGAAGGTCTTCGTAGAAAGAGCGCGTGTCCTCATCGTTCCAAATGGGCTCTACCTCCTGTGTCCTTGCCCCGAGCTGCATGTACCGAAAAAAAAAACAAGTTCAATACCATGACGTTGCTGATGGAGAGACCATATCACACACGACACACACACACGACGCACACGACGCACACGACGCACACGACGCACACGACGCACACGACCACATTAAGAGAGACTGTTACCTTGTTAGTCTGTGTGCTGTCAGCGACAACGATGCGAGTGGTGGTGTCTTCCTCCGGCAGGGCAGGCAGCTCCTCGTCCAAAAGCTCGGCGAACGCCGCAACGTTGTTCTGCAACTTATCATAAGACTGGAGAGAGGGAGCGAGAACGCAGATTGGGGTGAGCTCATGAGCCAACAGGGTCTCTTAAGAGGAGACGAGAAAGCGGGAGGGGTCTTTGAGTCTCACCCACCTTGCGCATTTTGTCGTAGATCGCTTTGTCGGTTTCGCTGAGCTCGCCCCTCGTCTGCAGCACCTTGTTGTTCTCCCTCTCCTTCGCACGCAGGCTCTATAGAAACGAGAATAGACGGAGGTCAGGCGAGATACGGTAAAGAGATAGAAGAGAACAGCAGCGCAATTCACTCACCTTGTGCTCTTCGACCAAAAGCTCGCCGGAGGCCTTGTAAAAGTTCTTCACCATCACGGTAAGGCGATCCTTCTGTTCCGGCGTGGCTGTGTCGTCCAAGGGAGGCAGGGGCTATGTGGACGCATCACAAAGGTCAGCAAGCGACTGCCAGCTCTAAGCAGGCTGGGTGGTGGATGAGTACCTCGGCCTGGACGAACTGATGCTTCTCCGGAACGATGCCGAGTACCTCGTCGCCGATGACCCTGGTGAAGCTCACCACGAGCATGAGATGGTTCTGAAAGGTGTTCACGAAGTGCTCCCGGTCGCCTTTGAACTCTGCGCCGTTGGTATTGACCTAAGGAATGAGGAATTGTGAGATGCATGAAAGGTGCAACGTGTACAATCGCGATTGAGTGTGACACACGTACGAGGTCCCTGACGATCGAGATGAGCACGGTGATGTCGGTGTAAACGCCGGCGAGGTAGAGTTCGCACAGTAGCCTGAGCACGACGCGCTTCTTGCGCACGGTGTCGACCTCGGTTTTGCCCGGTAAGTCGTAGGACTTGACCAGCGCCGGCACCAGATGCCTGGCAAAGTCGCCATAGCGCTGGTGCATCAGCGAGCACACGTGCACGGAGGCGCTGATGTCGGTGGGCTTGAGCGTGACGGTGAGCTCCTGCGCGATGACGTTGACGGCCTCGGGAATGAACTTGCTGGTGTTGAGCGTGCTGATCTCGGCCGCCAGCTTGTCCTTCTGGTCCTCGGTAATCTTGGCCAGCTTTCGCACGAACGTGGCATTCCGCTTCACGCTTGAGTCGCCACGCAGGTTGGAGTCTGTGTCATGGTGTTGGTTGCCACGAACAAGAAGAGACATGTTCTTAGCACATACGTTGCGTTGTTAGAGCTCAAGTTAGAGACGTGTGTCACTCGCTGACTTACCTGGCTTGGGGTGAATGTTCGACTCGCGTAGGGCGATCTTTGCCTCACGCACCTTTCGGGCCTCCTCGGCCCGTTTCCTCTCCTCCTCCTCTCGCTTCAGTCGCTCCTCTTCTTCCCGCTTCTTGCGCTCTTCCTCCTCACGCTGCCGCCGCTCCTCGTCCTCCTTGCGCCGCCTTTCCTGTTCCTCCTCTTCGCGCTTCTTCCGCTCCTCCTCTTCTCTGCGCTTTCGCTCGAGCTCTTCGCGCAGCTGCTCCTCGGTCTTGGGCGGCTCCTCGACTTTCTTTCGCCCGTCGCGTTCCTTGCGGCGACGAGATCTGTCCTCTTCGCGCTTCTTCTTGTCCAGCTCGTACTCCACGTCCGTCTTGGCAGCGCCACGGGTTGGCTTTTTGCCAGCACCACTCCTTTGCCGGTCGCCACCGCCGCGAGCACCGCCGCGTTCGGCCTTTGTGCTTGCCGCGTTCGGGCCAGCGCCAGCAGAGGGCTCACCGGCAGCTCGGGCGGCAACAGCGTTCTCCTTCCTCTGTACATCACGAGCGCCGCCTCTATTGCCGCGTCCACCACCACCACCGCCTCCTCCAGCACCGTTCGTGCCCACAGGCGCTCCGCCAGCGGTGGTGCCTTCCGCTGCACTACTCGCAAAAATACAACCGCTGACGTCAGCGCTGTTCTCTTCGTTAGGGCGAGGCAAAGTAAAGGGGTAGCAGTACTTGAGTACGTCGTCTGGTCTTGCCTTCAATTTGCCGCCACGCCCGCGGCCGCGGCCGCCTCCATTGCCCTGCGCTGGTCCTGCAGACGGAGGTGCTCCTTCTTCTTCCCCAGGCTGCGATTGAAGAGACAGCAAATTTCAATTAAGATGCAAATATTGCATTACAAGATTTTTGCATCGTACCTTGGCTATCCACCTCCTAGAGTGCTGCGACATGTGCTAATGTGCTGTTGAGCGCGTGCAGTGCGGCAGAGGCCAAGAATTGGCTTGGGAGATGAGATCGAGCGCGAGGCCTTTGCGCCTGATGTGCAGGTTTGATAATTTGTCGACCCCTCTTTTCTTTCCCTTTTCTTTGTTTGCTCAGTTGCAGAGGATTGGACGGACTTAGGGCAAACGCCTGTTCGGACGGGAAGGAAAAGAAAGAAGCAAAAGACAGTACAAGATGAGACTGGCCTTATGGATCGCGCTGGTGGCGCTCACCTGGGTGGTGTGCTGCAGCTTCTACTGCGAGGGCCACTCCAAAAAGAGTGTATGACCTCCTCTTCGTGTGCCCAGATTGCGGGGGGGGGGGCGAGTTGTGGTTGACTGTCCTGTTGTATGTAGACAAACGGCGCCGAACGATTACTGGACGACCCCCGCCTATCTCCGGAGACTCGCGACAAGATGCGACAGAAGGTTCTCTTGGTAAGCAAGCCCTTCCTCTAGGAGTAAGTAACTTCATCCAACTTAAACTGAATCGCTTGAACCCTTTAGAAGACCCCAGGTCGCGAGGAGTCAGCCCAGAAGATGAGGTCAAAGGCCGAATCGCAGTACCTTCTTGCCGCCCTCTTAAATACCATGGTGTCCATTTGTTGTTGATTGCAGGCACACCTTCTTGTGCAGTTCGAAGCGAATCAATTCACAGCGCACCATGCACGGCGAGAAGCCGCAGAAGCGAAACTGGCAAGATATTCCCCGCCCGGACGCGGTGAGAAACCTCGACGCCCCGATCAAGTTCGACTCTACTACGTTTTCCCTGCGGCTCCCGTTTGTCGGCGAGGAGGCCATTACCAAGCACATGTGTAGGTTTCCTCCGTTTCTCCGTTTCGCAACCTTACACTGTTTCTTCTCCATTTCTGATCAGAGCAACCGCTACAGGGACGTTCATTCAGTCGTATAGAATGGACGACACTGCCGACGTGTACACCGACGTACGTACCGAGAAGGCCCGAAGAAAATGATGCAACCGTCACTTACACCTTGTGCTGGTTTTTCTCTTTCCTTTTCAATGCACATAGTTGTGGCCGGTGTTGACCGAGATGGCCATGAACCTGTCCGTGGCGGCCGCTGATATGTACAACGGCTTTGACGACATCACATGGATCGGAGACTTTGAAGAGTCCATCATCTGCGACCTGGACCTCTCCACCCTTCTGGTGGTACGCACCGCCATCGTACCGCAGTGTTGGGTGATAGAGTGTCGTACCTCACACGTGCTCTCTTGTGATGTGATCTCCCACATTTCAGTCTTCACCTTGTTCAACACGCCCGACTACTGCGTGCAGGAGGTCACCTACGCGCAGATCACCGGTAACAGCCAAGAGGAGCTGTTCCAGTCCCTGCTCAGTAATCATGAGAGCACTCTGCAGGACAATGAGTTCAAGATCATCTCTGGTAATCAGTGTTGCGACCCTCCCTCATCTCAGGAAGTACAGACCTCACCATCTATCGATCTATCTGTGGCAGGCACTTGTGCGCAGCCGCATCAGCCTCTCTACCCCGGAAATCCTGACTACGACTACTACTGCTGGTTCTGGTTCGTGAAGATGGCCACCACTCTCACATCGGACACCTGCCTCTGCACGCAGACCGCCGGCAACTGCTGCACTCGCGAGCTCAACCCCAGCATCACCTACCTCTAATCAGCCATTCATTCATACATGAGTGTGTTCGTCTGCACAACTCTGTTCTTTCCCAACTCTATCGCCATCACCCCGTAAAGACCAGGTTTCTTGCCCCCCACCCCCCCTTGATCAAGGTGCTGAAAAAGCCGCCACGTCAGCCACCACTCTCGTTCCGCCGAACACAACGCCAGTGTTGGTACTTTCGGGTTGAGGGCAATTTCGGGCCGTCGTCACTGCGGCGCAGGATTGAGCAGGGGATTCGTTGTCTTGACTCTCTTCTTGAACAGTGGCGGTACGATGGAACTGCTGGGTTTAATCGCCGGAGCGGTGAGCAAGGCCAGAGAGGATTTCAACCGAGAACGAGAGGCCATGCACAACGGAGCGCGATTACGTGCCGCAGCTGCATCGGTTGATGATGGCAGCAATCTCACCGAGGATGAACAGATGCAGATGGCACTGGCGATGAGCGAGAACGAGTTGCTCGAGCACGAACGGCAGGAGAGGGAGCTCGACGAGGAAGCCACATCCTTCGAAGAGCTGATCGATGAAGGTGAGCAACTTCCTCGAAATCGAGCCATGTGCGCCGCTCGCGCACCTTCGCCTTCCACCAGGTTCCAATTCGACAAAATTCTCGATACATCAGATCTGCGGCCAGATGAGCTGGAGGACGTAGGCGAGATGGACACCCAGAACGACGAGCTCCTGGCACGGCAGCTGCAGGAAGAAGAAGATGAAGTCGATGAAGATGCCTCCAACAACGACCACCCTGCAGCTTCGGCACCACCGCTGCTGCTGCCGCCCTCTGCTCCTCTCTCCATCCTCCCTCCGCCCATCGTCGGGCTCAACCCGTTCAACCCGCTCGGCGCTGGCCAGCAGCACCACCACCCGAGCTGGTGGAGCCCGCCGCCCGCGGGACCCCTGCCCATCGTCACATCGTCACCTCCCCTCCCGTGGCTACGCGACCCCGTCCCGCCCTCGCCCGGGCCTCGGCCCTTCTTCGGCGGCCTCACCGACAGCCAGCTCGCCAGGTACCCTGTGTGTGCGTGTGCTGTGTGTGTCGTGCGTGTGGTGTGTGCGTGTGTGTGTGTGTGTGTGTGTGTGTGTTGCGTGCGTGTGGCTTACGTGGCAAGCCAACGACAGAGAGATCCAGGCTGTGGAGGATGATGCGATTCTCGCGGCCAACGAGCAGCCGGCGCACTACCGGCCCCCGGCCGTACCAGAGGCGGACAGCAGCGACGGCGGCGGCAGCGCCAACGGCATGGACGACGGACTGCTGAGGGCCATGGAGGAGAGCCGACGCGACGCCGAGGAGCAGGAGCGGCGCGCGCTGCGGGAGCAGCAGGAGCAGGAGTACCAGGAGACGCTCCTCATGGACCAGATCAGGGAGAGCGAGCGCGAGGAGGAGGAGAAGCGGCGGCGGCGGCAGGAGGAGGAGCAGCAGCGACGACGCGAGGAGGAGGCCGAGCTGCGAGAGGAGGCGGTGGCCGAGACCGCGGCCCTGCGGTTCTCGCTCGAGCTCAAGCGCGACAGCGAGATCGCGCAGCTCAGGGAGCTCGTGCCGGCGGAGGTGGCGGCGCCCACCAACTCGAGCTCGGTCGAGGCCGGCGGCCGCAAGGTGTGCGCGCTGGTCATCCGGCTCGCCAACGGGTCGCGACTCGAGCGTCGGTTCTGGGGCGACAACACGCTGCGCGACGTCAAGCACTTTGTCGACCTGCGGCTGCTCGAGGCGGCCAAGCAGGAAGACGAAGCTGCCGATCGAGTGCAGCGCATGAAGAAGAAGGAGAAGGAGAAGGTCATCGGTGGACCGGACAGCAAGGGCGAGGAGTCGCAGAGCGAAGAGGTCGAACAGGGAGACGGCGAAGAACGAGAGGAGCAGCTACGGCCGGAGCGCTACCTGCCTCCCAACTACTCGCTCGCCACCACCTACCCGCAGAAGAAGTTCACCAACTGGTACGCACTCTATAAGGCCTGCGCTTGTATCGGGCCTGTAGTCTGTGTGTGTGCGTGTGCGTGCGTGTGCGTGCGTGTGCGTGTCGTGTGCGTCGCGTGTCGGTGGCTGACCTGCTCGATCTCGGCACAGGGACGCAACGCTGGAGGAGGCGGGCTTGTGCCCTCGAGCGGTGGTGTGTGTGCTGGACTCGTAGAATTATTATTTTAATAAATCTCTTTTGTACAGAACTTGTTGTATCTCGTTTGCATAATTATGGAGATGCGGCAACGATGGCGCCTCCGTAGCGTCTTCCCTGCGTGCCTGGCGGTCGTTGCCTGCCTCCTCGTCACAAGCATGTCATCAGCGAGTGGAGAGACGGCAGTAGATTGCCACACATCTGAAGATTGTCTGCACGCCCTCCGCATGCATCTTGCGGCCATGCAAAACGTGGAGGACGACCTGGCCGAAGCCTACGATGTTCACGCGGCGATGACGCTCGCCCAAGTGATGGAGCTGCAAGGACCTCTCAATCGCTTCAATGCGTTGGCCGATCGCATGGTGGCCATCGTCGACTACCTCGCCCACACCACGCCACACCTACCACCAGCCGCTTTCGCAGGTACTTTTTCTTGCCACTACTTCGATTGTCCAAGATGCAAATCAATCTTTATCTGTCGTTTGGTCGCTACGTAGCCGAGGGGCAGAGCCAGCACGACCACTTCGGCGGCGGCATGGGTGCCGAGGACCATGGCACCGCGCAAGGCTCGGAGGCTGGCCAGCCCCGGCAAGCGAACCGCGAAGTCGAACCTGCTACGGACGAGGTCGACGGCGGTGCAGACGGCAACAGCAGCAGCGCTGGTCTGGGCCAGGGCCAGGAGGAGCACTTCGGGACCGCAGCTACGAGCGAAGACCGCGACAACGGAGGAGCGTGGGCACAGGCCGAGGACTATGAGGAGGCTCGCGAGCTGTACCTGGAGAAGCTCGAGACTCTTCACCGCCTCATGCGCAAGGTGCACGCCATCAAGGCACGGACCTCTACCGCTGGCCACGACCCTCTTCCCGAAATCGGTGCGTGCGCTGCGTGCGGTATGCGCGGTGGTGCGTGTGCGATGGTGTGGCTGCGTTCTGACAACGAACGACAGACCACCTGGACGCGCTCTACCGCGAGGAAGAGGAGCGTGTGGGGGGCGGCTGGCTGCTGGCCGACCTGGACTACGATGAGTTCCAAGATGAGACGCAACATACGCCGGGCTCCGGTGCCTACAGCAGCGCCGACGCCGGACGACGCCGGCTTGCTGTGATCCAGCGGGAACTCACCAGGCTCACCAGCCTTCCGAAGAGCGAGGGTACTGAATGTCTGCGTGTGCGGTTACTGTGTGGTGGTGTGTGGTGTGTGTGACTGAAGGATGTGGACAGGGCGAGAGAGGAGGATGCAGGAGCTCACCGACGAACTGCTGGAGATGTGGGGGACGGGCAAGTACACGGACTACTTCCGCGTGGTCTCCTTCTCGTTGGAGAAGAACGCCGCACGCAATGCCACCTGGGGCGTCGCGCCCGAGGGCGAGATCCTGGTCGAATTCGTCGATGGCGTCGGAGACCAGGCCGTGGGGTGGAGCCAGGGCGAGGGTGAGGGCGACTACGACGACGAGGATGAAGACGAAGAAGACAACCTGTGGTTCTGAGAGAAACCAGTTGTTGTTGTTGTACAGATACTTATGTGTGGCTGTGGCCCACAAGCAAAACGTTGTCGTACGTTCTGCTACGTCCACTGTTCTTCTTTCTTCTTGGCGAGTGATCGGCGAGAGATAAAAGTTGTTTATTAGTGCTACGTGACGATGACATCAGTGCACCTTGCGATTCAACAAGACGCGATGACGCGACCACACGCAGCTTAGTGAGCCTCCGAGGCGCAGTGCTCCTGCATCGGAAAGTCTCGTGAGAATGAGCCAACATGTTGACGCTGGATGATGATGGTTTGAAGAGAAGGAGAGAAGAACGAACCTCATAGGCCTTGGCGTCGAGCAGATCGTTGAGCTCGGCCTGGTTGCTGACCTTGAGCTTGACCATCCAGCCGTTGCCGTAGGGATCGCTGTTGATGTTCACCGAGCCCTTGTCCTTGAGGTCCTACTCGCACAGATGAAAGAAGTGTGGTGAGCTCGCTGAACGCGCTCGGCTACAAGAAGAAGAAGAAACGCACCGCGTTAACCTCAACCACCTCACCGCCGACGGGCGCGTAGATGTCGGACACGGTCTTGACCGACTCCACAGCACCGAACGACTCCTGCACATTTAAATTCATGAATCATTCGCGCTTGAAATGTGCGGCCGCAAGGGGGCGGCACCTTCTGGCCGTAGGTGGCACCGGTCTCGGGCAGGTCGACAAAGACCACCTCGCCGAGGGCCTCTTGGGCGTGGTCAGTGATACCGATCGTGGCCACGCCGTTGGTCATGCGCACCCATTCGTGCGACTTGGTGTACTTGAGATCCGTCGGCACTATTAAAAAATCGTTCAGAAATGAAGTAAATGAAAATTTGCTCTCGCTGCGCTTCAATGGGATGATCAGACGACAGGAAAGTTCAAGCGTTGGGAAGGACGGCGGTCAATGCCAACGGAGGATTTACCGTTGGAGGAGTACGACCGCGAGGCGAGGAAGGCCCAAGCGGAAGAAGGCTTCAGGAGACCGGCGGAAGCGGTGGACAGTCGCTGGTGGGAGACGGGGCGGGTCTTGAGCAGGGTAGCGGTGCGCCTCATTCTCTCAGTGTGGAAACGATCGTTGTGGAATCAAAAAATGTGAAATAATACAAAAGAGAAAATAAGAAACGTTGTTGTATGGCGCAGGAATTTCAACGAGGCGCCATCAAGTGGGCTTCTTGCCGTACCCATTCTACAAATTCCAAAAGCCATTTTCTTGCTTGTTTTTGTCTTTTTTCACTTTCTTGTGCTCTTTTGCACCTTGAAGCAACGGACGTGTTGGTGACTTGGAGCTGTTCGCGTTGCTTGTTCAGCTCCATTATTCAGCAATCAAAAGGCCTTACACGTCGAAGGATCTGAGGGATCATCATGAGTGGTCTGACAGGAGTGGCTCAGGTGCTACACCACAAGGTGTCGCTCATCAAGTCGCTCATGGAGGATCTGTCCGAGTTCGCATCTGAGAACTGCGTGCACGCCTATTTTGCCGATTCTCTTTCGATGTTTCAAATGCTGGAGGAGGAGCTCTCCATCCAATTCGACAGGGCCAACTTCTTCCTCTCCTTCCTGGTACCTGCCTACTACTACTACCTGCCTACTACCTCCATCAAAGATTGCCATTACAACGCTGTTCGCCTCATGTGATGCACAGGCGGACCACAGCGTGCCTCCACCTGCCGCCTCTGCTGGCTACTTCTCTGTGCTGCCTCGAGGTCCGCCTGCCTCTACTTGATGCATTCTTATTTTATTTTATTTTATTTTATTGATTTTGGATTTCTACTCACGCGCGTTGATGCGGCCCGTGTAGAGGTGGAACTGCACATCATGTCCTACCTCAGTGAGAGCGAGCTCAACACGGTCGCCCTCCTTAGCAATGTACCACCTCTTTCACAGGCCCTCTCTCTGCAATATCTGGCTCACCCAACTTGACAATGGCCACACCAGCACCACAAGCAGCTCGCGGATGACGACGAGCTGTGGCGGCGCCTGTACGGTGTCAAGTGGGCCAGCAGACGAAAGCAGCGCTCGTCGTACCCCACCGACGAGACGTCGTGGAAGAACTACTTCGTCGAGCGCCAGAAGGTGGAAAGGCACTGGAAGACCGGCGAGTACGCCATCAAGACGGTCCAGGGCCACTCCGGTATGCTGTTGCTGCTGCTCACCGGTCTGACGACACGACAGCACTGGAATGTTGTTAACCGCCCACGCTCGTCGCAGGTCCCGTTCTGTGCTTGTCGTTCGACAACCGCAACATCATCACCGGCAGCGGGCACAGGGAGATTCGAGTGTGGGATCTCAAGACCCGACGATGCAAACACACCCTCTCAGGTTTGTCTTTCTTTTCCTTCTTTCGTTCAAGTCTTTTGATACGAGCGCACACACGGACGATCGCGAGCCAACACTCACTTTTGTTGCGTGGGCACCCCAGGGCATACCGACTCGGTGTACTGCCTCCAGCACGATGACGAGAAGATAGTTTCTGGAAGCGCCGACAAAACTGTGCGCATCTGGCAAATCCGAGACCGAGGTGTGTGTTGAGTGTCGTGTGCGTCGTGCGTTGGTGGGCGTGTCGTGTGTCGTGTGTCATTCCCTTGGTTCTAGCGGTCTCATGATGAACGATGCACAGATTCGTGGCAGGACTTGGACCAGAGCGGGGACGAGGCCGGGATCAAGTGCACCAAGCGGCTCACTGGTCATACGGACGCGGTGATGAGCCTCCAGTACGACAAAGATCGCATCGTCACCGGCAGCGCCGACAACACCATCAAAGTCTGGGACCCCGTGACCGGGAAGTGTCTGGTACTTATCATGATGATGATTATTATTAGTTCGCGTTAAGACTTCGTGTGCGGTGCGCTCGTATCGTTGCCGGCTAATAGGTGTTGGATTATGTCGTGGTCCACAGGCGACACTGCAGGGCCATACTGGCCGTGTGTGGTCGCTCCAGTTCGAGGGCAATCGGTTGGTCTCGGGAGCTAACGACAAGACAATCCGCGTGTGGGACTTGCAAACCGGCGTGTGCACCATGACGCTCCAGCGGTACGCTACGCCTCCGAGAGGGCTTGCGGCGTCATCTTCTTGGTCTGACGTCTGCCCCCAACATCTAGACATACGCATTCGATTCGTTGCTTGCAGTTCGACAAAAACAAGATCATGAGCGGCTCCAACGACAGAACAATCAAACTATGGGACGTCAACACTGGCCAGTGTCTACACACGCTCAAGGGTCACACCGACTGGGTGCGCTGCCTCAAGTTTGACGACTCCAAGATGGCGTCGGGTGGTTTCGATGAGACCATCAAGCTGTGGGACATGCACACCGGCAAATGTCTCACGACCCTCAAAGGTAAGCCAGGCCAGACACCACACAACACACACACACACACACACACACACACACACAAAACAAATCCACAGAGGCACTGACTGGTGGTGCGCGCTCTTTGGGTTTGAAGGACACACGGACGCGGTGATGTGTTTGCAGTTCGACTCCCGGCGGATCGTGTCGGGCAGCAAGGACAAGAACCTGATCGTGTGGGACTTCACACAGCGAGAGAAGCGGCGCGAGGGCCGAATCGTACTCAAGACCAAGAAAAGCGCCACCCACGATGGCGCCTACATATGGAAGGGCCGTGGTCGCGGTGTGCCCCTCGCTTCCTGACCGCGGAGCCGTCGTTACGGCGACGGCCTGCTCGTCCAGGGCGTTTCCAAGACCCTTTTCCCTTTTCTCTCTTTCTCTTTACCTAATCAAGCACCAAGCGACCTTCAACCCGACAACGTTCAAGAAGAAAAGCAAACCAAGCAAACATCCAACACCACCAGCAGGCCATGGCTCTCCAGATTACAGGTTGGTGTGAACTCTTCTTGTGTTGTTGACTCTCGGCGGGGCTTTGCCCTGCAGCCTACTGCGCGCACAGATCTACGAAAGTGTGATTTCTCATCACCCCTCCCCCCATCGTAGTTGTACAGGCGCGAGACCTGCCGGTTGCTGACGCTACGGGCAAGACCGACCCGTACGCCGCCCACCTCGATCCACCACAGTGTGCAATGCAAGCGTTGCATGCGCCGATGCAACGTACTAATCTTCTTTTTTCTCTCCTCTAGGTATGTTGAACTGTACGTCAACGGTGTCTCCCACAAGACCAAGACTATTAAGAAGACCCTGACTCCCTACTGGGGTACGAGACCAAGACCAAAAACAGCGTGTATAAAGTTAATACATCAACCATCTAATGAACGAGCTTGGCCGTGCGTGCGGTGTGGTGTACAGGTGAGACCTTCACATTCTACCCGAGCAGCTTCAACCCCAGCACCGACTCGATCCGGGTCGACGTCTACGACTGGGACCGCTTCTCCAACAACGACCTCCTCACTCGCAACCTGCTCCCCATCGCCAAGTACGCCTCTGCCGGCACCGTCGAGGAGTGGGTCCCGCTCAACTCCGTCAAGGGCGGTTCCAGTGCCGCCCTGCAGATCAAGGTACGCGTACCTTCATTCTCCATTTCTCTCTTCTTTCGCGAGCCCATCACTCATGAGCCTCCTCTTCCCTCTTTGCTGGCGCACAGGTGATCTTTGGTGATGGCCGGCCAAAGGTGGCCGCTCCCCAGCAGATGCCACCGCAGCAGCAAGGCTTCCCGCCTCAGCAGCAGCAGGCCTATGGCGGCTTCCCACCCCAGCAACAGCAGGCCTACGGATATCCGCCCCAGCAGCAGGCCTACGGCTACCCTCCCCAGCAGCAGCCCGGCGGCTTCCCGCCCCAGCAACAGGCCTACGGTGGCTATCCGCCCCAGCAACAGGCCTACGGCGGCTATCCGCCCCAGCAGCACCCGACCGGCGGCTTTCCTCCTCAGCAGCACCCGGCCGGCGGCTTCCCGCCCCAGCAACAGGGCTATCCCTCCACGCAGGGCGGCATGCCCCTGCAGCAGCAGCAGCAGGCCTACGGTGGCTTCCCCCAGGGCGGCATGCCGCCTCAGCAGCAGCGCCCGACCGCTGGCTTCCCGCAGGGCGGCATGCCGCCTCCGCAGGCGGGCTACGGCCTCCCGCCCCAGGGCTTCGCACCTCCGCAGCAGGGATATCCCACGCAACAGCCCGGTGGCTATCCACAGCAGCCACCCAGGCCCTACTGAGCCCCCTTCGCCCCACCCCTAGTCCAACCCTCTGGTGTACCCAAAAACGATTCAACCTCCACATTGTGACCTTGCATCCTCACTTGTTGTTGCTTGAAACATAACCACACAAGAAGAGACTGCCTTGTAGCCAGTACATTGCACTTGGGTGAGAGAAGGGGTTTTGTTGTTGGTTGGAAGGGGAACCGAACCGCTTCTGGGAATACAGAGCAGTGTCGGCAAGTCCTTTCAGGACTTTAGACTTTGAACTCTTCTATCTAAACGATGTCCGAGTTGTTTATAGTGCCGAACCCGCAGCTCACCCGCCCCATTTGTACCCCTTCCAGTCCACGCCAGTTATGGGACTCGTTCACTGCATACGACATTTCATGTCGACACACAGTGGTGCATGCCTCTCTGGCCTGGGTCATGTGGCAGTGCAGGTGAGGGAAGGCAAACATCATGCTGCCAACCTTGGATGCAATGGTGTAGTGTTGGCTCAGAGGGGTTGTGCAAAATAGGTAATACGAACAACTTTAATTTTTTTTTCACCTTAAGTTTTCGAGGAAAAAAACATTAGGACAACCGGGCAGCTTTTGTCTCCTTGTTTGTTGTGCGAACAATTGGCGAAAGATGTCGTTCTCTATTGAGTACGCGAAGAGCGCACGCTCGAAATGTGTGCATTGCAAGATGGCGATCGATAAGGACTCTATCCGCATCGGAATCCTCGAACCCAGTTCTAAATTTGACGGTGCCAAACACACTGCTCCCGGTCTGTGCGATTTATTTTAGATTAGTTAATAATTTGTTTGATTTTAAACAAACCAGGCGAGTACTACACGTGGCACCATACGTCGTGCTTCTTCGACAAGCGCAAGGACGTGCACGACCCCAACTCCATCAAGAACTTCTCCCTCCTGCGGTACCGCCCATTATTAACATTATTAATAATAATATAAACAATAATATAATATAATATAATCTATTTTTTTCTCACCCTCCCTCGTGGTGCCGACGGCAGGCCGACGGACCAGCCCAAGATCAAGAAATTCCTGGATAAGAACAAGCCGGCCCCGGCGGCTGCGGCTGCAGGTGGCGACGCCGGCGGCGAAGGTGAAAAGGGGGGCGATTCGGGCGCAGCGGCCGCAGGCGCGTCGGGCAGCGGCGACTTCAAGATCGAATACGCCAAGAGCAGCCGGTAACGCTCACTCCACGCCTCCGCTCTGTGCGCAACTGTGAACTCACTCTCTCGTCGGCGACGACGACAACCCAACCATCAGGGCCAAATGCGTGCACTGCAAGACCAACATCGAGAAGGACACCATTCGCATCGGCATCCTCGAGCCTTCCTCCAAGTTCGACGGTACCCAGCCACGCCTCATTTTGTTTTTTTGTATTATTTTACGTTTTAAAAAATAAAATAAAATAAGATAAATATAACTACATAAATAAATAACGCGGTTTATGTGGGTGCAGGCGAGTACTACACGTGGCACCACGCGTCGTGCTTCTTCGACAAGCGCAAGGACGTCAAGTCGTCGGCGTCGCTCAAGGGCTTCGATCTCCTGCGCCCGGCCGACCAGCCCAAGATCAAGCGGTTCACCGGCGAGGGCGATTCGTCGGCAGTCAAGCGCAAGGCCGATGACGAAGCCGCCGGCGAGAGCAGTGCGTCGACGACGACCGAGTCTGATGAGCCGCCCAAGAAGAAGGCCAAGGTCGTGGTCAAGAAGAAAAAGAAGGCGCCGACGATCGACCCGGACAACATGAAGGTGGACGAGCTCAAGGCCGAGCTGCGCAGGCGCGAGCTCGACACGCGGGGCCGGAAGGCCGACCTCCAGGAGCGCCTCAGGGAGGCCCTCGCCGAGGCGGGCGAAGACGGCGGCGAGGATGGGGAAGAGGAGGAGGAGGAGGTCGACGAAGAGGAAGAGGAGGAAGAGGAAGAGGGAGGCGATGACTACGTCACCAAGCTGTGGGAGCTGAAGGACAAAATCATCGACCGGCTCTCCACCAACGAAATGAAGCAGGTCCTCCAGAAAAACGAGCAGGTACCCCTTTCCCGCACTACTACTTCATTTTTATGACTTATGATTTATTATTTTTAATGAAATAAATAGTTGAAATATAATTAGAAATAATAGAATTAATATGTTTCAAATTCCATGGGGCACGCAGTACGACAAGGGTGGAGCGCAGGACTTGGCCCACCGCATTGCCGAGGGCGTGCTCAAGGGCGCCATCCCCACGGTACGTCGGCTGCGACGAGGTGGTCGCACGCATGTCAAGAGGCCGCTGACGCGCGCTTCCCGCCCGCGCTTCTTTTTTTCTTTGTTGTGCAGTGCCCCAAGTGCGAGAAGGGCGTGTTGTCGTACGAGGACGGCGCCTACCTCTGCCGGCACAAGGCCACCGAGTGGAGCAGGTGCGCACCACGAATCCACCATCACTGTCGTGTGTGTCGTGCTTGTGTGTCGTGCGTGTGGTGTCGTGTGTGTCGTTATGTGTGCGTATTTACTGTTTTTATGGCTTCTTTCGTTCGTTGCAGCTGCACGTTCACGGCCAAGGACGACGAGGTCGACCGTCTCCCCTGGAAGAACCCCAAGTGGTGGGCCGGGAAGATGAAGGACGACAGCAAGAAGCGCAAGGCCGCCACCAAGGTACGACAGCACGACACGACACGACACGCGCGGCACGATATGACACGACACGCATTCAATTCGGTGGCGGCAGGGCACCAAGCGTGGCGCTGCGTCCGAGGCCAAGAGCCAGACGTCGTCCAAGCGGAGGAAGGTCGAGTCCGAGGAGGAGGAGGAGCCCTCGGGTCCCGTGTTCGAGGGCGTCAAATTCGTGCTGCTCGGCGAGCTGTCCAAGCCCCACGACGACTGGACCAAGGTCATCAAGGAGCACGGCGGCTCTGTCCTCGATAAGCGTACGTGCCCGGTGTGTGCGGTGTGTGCGGTGTGTGCGGTGTGTGCGGTGTGTGCGGTGTGTGCGGTGTGTGCGGTGTGTGCGGTGTGTGCGGTGTGTGCGGTGTGTGCGGTGTGTGCGGTGTGTGCGGTGTGTGTCGTGTGTATGCGGGTTGTGAGTGACACGTGTAAGGTGGGTCTTATAGTCAATACGGGCGTCCGCTTCATCGTGGCCTCCCGTGACGGCATCTCCAAGAACCAGGACGTCATCAAGAAGGCCATCGAGAAGCAGGTCCCCGTGCTCAACGAGGTTTGTCCCCTTCCCCCCCCCAATCTGCTCTACGTCATGCTGACGTCACGTCCGTGCAAATACTCATTTTTATTTTTTTACAACAATTTGAATGGTCAGGACTTCCTGCACGACTCCCTCACGGCGAAGAAGATGGAGGACCAGAGCCTCTACCGTCAGCCGCTTAGCGAGATCGAGCGAGGCGAGGAGAAGAAGGAGGAGACCAAGGACACCGCCGCCACGAGCGCGACCGCCACCACGACCGACACCAAGGCCGAGAGTACTCTTTTTTGAGCTCCCCGCCCGTGGCACACCAACATTGTTGGCTCACGGTGGCGGGTGGTGGTGTGGTGGTGGCGGGTGGTGGTGTCAACGCTACGCAGAGTCGAAGGAGGAGCAGTTCAAGGAGTCCGGGCGGATGAAGGTGGTGCGCAAGGGTCGGGCCGCTATCGACGCCTTCTGCGACAAGGCCGAGTTTGTGCACGTACTGGAGCAGGGCGACACCATCTACAACGCCATGCTCAACTACGTACGTTCTGACCTTTACCCCACTCGTGTGCGGTGTGTGTCGTGTGCGTGTCGTGTGTGTCGTGTTGGTTGACCAACGATGTTATTTCAGTCGGACATCAGCGCGGGTCCTCGTGGCCGCAACGGTTTCTACTGCCTTCAGCTGTTGGAGCACGACCGCCTGCCCCAGTGGTACGTCTACCGCAGGTGGGGCCGAGGTACCGCCTTCCTCTTCGTCTTCTTTTTCGCTTTCTTTCTTTTCTTCTTTCTTTTGGGCGGTTTGTGATGGCGAGCGACGCTGACTTGAATGCTCTTGGGGTCAGTTGGCACGTCGGGCTCCAACACCTGCCACGACTACGAGGACCGCTCCGACGCCATTGAAAAATTCAAGGAATTGTACTACGAAAAGTCGGGCAACAACTGGGACGAGCGTCACGCGTTTGAAAAGGTACGCGCACGCGCACGCGCGCGCAACCACTCAGCACCCGCAACCGCTTACGTTAGGCTTCATTGAGCAGAAACCGGGCAAGTTCTACCCCATCGATTTGGACTACGGCACCGAGCAGAAGGACGTTGAGCTCATCGACGTCTCCAAGTCCACCGGTACGACCCACCACTACGGCGCGCGCTGCAGTCTGTCCGGGCTGCAGGTGCCTCATTCAGTTTACTCCTCATTCCTGACCGTGCCGTGTGAGCAGGTTCCACGCTCGACCCTCGCGTGCAGCAATTGATCTCGATCATGTTCGACATTGAGATGATGAAGAACACCCTCATCGAGCTCGAGATCGACGTCAAGAAGATGCCCCTCGGTATGCCGCTCATTCATTCCACACAATTTTTTGCGACATTAGGTCTCACACCACCCACCGCACCGCACCGCACACGTCACGTCGCCACCTTAAGGCAAGTTGACGAAGCGCAACATCCAGAACGGCTTCGAGGTGCTCAACGAGATCCAGGCCGTGCTGGACAGCGGCGAGAAGAACCAGGAGGCCCGGCTGCTCGACCTCACCAACAAGTTCTTCACCATCATCCCGCAGGACTTTGGCGAGGAGAGGCCACAGCCCATCGGTATGTTACTACTTTCCCGTCTTGGAATGCGTGGCATGCGACGGTGCCACGCGGGGCTCGAATTCTTGGCTTAATTCTCGCCCTCTGTGCGTGTAGACAACCTGGAGACGCTCAAGAAGAAGGTCGACATGCTGGAGGCGCTGCAGGACATCGAGATCGCCACCTCGCTGCTGCAGGGCGACAGCGCGTCCGGCTCCGCGCTGGATGACTGCTACAAGAAGCTCAACACCGCCATGTCGCCGCTCGACAAGAGCTCCGATGAGTACAAGGTTATTTTCATTTCCTTCTCTTTAGCTGCCAATTCCTGGCTACTGACATGACATGACATGACCCACACACAACACACATACCACACAACAGACGCTCAAGGAGTATTGCGAGAAGGGCCACGACACCAAGTACTTCCGCGATTTCACGCTCGAGGTGGAGGACATTTTCGCGGTGAAGAGGGTGGGCGCCGACGAGCTCTTCGCGCCGTGGAAGGACAATACCAACCGCCAGCTCCTGTGGCACGTACGTGAATTCACGACCTTTTCCAATCACACTGCGTGTGCGTGTGTGAGTGTGTGCGTGTGCGGTGGTGCGTGCGCACACGATCGATGGCTAACGCACAAGTGCGTGTGTGCAGGGTTCTCGGCTTTCGAACTTCGGTGGTATCCTTTCGCAGGGTCTCCGTATCGCGCCGCCCGAGGCCCCCAAGTCCGGTTATCGCTTCGGCAAAGGAAGTACGGTTCCCCACACTTTCTCATTTTTTGTTGTTTAAATTCATTTTACTAATTTATTTTGTTATGTGACAGTTTACTTTGCCGACTGTGTCTCCAAGTCGGCCTCGTACTGTCGCACGTCCAAGGAGGCCCCCACGGTACGGCCTGAGGCTGTCCACGGCACCGATCCGGCCACTGCGGTGACTCACATGTCTGTGATTGTTGCGTGTCATGCGTGCGTGTGCGCCCACTCTCAGGGTATCATGCTGCTGAACGAGGTCGCGCTGGGCCGTATGTGCGAGCTGCTCGACGACAAGTACATGGAGAAGCCCCAGCCGGGCACCGATTCGACCAAGGCCCTCGGCGCCACCGCGCCCGACCCCAATCAGGACATCTTCTGGTTCTCTCTCTCTCTCACACACACGACACACCAGCTCTACACTCCAAACTCAACCAAAAGATTTGGCGTTCACTCACATTCTTCACATTGTCCAAACGCGCCAACAACCCAGGAATGGAGTGAAGATCCCGCGGGGTGCGCCCAAACACACGGGCATCCGGTCGTCGTGCTCCCACAACGAATTCGTACCCATACGCCTTTGCCCTCTTCACTTTCTCGTGATCCCACCCCACCACCACTGACCCCACTTGTGCGTCGCGGTTCCATCGATAGATCGTGTACGACGTGGCCCAGGTGCACATCAAGTACCTCCTCAAGATCAAGTTCAACCACAAGTGGTGATCAAGACCCACTTTTTTCCACCGACGAACCACAAGAACACAAAAAATGCAAACAATTCAAAAAAAATCAAAAAAAAAGCCTTTGATTTATATTTACTTTTTGTTCGACACAGATGGAGGAGGGGGTCGACGTGGTGGCCGCCTGCTTCGCGTACCTGCCCCCCTGCAAACCACATCTTGTGCTGCTGCCTGCCTGCCCCTTGGGTGCATCCAGTTTCTAACCCCCCCCCCCGGCGGCATGTCGAGCAGGGAGGCGTGGGAGGCCGAAGCCCACCTGCGGTCGCTGTTGCGGAGTAGCGGGGCCGCCCTGCTGCCGCCCAGCCCTGCCCTCGACGCCGCTCGCCACCGGTACGTGCACCCGCCGCTCTGCGCAGTGTTCGCTGGGCTGCAGCAGAGCCGCGTAGGAAGGACTCATTGGTGGCGGTGCAGGTTGCGGGAGGCGTGCCGCCAGCTGCTGCTGACGGACGTGGCCTTTGGCGTGGAGAAGGACGTGGACCAGACCACATGGAAGCTGGGCCACTACCGCCTCATCGAACAGTACCGTCGCCGTCTGCGCAAGGTCGGTCGCGCTCTACTCGTTCTTTCTCTCTTTTTCTTTACCGACGCACACGCACACGCACACGCACACGCACACGCACACGCACACGCACACTCACGCACACTCACGCACGCACACGCACCACCGCACACGCACATGCCGCAGCTTCAAACAACGTCAGGAGCCAGCCCGGCGGAGGCCAAGGCGGCGAGCGAGTCGCTCGGTTCCTTCCTCGCCGAATCCTCCCGCTTCTACGCCGCTCTCCTGCAGGTCAACCATCTTCCCCCGCCGCGCCCGAGGGTCCACAAGGCTTGTCGTGTGTGTGTGTGTGTGTGTGTGTGTGTGTGTGTGTGCCGTGTGTGTGACGTGTGTGTCATGTGTGTGTGTGTGTGAGTGTGTGTGTGTGAGTGTGCCGTGTGTGCCGTGTGTGTGATTGACTGATTGATTGGTTGAATATCCAGGAGGTGAGCGACAGATATGCTGTGGTGCTGGATGGGAGCCTCACCTACGCGCGCGATGGCGCTGTGCCAGGCGATGGGGTGTTACAGACCAGCTCGCATCCGGCCTATCTGGCGTGCCACCGCTGTCTCGTCATACTGGGCGACCTGGGTTCGGCCCCTTACCTTTCTTTCTGCTTATCTTTTATTTACATATTAATGTATTATTTTAATTCACTTTATTTATATATTATTATCCGTCCATCCCAAGCGATGCACTGAGTCTCGGCTCCTCAACGATGCAGCCAGGTACCGCAAAGACGCGGCCAACTCGCCTGGCTGGGCCACCGAAGCTGTCAACCACTACAAGCGAGCCGTGCGCATCTGGGCCGATAACGGCAACGCGCACAACCAAGTACACACGCACACGCGCACACGCACGCACACACGCACACACGACACACACGACACACACGACACACACGACACGCACACACGCACACACGGCCAAGTGCACACAATGAAGGCTTATCGTGCTTCGTGGACCAGTTGGCGGTGGTGGCTACGCACAACGGCGATGATCTCGAGGCGGCCTATCGATACGCGCGGGCCATCAACACGCCGCTGCCGTTCCCCACCGCGCGGGACAACCTGGCGGTGCTCTACCAGAAGATCCGTCAGTCGCCCATCGACCCGACGCCGCCCACCCTCCCGGCCAGCGCCCTCCTCCCCAAGTTCCTCCTCCTGCAGGCCTCGATCGGCTGCCCTAGCGTGTACTAGCATGCCCTGTGCGTGTGGCGTGTGGCGTGTGGCGTGTGGCGGGCCGCGTGCGCCGCTGATCTGATTGAACTGAACTGAGCTGAACTTTGCCGCGACCCAGCGCTCCGGAGCGGTTCGATGAGCTGTGGGAGGCCTACCTGCGGCAGGCGGCAACGGTCGAGCTGGGCACCGCGCCGCTCACCGACCGCGTCCTCTACTGCATGATGACCATCAGCACATTCTCGGTATGTGTGCGAGTGCGATGCACGTGTGTGCGTGTGCGTGTGCGTGTGCGGTGGTGCACGTGTGTGCGGTTATTGACAAAGGTTGGGTATTGCCGCAGGTGGGCGATCTGCTCGGCAGGCAAACCGACAACGCGGAGGCATTCGAGCAGGCGCTGGAGCTGATGCTGCACTTGGCCGAGACTCTGCTCGCCGCTGCGGCCGCGGTCACGCCCGACACCCGAGGAAGCTTCGAGCTGCTGCCGGCCGTCGGGCACTTCCTCGGCTGGGCCGCCGCGCACCTCCACCCGCCTTCGCTCCTCGCCGCGCGACTCTCTGCGCGCGACCGCCTATGCGACTCCCTGCTGCGCCTGGCCAAGGCTCGCAACAACTCGGCCTCGGCCGGCAAACGGGCGTGGCCGGGCCATTGGGAGGACGAGGAGCTGCGCAGCGCCTTCGCGCTCGGCATGGAGCAGACCGGTACGTGCGCGACGCACACGCTCCACCGCACACGCACACGCACATACACACGCACACGCACACTTAAGGTGGCGCTCGGGGTTTAGCAGAGCAACACACGTCGATGCAGGTGGCCCTGGCCGCCCTGCGGCTGCACCAGTCGCTGCGGCCGCACCTGACCGAGCACCAGGAGGAGCCCCCCGGAGCCACCCCTGGGGTCTGGCCTCGCCGACGAGCCCGCCGTCCAGCAGCCCCAGCCCCCGCGCGTAGACGACAGCGCCGCGGGCCAAGCGCCGCCGGCGCCAACTGCCGCGCAGGGCCGAGAGAGCAGCCACCGCAGTCCCACTGCCCCGCCGGCTCCGCGGGCCGCAGAGCCACCACGACCCGAGCCCGCAGCCAGAGACCCCGCACCAGCGCCAGCGCCCGTAAAGCCAATGGCAGTTGAGCAGCAGGAGCAGCGAGAGGGCCGACCTGCGGAGGCTGGGGTGAAGCGGAAACCGATCGCCGATCATGTTGAAGAGAAGCTGGAGCTGGAGCTGGAGCAGGAGCTGCTTCCCACCACGACCACCGCCAAGACGACGACAACGACGAAGAAGCAGAAGAAGGCCAAGAGCGAAGAGCACCCGTACGTCGTTCATCACCACGGAATCTCGTGAATGTGTGTGTTACTTGGCTGACTTTCTCCCCCACTCTTTGCTTGGTGTGGCCGCAGAGTGCCACCGTCGCCAGCGTCGCGGTCCTGCCGGCAGACTCTGATCCTGCGCCACCCGTTCACAACCAGCCCGGCCTTCGGGCACGGCTGGCGGGCCGCCCTGCTCGCGGACACCCACGGATTCCCAACCGACAGCCGGTTCGGCCCACGGCCACCACAGCCCCAGCCCCCGCCGCCGCCACCGCCCCTCCCCGCCTCCACCAATCCGTTCCTCAGCCGCGTTTGAACGGACAACACACTTCCATTGAAACGGCTACATATTAATTTATCTACATATCAATATGTAGATATGTAGATATGTAGAAATGTTGCAAATAAATGTTCTTATGCTTCCAAGCTCGCGAGCCAGGCCAGGACGTCGGGGTGGTCCTTGGCGCAGTCGGCCGGGGTGGAGCCGCCGCGGGTGCGGGCCTGGGTAAGGTCGGCCCCGCCGGCCTCCACCAGCAGTCGCGCGCAGTCGGCCGACCCGGCGTGGGCCGCCGTGTGCAGCGGCGTCCAGCCGGTCATGTTGGCAGCGCGCACGTCGGCCCCGCACTGGCTCACCAGCAGCTCGGCGCACGCAACGCGCCCCGCCTCGCAGGCCAGCTGGAGCGGCGTGTTGCCGACATTGTTGCGGGAGTCGACAGTCGCGCCGCCGCGGGCCAGGAACACGACGAGCTGGGCGTGGCCGTAGTAGGCCGCATAGTGGAGCAGTGAATTGCCGTAGCCGTCGGTCAGGTCCACCTGCACGTCGGGCGTCGATGATGAAGATGACGACGACGACGACGATTGTTGGCCCCCGCAGTAGCGGAAGAGCTTGCGGACCACTTCGAGCTCGCCGTCCTTGACGGCCTGGATGAGCATCTTCTTGGCGGTGCCGCTGGGCCGGAGGAAGTCGCGGTAGGCGGCGGCCTCGTCGGGGGCGACCACCAGGTCGTCGTCGCACTGGAACGTGGGCCACCGCGTTGCCGCGGGAGGGGACACCACCAGCCCAGAGTCCTCCTCACTGGTGGCGGCGGCAGAGGGAAGCACTGGCTCCTCCCTTTCCATGGTCGTGTTCGAGATATGTGGGTTGAGCTAAAAGAATGAACAAAAAATCAAAAATGATATCGCCCCACCCAGATTTGAACTGGGGTCCCAGGTACCAGAAACCTATATGCTGCCAACTACACCATGAGGCGGAGAATAAAATCACGGCCAGGATGGCGGTCAGCTATGTGGTGAGGTAAAACAGCTCCGGACTGGGGTCCATGAGATGGCCAGCAAGAATCAAGTTACACCTGTGTTGTACAGCTTTACAAGCAGTTGCATAAACCCAGGTGCCCAGAACTGAGGCAAATTCGCCATAGAAAATTCTGTTCTCCCCAGCCAACCACAGCACACTTCACACAAAGAGGGCGTTAAGCACAACTCGCCGCAACACCAACACGCCCCGACACTCTGCAGAGTCGCAGACTAGAAAAAGCGGACTGCAACCTTCAGCAAGTGGAACAGCACGTCCCTGGAGTTCGTGGTGGGCTCGCTCAGCGCCTTCGACTCCGAGTCGGCCCAGTTCTACTCCCGTACGCTTTGCTTCACCATTTATATTTATATTTATATTTATATTTATATTCATTTGTTTATTTGTTTATCTATCAATTTGTTAATTTTATGTTATTTTGTTGTGCAGTGGTCGGCAGTGGCGGTGGTCCGCCCGTGGCTCTGGTCACGGTTTCGGCCAAGTCGGGCGAGGTGGAGAACGCGGTCTACTTCAGGAACAGGGCGCAGCCGGCAGGCCTCTTCGTCTTCTAAGCCCAACATAGATGTTTTGTTGTGTTGTGTTTTGTTTTTTTAACTACATGTCTGTCTTGCGGTAGGCATCGGCCCAGGCCTCGGGAATGTTGTTTTGGTTGGCCTTGTACGAGGGCACGAAGTTCTATTTACATATATCGGTTTGATTTTTTGTGTATGTACAACATGTTGTTTTGTCTTGATGGACGTTGATTGGTTGTTGGCTGGTAATGCGTTGACGATGGGACAGTCTCATTCAGGAGAACCACGAGCTGATGGAGTTGAGGTCCGTCAGGTGCATCTGGCCGTTGGGTCCCGCATTCGTGTCTGCGCCCTGTTGGTCTTGGGCCTGATTCCTGTCCGAAGCGTCAGTCGCCGTGTGCGCGTGTGTGTGCGGCGGTGTGTGCGGCGGTGTGTGCGATAAGGAATGATAGGTGTACCCCTGATCGGGTGAGTGCGGGTGGGGTGGTGGCAGGCCGGCAGCCCAGGCGCCGCCACCAGCGAGCATTTCGTCCAACAGGAACTCCTCCTGCTGGTGCGGATGCGACATCCACCCGAACGGAAGCCCTCCCGCCGCTGTGCAGAAGTGGATCAGTCCCTCTTTAAATATATATACATCATTTTTGTAAATATAGTGGCGTAAAGGCGCACCTTCGGTCATTATCTCGGCCTTGTCGGTCACCATGCTGTCGCTGAGCAGCGAGAGGCAGCTGTCATCCAACGTTTCACTGCTGTCGTAGCTCCCTCCCTAAAACACACCATGTGTCGACACAAATCGCTTACTGGTCAGTTCTTATTGTTGCCATGCAACCTTCACCACCACCGGGTGGTGGATAGCGTACCGGGGTGAAGAGCGAGCTGATGTCAAAGCCCAGAGGCGGTTGCTGCGTCTGGTGGCCCTGTTGCTGGTGCTGGGCCTGGGCGTGGTTGTGGTTGTGGTTGTGGTTGTGGTGGGGTTGGTCGGCGGCTCCGCCGGCGGAGGGTGTCGAGGTGGGCGGGGTGGAGGGCACGTGGAAGGCGGGGTGCTGCGGCGACTGGGCCGGCACCGAGGGCCACGGCAGCGACAGCCCCGGCTGCTGGCCAGGGAATGCGGGGAATGCGTTGAATCGCAGGTGTTGCTGCTGCGGGTGCTGCTGTGGTGGGAGTTGCGGGTGCTGGTGGTGCTGATGGTGGTGGTTGTGGCCGTGGCCGTGGCCGAGGTGGTGACCGTATGGCGGGTGCTGCTGGTGCAGCCGAGGTGGAGGCTGGTGGTGCATGTGTGGCGGTTGCGGCTGGAGGAGGTGGTGGGACTGCGGCTGGTGCGGCATGGGAGAGGGCAGCAATGGAAAGGGAGGCTGGGCCATGCGCCGCGTATCCCGCCCGAACTAGCCCAATAATGGAATGTGAGCAATGAGATTGCGATGTGTGGAATGTCGAGGTTGACGCGCAACGCATACCGGTGAAGGAAGTAGGCTGCCGCGCAGGGGAGGCGAAGATTGGCGCGAGTCACAGAACTCTCGCGAGCCGCGCGGCGAGACCACCATGTCCTCTGCCGATGGCATCGACTGGTCGAACGTGAACGCCGGCACACGGCTTGCTGCAGTCAGATACCAATCATCGATGTACCCGTCAGCAATTCACTCCTTATTGGTCGATCACACGTCAGCTGTTGGTACCGGGTGTCTGGTTGGCGGTGGGCGAGCGGTGCTGGGGCCTGCGCCGCGGCGAGGACTTGGGGCTGGGGTTGACCGCGGCTTGTGATGCGGCCGTCGAGGCCGGTTCTGACGGAGGCCCGGGGCAGGGCCGATTGAGTGCCGAGCGGGCCGACGGCGCCGACGAAGGCACCGACGAGCCTCGGCAAGGCGACGACGCCGATGAAGTGGTCTTGGCTTCGCTCTTGCCGCCGGCGCCGCTGGGGTGGCCGTGGCGCTGGGTCGAGGCCGAACGGGCCTGTGCGGCCGACACCGCCGACGAAGCCGATGTTGTGGTGGTCGACGACCCTGACGATGACGGCGTGGGCTGTGTGCTCTCCTGACCGGCCGAAGAGGTGGAGGAGCTATGCTTGGTGCTGGTGCTGCTGCTGCTGCTGCTCTTGCGGGCCTTCTTGGACTTGCGTTCACTGCGGCTCGTGTGTTTCTTGGAGGAGTGGCGCCCGCTCTTGCTCTTCTTGCGCTTGGACCCACCGGGCTTCTTCTTCGTCTTGTCGCGGTACTTGTCAAAGTTGTTGCCGCTCTGGCCCAGCTGCTCCAAGAACAGGTGGACCTTCGTTAGGTCCGGCGCGCCACCTGCACGCGCGGTGCGTTGTGTTGCAGAGCAACGCAGAAGTTGGTTAGTTTGTTGTTTTGCAAACGCAAAAAGAGGCCCAGGCATTCAAAGAATCCTAAAAATAATCACAGCTCTTCATAATTTAGGTAAGTCTGATTCCGCGCACTTAAGCTCACCCCAATCGCGTCAGGTGCGGGTGAATCAATCAATCGCACACTGGCCAAAACAAAGACCTAGTTGCACCGTGCGGCGGGGAGGTGCCTAAGCCAACCATCACGATTTGAGCAGATAAAAATGAACACGAAACACTTGAATCTCAGATGCATCGAACATCAGGGGCAGCTCAGAACATCTCTCTCCCCAGCAGGACATAGCACCATCGTATCAGGCAAATGCGCGCGGACAGGAAGAACGAGAGAAGTGGTGTGTGGCGGGGTGAAGCGGGTCGAGTGCACGTGCCTATGATGATGCTGCCCAGGGTTTCGATTGCGGTGAGCGGTACGCGCGGCTGCTTCTCCTTCTTGAAGGGCAGCGAGGCGTGCAGCGGTGTGCCGCCGGGCGAGGTAGGGACCGACAGGTGGTCGCTCTCGGCAAAGGGCGTGGCGGGGGCGGACTCGTCGGAGGGCGGAGGCGGCGAGGCCACCATCTGCCCCGCACCACTGTCGGCTGACGACGATGAAGACGACGACGACAAGGCCGACGAGGGTGAGGGCGTGGGCGTGGGCGAGTCGAAGCCGAGCATGTACGACGTGGGCGAGCGCGGGGAGGCACAGCTGCTGCTGCTGCTGCTGCTCGAAGGCGGGCTGCGGAGTGCGCCGAGCTCGTTGAGCACCACGTCGACCGTCAGCACTGCCGATGCGTAGGACACGCTCGACGACGATGACGACGACAACGACGCAGGCGAGGCTGATGTGGCCAGCAGCTTGGTAGACGTCGACGTTGATGAAGAAGACGAGGGTGGCATAATGCAGGCTGACGGTACGACCACGGTCGGGTTGGGCGCAGCGGCTGAGGCAGTGGACATGTCGAGTGTCGCGCGTGTCGTCGAAACCAACCAGCTCCCTTCTCTTTCGTCCCGTGTATGAAGTCAGCTAGAAGTTTACCTGACGTGAGGTACCCACGTTAGACGAGGTAAGCTGATGCTGCGCTGCGGTTCGTTCACGTCGTGGTCTGTGGCGTAGAAGAAACAGAAAAGTGAGATAGTGGGCTGGGCTATTTAAAGTGCCGACATCCTCATCCGCACCTGGACTGGTCGCACCAGGCCCGGCAGGGAGCAATTTGGCGTGGATTCATAGCTCGCTTTGTTTCCGGTGGTGCCGAAGGAACAAGGGAGGTGATGCACCAATGCCGCACCGGGACCTGGTGTCCTGTATCTCTTCGCCTCAGGCAGCGGCACAACTCCCACGCTGACGTCAGCCCCGGATTTTGACCAGTAATTTCCCGGTGTTGATATTTGATGTCCGGTAATTCCTGGGCATCGCACCTCCATAGTTTAAGGTGGCGACCGCAAGTCTGAAATTTCGATGCCTTGGGCGGGAGTCGCGTGCTTGGCCGCTGGGCGTGAACCCTTGTCGTTCGTGTCTTGAGCTGCGGTGCGGCCGTTCGAACAAGTTAAGCTGCTGCTGCGAAAAAGGATAGATATAGAGGGACGATTCAAGGAGGATGATGGTGTACCGGCAACCGATGGCAGGCCTGAGGTTGAACCCACTCCCAGTCCGAGGATGTGCCGGTCGCGGGACGCGTGCACTCTCGTGGTGACCGGTGGCGGTGGAAGGGGATCTTCTGCGCGGTAGAGTGTGGCCACACCAAGAGGGCAAAAGTACAGGAGAAGCCGCAGGTTGGGATCACGAGTCCGGCCGACCTTTGGTATGTCAGTGTTCGCGAACTCTGGCGGGAGGTGGTCGTGGGTTCGAACCGGGACCAGGAATCGAACGCAAGATGGGAGAGACCGGGCGGACAGTGTGACCTAGGGTACTACTTGCACGCGCCTGACGAGCCTGCCACCACCTTCTCTCGATTGTTCTGCGAGGCGTACCTCATGCCGTGCAGTAGAGCTTGACTGGCGCTCGGCAAGGCCGGGCCGGGTAGCGCCCGGCGTGGTGGTGTGAACTGCACGGGTCTGGTGGTGTTGATTGATGATAGGAAGTGGGTGAACAAGCTGTAGTGGGATAGGCACGGATAGAGTGAAGGTTGTTTGAGTTGTGGTGGCCGGCGCAATTGGAGGAGAGGTACCTACCGACGACCTCGTCCACCCGAGAAGAGCGCAGGCTCCACACCGCTGGCCAAGCTTGAAGGACCCTCCCTCTCTCCCACTTCTGTTCGCCGGTCCAGACCGAGCGGAGTGGATCTCGGCGGAAGACGGGCGCAGAAAAGCGAGGAAATTAGAACTTGCGTGGTTGCATCGCGGCGGGTGCGAAGGAGTTGCATGTGAATCCCAGGTTCTACGCGTACTTTCCCTGCCTGCCAACCCACCACTGGGCGCGCTGCGTGCGCTGAGGTGAGCTGAGACTGAGAGAGAACGAAAGAGAGAGGCAGCGGACCATTGCGTTTCCGGCTTCCAATTCGCGTGGTGGCACAGCCAGACGAGCACACGACTAGAACACTCAACCAAGAGAATGAGTGTGAACACTCAGAAATGTTGTTTTTTTAGTGTTTTTATCAGCGGCGGCGGCAACCATAGTACATGCGTGGGGTGAGGTGGGGGAATCGATGCCCTCTCTGGGCTGTCAGTCGTAGGCAAAGTCCTTGGCCGCGATCAGGATTGCCGCATCGTCCTCTGTTGATCGAACAAACATTGCAGATGAGTGGACAAGACATGGTGAGGTGTGCGCGTGCGGTGGTGCGTGTGCGGGTGCTGAGGGCCGAAGGCGTACCAGTAAGCAAAGCTGCGCGCAGAGCCTTCAGTTTCTCCACGATCGACGCGTTGATGTGTGACGACACAAATATGAATTCGTCTTTTTCCTCGTCGTCGTCCTCCTGCTCACTCTCTTCCTCCTGTCCGTTCTTCTTCTTCTCCATCATCGTCTGCATCTTCGTCTCCTTTGTCGTTGTCAGCTCCTTCGCCTTCACCGCCGCGCTCCCGTTGTCCTTGTCATCGCCCTGTTCCTCCTCCATCTTTTCCACCACCCCCTGCTCACCGTCTTCTCGCTCCGGCTTGGCGTCCACCGTTGTCGTCGTTGTCGCCGCCACGCCGTTCCCAGCCTCCGCCTTCTGCTGCTTGTCGACAAATTCTTCCGCCGCGTTTCCGCTCGCGTCGTCCGCCTTGGCCGCCTCGAGGCCCTGCTGGGGGTCGGCCACCGCCACGGCCGGCGTCGACGTCGACGTCGCCTCCAATGAGTTCGTCGAGGCTGAAGCCGAAGTCGACGATGACGAAGCCGGTGCGTCGCCGCTGGTGCCGAGCTTGGCGGCCGGTGTGGGCGTCGTGGTGGGGGTGAGCGACGTGAGCGTGACACCACCCTCCTTGGCCGCGAAGTGCCGCCGCCAGTACTCCTCGATCGAGCCCTCCCACTCGCTCCCGCCGTTCTCGCTCACCATCGTCATCCACTCCTCGTAGCCCTCCTTGCTCTTGCGCGGCCGACCCCGCTTCTTGGGCGGACCCTTGGGCACCGGCGGCGTCGGCGTCGCCGACTTGTCCTTGGGCGGCCGGCCGCGCTTTCGCTTCACTACCACCGGTTCGCCCGTCGCGCTCCCCACAGCCGCCGCCGCCACCGTCGTCGTCGCCGTAGAGCCGTCGCCCGTGGGCGCAGGTGTCGCGCTGGGTCCAAGCGAGGCAAAGTCGGCGCTCGTAAGGTCTGTGGCAGAGGTGGTCGTGGTCGTGGTGGAGCCGCCAGTGATGTCGCCCATGATGATGCCGGCGCCGGCGGGGGCAGCCGAGGGCACGGCCTCCGGGGCCGCTGCTTGCGCGACGATGGGCGGCGGCTTGGGCTTGGGCGGGCGGCCTCGTCGCCGCTTCACACCCGGGGTGCTGGGGCTCGCGCCGCTCGAGACCGGCGATGGTGACATGAGCGCCTCCGCCGCGTTGGTCGGCGGCGTCGTGGTTGTGGCCATCGCGGCATCGGTCGCTGGCGAGTCCTCCAGTTTTCGCTTCTTGGGCGGCCGGCCGCGCTTCCTGGGTCCGGCCGGCACCGCGTCGGGGCTCACCGGCGGCTTGGGTTTGGGCGGCCGCCCGCGCTTTCGCTTGACCGGCGCCGCGGCCGCGGGCGGCGGCATCGCAAGCGACGGCGACTCTGTAGAGACCACCACGGGCGCCTCCGCCGCCGCAGTCGTCGGCAGTTCTGTGGTTGTGGCCGTCGTCGTCACCGGCGCCGTCGCAGGCGTGGCTGTGGCTGTGGCTGTGGCTGTGGCCGGAGCCGTGGCTGTGGCCGTGGGCGTGGCAGCACTGCCATTGGTCGGCGCATCTTGCTCCATCGCGTCATTGATGGCTGTGTGGCTCGGCCCCGCGTTGGTCGCCGCCGACACGATCATCGTCGGCTCTACTGGTGGGACCGGCGCAGTCGCGGGCTCGGTAGTGGAGATTGGCGCGGTGGGCGGCATCGGCCCAGTGGCGCCGGTGGTGGTCGGTGTCGCAGCGGCGGCGGCGGCCACCTCCATATGCTCGCTCGGTTGTGGTTGAGGCGGCTGCGGCTGGACCGGGAGGAGCAGGCAGGGCTGTGGCAGGTGCTCGGCCGGTTGTGTCTGGCCGCCCGCGGGCGGTTGCGTGTGGTCATAGGGCGGCGCGCCGACTGCGTGGTTCGTGTGGTGTGAGGTGAGAACGCAAAGACAGACACGAGGCAACGGTCGGCAGTTGAGCGAAAAGAGTTTGTTTACGAGTGTAAACAACGTTTCTACTTCTGTGCGAGAGATGGACGGTTGTAACGGTCTGAATCTTAATCTGGCGAATTCAATCAATTCGATTTGATTTGCTTGAGGCAGCACTACGCACCAAAAAACGAATAAAATATTCAATTAAGAAGAGCGATTTGTACCTATGAAGGAATTAATTACGTGGAGGTCCATCGACAAAGCCTTGGGTACGTTTGGTTTGCGCAACGAAAAATAACAAATAATAATTCTAACATTTTTTCTCCGGTCTTTTTTTCTGCAATTAAATGCTATTATTGGCCATTTTTACAACCGCTACAATAATAATCTAAAAGGCCACAAATAAATAAAATAAAAATTTTCAACACAAACACTACAAGGCTCGCTAAACCACCCAAGGGAACCTCCACCAAGTCGGCTGCACGCACCACCGTCAGCCCCACCGGTCAGAACAAACACTGTGGAATAACTGTGCAATGTAGTTATTTCTAATTTCTCTCAGGCTATCTTGAAAGAAATGAGCATTTCCCCTCAATAACGGCCTCCGGAGAAGAAACAAAGAACCAAAATAATCGCAAGCACATCAGCATACAACAAAACGGGCACAATGCAGAAGGCACCAGAGGAACCCAAGCTGCCCAAGACGAAGCAGGAGAAGGACAAGGGTGGCCGCCTCATTGTGATTCTGGTACCCTCCCGATTTTATTTTACTCTTGATGATTTTTTGTCTCCGCAACCAGATTTAATCATCTGCCATCTAAAGCGACAAACAAACGGGTGTTAACGGGTTTTTTTGATGCTAATTGAGCCTACTGCAATCTTCATCACAACAATAGGAGAATGCATCGCTCGAGACGGTGAAGGTGGGTAACAACTATGAACTGCTGGAAGGTGATGAACACAAGAGCTTCATGAAGAAGAGGAAGCGCGAGGACCAGGAAGCCCGCCCGGACATTGTGCACCAGGTACTCTTGCCCGTGGCAGTGCGTGTGAGGTATGAGCCTTGGCAACTAACTGGCGACGCGCGTGCAGTGCCTGCTGACGCTCCTGGACAGCCCGCTGAACAAGGCCGGCAAGCTGCAGGTCTACATTCACACTTCCACCAACGTCCTCATTGAGGTCAACCCGCGCACCCGTATCCCCCGCACATACAAGCGCTTCGCCCCGCTCATGAGTGCGTCCACCGTCCTACATTCGTGCATACTTTGCATATCCAGACTCACATGCATGTTAATCGTGTTCCGTGTTGTCAGTTCAACTGCTGCACAAGCTCAGCATCCGAGCCACGCAAGGCCCGGAGAGGCTGCTGCAGGTCATCAAGAACCCGATCACGGATCATCTGCCCACCGGAGCTCCCAAGCTCGGTACGGCCGCACTAAAATAACATAATAATATACTAATATTCTCGTTACTGCCCCTCGCTGATTCACTCTCCACACTTCTTCTTCGCGCTTGTGTTGTGGTCGTTTTAGGTGCTGAGTACGACGCACCGACTTGCCAGCCCCTGTACGAGATTGTGAAGACACTTCCCGATGACCTCCCCGTGGTGTTCGTTGTGGGTGCCATGGCTCATGGATCGGTACGTCATCCTTGATCTCGCTCCTCCTCTCCCATGGAACAAGGCGAGGTGCTAACGTCAATTCCTCCACAGGTGGAAGTCGACTACGTGGAGCGCAATGTCTCCTTCTCCGAGTACCCGCTTTCGGCTTCTGTGGCGTGCGGCAAGATTTGTGACGCCTTTGAGATGAAGTATGGCGTTCTATAAACCATGCGTGCACCCTGCAGCTTGAACCACGTCCGCCCCCAGACGACTACTTGCCGCCTACCCCCACAACGCTGTAGCAGCCTCCCTTCAGCACCAGGCTGAGTAGTATCAACGACACCCTCTCATATAGATTGTAGATTTTTGAAGAATGTCAGGGGTTGAGCAATGCTGCATTCCACGCATTCCAGCGAAACGCCTGGCGGACATGAACGGGGAGGTCATCACGATGTGGGTGGTGTCCACACGAAGGTGTGCCGGGAGCACCACCTCCGAAACTGGGCGGGCGAAAATAAAGGGAAACTGTTGGTGGGGCGGAAGACCTTCACCTTCTTGTCCAGCGGGAAACTCTTCACGAAAAGCACGAGCAGCTGCGGTGCCGTCATCGGATTCAAGAAGAGCTGAAGCGTGCTGTCTCCTCTATCTTCAATCGCGGATTGTTGATTGCTGGCAAGCTGGCAAAGGATTTATCCATCACTTCTTCGGCGACGCTTGTTCTGAGGCGACGATTAATTGCTCACTACGAAGGGCCATCTACGAAGGGCAATGGAAATCGAAGACGTGTACACGTTTCGCGATCTCCACACGAATGGGGCTGCAAATGGAGTGAACGGCACCGAACCATCGCCACAGAAGGTGAATGGACATCAAGACAAAGACACGATGGAAGGAGAAAGCAAGGTACACGTGCTCAGTCATCTTCTTTCTATCGACACTGAGATGTTCTCGATCAAGCTTCCCATCAGACCACAACCTTTTGATGTGCCATTTTCTCATCCTCACTTTTGCTCAATCCAGGCAGCGAAGAGGAAGCTGCTCGAGGAGCGTGCCGACCTGCGCGCCCAGACGCAGTACATGGTCCCCACCTACGAGGAGCTCACCGAACGGTACCCATCCTCTCCCGACACTCGCTTCCTCGCTGGCGACGACGGACCACACCCATTCGTTTGGTTCACGAATGGAGACTCGTGGCTATGATCACTTCCTGAAGGCGGCAAGTGTGACCTGATGCCGTGGCCTAAACCTCATCTTACTTACCAGCAACTCAGCATTCGCTTTCTCTGATCGCTTTCGTTCTTTCTTGTGTGTGTGTGTGTGTGTGTGTGTGTGTGTGTGTGTGTGTGGTGTGTGTGTGTGTGTGTGTGAGGGTGTCCGGTTAGGTATGAGCAAACGCTGGCGTTGAGTGCGAGCACCAAGTCGATGACGGACCTCTTCTCCGTGGACCGCCTGCTGGAAGCGGGCGTGTTTGCGCACATGCTCGAACCCATCCTGGACGACGAAGACGACGAAGGGATCAGCGACGACGAGGGCCTCTTCACGCTGACCGATCAGACCCCCACCGCAGGTACCTGCACCACACCACACCACACCACACCTCACCTCTTCTCCTCCACCCATTCGGCCGAGTGCTTTGAATAACTCACTGATGACCGGCGGCGCCTCCACCACCACTCCATGTACAGAGAGCCTGGCTAGGAGGAGAGCGGAGCTCACCTGGAAAGGGGAGATCACCGAGAAAGTCTACCGGGCACTGCTGAAGCAGCACAAGACCGAGCGACGGCTCCGTCGTCTGGCTGAGCAGGTGCATTTCGGGTCCAAACGACTTTTTCCACCTGAATTCAGTCAACTCACTCTCTTGATCGTTTGGCTTCAGGGGCGATTGCTTGAAGATGGCCAGCGGGAGCTCAAGAGGCTCAGGGTCGACTCGTTCTTGGACGACAGCAGTACGCCTCAGCCGCACCCCTTCCAACCAATCTTTTCAGCACACCTAATGCACGTGTGCACACAAACAAACGAAGCCGTTACAGACAAAGAAGGAGGCGAAGACGAAGAAGACTCTGCCCTGCTGCGTGACCTCAAACGGCGCTTCGGCAAGCCCAAGCGGTACAAGCGAATCAGTCCCTCGCGCTACGTCCTGTCACCCATGGGCGACACCAACTTTTACATCGGTACACGTGCCCGCCATTCTTTCGGGTTGGTCTGAGTCAACAGTTGCTATGCCAGCTGCGTCCACCCACCCACTCACCACTTACACTCCTCAACGCGAATCGCTTGTGGTTGCTGCTACAGATGCCGAGGACGACTACTTTAGTTACGAGCAGGCCGCGCGCTACGGCTACGCTGAGGAGGGAGGAAAGTTCAGGGAGAAGCCACACAAGGTATATTACAGCCCTGGCCCGGCGCGTCTTTCGCACTCCTCCCGTGTTCTCGTGCATCCGACTAACGATGGGTCAATCGCAGGGGGACAAATATGCTCTGTTGGAGCTCGCCCACTTGCCGCCGGAAATGAACAAGGAAGAGTTCGCCCGGGCCTGGACACAGATCGTCAAGCGGTACCAGCCCGCAACAACGCTATCAGCGTAACCGAGTATTGCTGACACATACTCAACATATAGGGACATGCCACGCGCACACCGGCAACATGTGGCTTCGCGCCAGGCCACAATCAACAACTGCAAGGTACCTTACCGCCTGCAGTTCTTCTCTTCATTATTGCACGCATCAGGGCATCAAATAGCTGACTTTCGCTGGCGACTGGAAAACAGAAACTCGCGGTCATGTGCCAGAAGGAGATGCAACGACGCGCCATTCTCTTGCGGCGACAGGGCAGGGACGCCAACCTGCGGGCCAAGAAGATGGCACGAGAGGTACGTCCGGTTCCCTCTGCGAACCCTCCAATCTCACCCAAACGAAGCAGTTGTTGCGGTTGCCCGCAAACACTCACACTTACGTGTCACAGATGGCCGTTTGGTGGCGAAAGCACGACAAAGAGCAGCGGGCGGCCCTCAAGAAGCGAGCTGCCGAAGGTAAGCCGCACCACTCTTTTTCGTTTTCTTGTGTGGCCCGAGAGCCGCTCCTTTTTGGCGTGCGCCACACACTCACGATCGTGGCACCACGCACACGCACACGCACACGCACACGCACAACACAGACCGAAAGAAGAAGAAGGAAGAGGACGAAAGGAGGGAAGCACAGAGGCAGCAGAAGAAACTCAATTTCCTCATCACCCAAACGGAGCTCTACTCCTATTTCATCGGCAGGAAAATGCCAGGCCAAGAGTCCAGCACAGCCACGGTACGCTAACTGCAGCATAATTTGCTGTGTGTTGTGTGTGGTGTGTGGTGTGTGGTGTGTGGTGTGTGGTGTGTGGTGTGTGGTGTGTGGTGTGTGGTGTGTGGTGTGTGGTGTGTGGTGTGTGTGTGGATTGTTATAATTGATTGAGCGTTTTGCCTTCTTCAGGCCGAAGGCGTGCCTGCTCCTCCGCCGCCTCCGCCGTCGACTATGGTCACTCCACGCGTCGTTGGCCGACATCCACGTGCGCCTACACCACCTAGCATCATCTGGATGCGGTTGAGATTCAATCTCTAATCAATGACTGTGCTGTTCACACACAGCCAAGGCAATGCAGCAAGCCGCTCCAGAAGCCGAGGCCGAAGACGCTGACCTGGACCCTGAGCGCGCCAAGGAAGCGGCAGAGGTTGTCTTCCCTTGGGTGGTCAACATCAGCCGGCTCATGATCAGGTGTTAACCTTCATGAATGTTTTACGTTGTGTGTGTGTGTGTGTGTGTGTGTGTGTGTGTGTGTGTGTGTGTGTGTGTGTGGTGCCTTTCAGATTGCCTGGAAGCGACAGATGGACAAGACTGCTGAGTTTGACAAGGACCAACAGAAACTGCGAGAAGACGCCATCAACTTCCAGGCCGAGGAAAATCAGCAGCTCGCTCTGTCTCCATCGATCGAGACGATCGAGAAGGGCACCCACGACGAAGGTACACACTACCTCCCTGCTCCGCCACCTTTCTCTCAACCACACCAGCCAGTTCTCATCAGCTGTTAACGAACCGCTTGCTTACGTCATCACACCGCACCGCCAACAGGCGACCTCACCCACCCCTCCACAATGCCCGCGGAGTTCATCACCGTTCCCAAGATGTTCCGAGGCAAACTCAAGGTTTGTAGTTGGGCACTTCTTGGGCGGGCGGGCGGGCGGGCGCTCGGGAGCCAACCGATATCTTGGGCGGGCGGGGGCTGTGGCTGACCGTGCCTGTCTGCAGATGTACCAGCGGAAGGGTCTCAGTTGGCTGGTCAACCTCTACGAGCAGGGCATCAACGGCATCCTGGCAGACGAGATGGGCCTGGGTAAGACCGTGCAGTCCATTTCGTTCCTCACCTACCTGGCCGAGGTACGCACAGTGTGCGAGTTCTTTCCCAGCGCCCGTGCTATGGATTGCAGTCAAGGTGTGACCGTTATTGTGATCCATTAGGTGAAGAACATCTGGGGCCCGTTCCTTGTTCTGGCGCCTACCTCGACGCTCCACAATTGGCAGCAAGAGATCACCAAGTTCTGCCCCGCTCTCAAGGTAACGTTACACGACACGACACGACACGACACGACACGACACGACACGACACGACACGACACGACACGACACGACACGACACGACACGACACGACACGACACGACACGACACGACACGACACACACCACAACGAGCACTTGAGATTGAAGCGGAGTACTCCTCCCCTTTCAGGTGCTGCCGTACTGGGGCTCGCAGAAGGACAGGAAGGTCATCCGTAAGTTCTGGAATCCTCGCCACTTGTACACCAGGCACGCGCCCCGTTTTTTCTCTCGTGCGCGCACAGTGCCGGTGGCGTGGTGACTGACTGTACTCTCGTTGATCGCCAGGAATTCGCCTTTCCACGTGCTCATCACCAACTACAACATCGTTGTTCGGGACGAGTCCTTTTTCCACCGGTACTGTGTTGTTGTTGTTTTTCTTGTTACGGTTTTTTATTCTTAGAAAGGTTTGGGCGTGTTGTCTCACTTTGATTGGCGGCCAACGGCGCCGAAACCCCATGGCAGGATTAAGTGGGAGTTCATGGTGCTGGATGAGGCCCAGGCGATCAAGAGCGCTTCGTCGGCGCGATGGAAGAGCCTGCTCTCGTTCTCGTGCCGCAACCGGCTCCTCCTCACTGGCACGCCCATTCAGAACTCCATGGCCGAGGTGCCTCTCTCATTCTCTCTCTCTCTCTCTGCCTCCTGTTGCAATGCATTGCATGGCGTGCTGGCGTGCTCGCAATGACTGTCGCTCATGACTTCTCAACACTCGCGCGCGCAGTTGTGGGCGTTGCTGCACTTCATCATGCCCACGCTCTTCGACTCGCACGAGGAGTTCACCGAATGGTTCTCCAAGGACATCGAGAGCCACGCCGAGAACAAGTCCGCGTTGAATGAGCGTACGTTCGTTGAGGCGCTGCCTGGGCGTAAGCCGCTGACACATTCTTTACGTGCCGCAGATCAACTGAGCCGCTTGCACATGGTTCTGAAGCCGTTCATGCTTCGTCGACTCAAGACGGACATCGAGTTCGAAATGCCCAAGAAGGTTCGCGAGCTTCACCACACAGTGTCGGCGGCCCCCTCCCCCCAAAAAAAGAAGAAACCGAACTAACGCCGCGGTTCTCAGTTCGAGGTGGAGGTCAGCTGTGGCTTGTCGCCCCGGCAGAAGGCTCTGTATCGCGCCATCAAGGAGAAGCTGAACGTGGCCGAGCTGCTCACCCACAGCTTTGGCGACACCGCCGCGACCAACAGCGACCTCATGAACCTCGTCATGCACCTCCGCAAGGTTTTCTTTCTCTTTCTTTTCCTTTCATTTTCTTTCTACGCGTGTGTCAGTCCGTCGGTGTCGGTGCTAAGCGGGGGGGGGTATCGCGCAGGTGTGCAACCATCCGGAGCTGTTCGAGCGAGGCACGTACAGGTCGCCCTGGCAGTACCGGCCACCGGCCACCACCGAGCAGTACTCCACGCCACCCAAGCCCTCCCCCGTGAAGCTCCCCAAGCTCCTCTACCAAGGTTCGGCCGCGCTTCCCTTCCTACACCGCAAAGAGGGCGAACCATGCACTAAACTGTGAGCGTGTGCGGTGTGTGCGGTGTGTGCGATGCAGAATTGGACGGCGTGCAGGAGCTGTACAACTACCCGGGCCTCATCCTCAGTCCAAGGAGCGCGGTGATGCGAGACCACTTGGACATATTCTCTCCCGAACACATCCACCACTCGCTCTTCCCCAAGAATGCTCCCAGCAAATACTCAGGTATGCGCCGTGTGTCGTGTCTGTCGTGTCGTGTCGTGTCGTGTCTGTTGTCATGTCTCGTGTCGTGTCGTGTCGTGTCGTGTCGTGTCGTGTTCTAATTGTTGTGGTCGATTTCTGCAACAACAGTGTCTTCGCTGTTCTCGTTCACGCGCTTTGCCGATATGTCGCCTGCGGAGCTGGCGTGGATGGCGAAGAGCGGCGCGCTGGAGCGATGGGCCGTCCACATCAACCACACCAAACGACGGCACGAACGACTGGGCGCCATCTACCCCCACTCGACCGTGTCCCTCTTCCCTTCCGCGCAACCGACCCACCGCCGCCGGGTCGGCAGCGGCGACATCACGGTCCGTCCCTCCACACACGCGCGCGCGCACACACACACCGCGGCCCAGCGGCCAACCTGAACTACTTCTAACGAATTTTATTATTTTCATTTTTGTTGTAGGTGGTCGAGGAAGACGAGAGCCGGGTGGCGCCGTATTACTACCCCTCGGCGCCGATCAACAACCGAGCGCTCCTCCTCCTTCCCACAATTTTGGTACGCCGGCACGCACGTAATTCGGGAAGAGTGGCTTCGTGTGTGTGTCGTGTCGTGTCGTGTCGTGTCCTGTGTGTGGTCATGCCCTGGGCGGGCGCACACAATTCTGACGCTTGGACGCTCGGGTCCGCACACACAGAATCCGTTGGCGACGTCGGACGCGCTGTTGAGACCGATCGCCACGCGGCGGCTGGTGCTCACATCGCAACGACAGCGGTTGGAGGAGATGCGACCCACCATCCACGCCATTCGCTACTACATGCCCAAGGTGACTCCCATCATCACCATCACCATCATCACCATCGCCATCGCCATCATCACCATCGATGACGTCATGACGTTGGTTGTTGCTCACCTTCTTCTATCATCATCGTCAACCCCAATGGTGACTACAGGCGGCGGCGGCACCCCATGAGCTGTACACGTCGATGAAGCGACAGGTCAACCAACAGCGATCGCTCATGTTTAACGACTGGGCCCAGCGGCTGCTGGTCGGCGAGGGCGCCTTCCGCGCGCCCACGAGGCAGCGCAAGCTGCCCCGGCTGCTCGAGGAGATCAAGGCGCCGGCGCCGTTGCGCGAGGCCGAGGAGCAGGGCGAGGAGCTGCGCGAGGGCCTGCTCTCGCCGGTCTACGCCGGCTTCGGGCCACGCAGCTGTGGGTGTCGGACGTGGGCCATCTCATCGCCGACTCAAGCAAGATGCAGGTATGACGACCCGGCGCGCCCTCTCGCTCACGCACTCACTGCTCTGCGTCGAGTGCTCATCTGTATGTTGTGTGTGTGTGTGTGTGTGTGTGTGTGTGTTGCGTGTATGTGTGTGTGTGTGTGTGTGCGTGTGTTGCGTAAAACAGGTATTGGACAAGCTGCTGATCAAGCTCAAGGCGGAGGGCCATCGCGTGCTGTGCTACTCGCAGATGACGAAGATGATCGACATCATGGAGGACTACCTCACCTTCCGCGGCTATCGCTACATCCGACTCGACGGCTCCTCCAAGCTCTCCGAGAGGCGCGACATGGTCGAAGACTTCCAATCCAAGTACGCTCCCTCCCCCCTCCCTCTCTTTATCACTTCAACGTTCATTGGTTGGCCGAGACTAAACGTGCTCGTGTGTGATTGGTTTATTTTATAATCAGCTCGGACATCTTCGTGTTCCTGCTGTCGACAAGGGCTGGTGGTCTGGGCATCAACCTGACGTCGGCCGACACGGTCATCTTCTACGACAGCGACTGGAACCCGACCAACGACGCGCAGGCCATGGACCGATGCCACCGCATCGGCCAAACCGAGGACGTGACGGTCTACCGACTGGTCACCACCGGCAGCATCGAGGAGCGCATCCTCAAGCGCGCCCAGGAGAAGAGCAAGATTCAGAACCTGGTCATCGCCGGCGGCGCGTTCGATCGCTCCGCGCTCGCCATCCGCCCACAAGAGGTAACGCGCCGCACACGACACACGCAACACACAGCAGCTAACGCACGCGCACGCGCACACGACGTAGATGGTGTCGTTGCTGCTGGACGAAGAGGGCCAGAAGGCGCAGCAGGCCATGGCCGAAGCGGCGGCGGGCGGCGGGGCCGAGGACAAGGGCAAGGAGAAGGTCGGCGGGCGACGACCCGGCCGGAAGCCGCGCGAGGGCATCATCATGGCGGCCGCCAGCGGGTTCCGCAAGCGCGTGCGCCCGCCGGCGCCGAAGAAGGAACCCAACGCCGCCGCCGGTGCCGCCGGCGCAGCGCCTCCGCGCAAGCGAGCCAAGACCAAGAAGGAGGAGTCTCCGAACCCTGGCGACAACACCAACGCCAACGGCAATGGCAACACGACCAAAGCGGCCGCGGCGGCGACAACGCCAGTGAAGAAGAAGAGGGCGCCGCCAGCCAAGCGGAAGGCGCCAACGACCCCCAACACTGCAAAGACTGCAGCCCCAGCGCTGGTGGTGCCAGAGGGAGAAAAGCCGCCTGAAACTTCAGCACCCTAATAAACAGTCCATGCATTCGCCACATGTTCATATGAACAGGCCATAAGACTAGAGCCATTTCGGTCAGGTGAAGCATCTGGTGCAGGGCTTCCAGGAGAACCCTCGACACCGCACGCATGCACGCCCACCTGTCGCAGGTGGTACTGCGCCCGACTGGTGCCCATCGCGCCCATGATGGCCACGGGCTTGTTGGCCGCCGGGAGGACGAGTAGGTGGCGTCGTCGGGCCGCGAGGCCCAGTCGATGGCGTTCTTGAGCGGGTACGGCACCGAGTAGTTGTACTCGGGGGCGGCGATGAGGAACGCCGTGTCGGCTGAGCAGCGCGTCGGCGGCCCGCAGGGCCTCGCGCCACTCGCTCACTGCGCCGGTGAAGCCCTCGGCGGCCTCGAGGTCAGAGTCGAAGAGCGGCAGCTGGCAGACGAGATGGGTCACGACGCGCAACTCGACGTGGGGCTCCATGGGTGGAGCCAGCAAAGGCCACGATCTTGAAAATTGTTATTTAAATTTAAATTTTTCATTTTAAATAGCAAACTTACAAGTATGTTGTCAATGTTTCGGAAATATGTACAACTGTGCCCCAGTAACTGGTGTACGTGCTTGAATCAAAAGCAGCGAGGGCAGGCCGAGGAGCTGCAGTAGAAGACGGGCGGGAGGAAGCAGCACTTGTGGGTCGAGTGCGCGGACCGGCTCGAACGGAACCAGAGTAGCATGAGGACCGACCACAGCACCGACCTGTCCGTCGCCGTGTCGTCCTTGCTCACGTAGAACAGTGGGAACAAACACACGCTCCTAGACACACCGCACACACCACCGCACACACCGCACACAGGGTCAGTTGTATACATGGTGCGAGAGGTGAGGGGCTCGAAAGTGGCACCGTTGATCGTGGCTGAGCTGTCGGAAGAAGAAGAATGGTACGAGCCACACCCGCGCTTTGTAGTAGGTCGGGGCGCCGTGGAGGAGCGAGAGCTGCTTCTCGTACTGCACCCACAGGAACGGGACCAGGACGAGGCCCAACCGACAGTTGCGGCCCCAGCCACAGTGCATCCACAGGAGGAACAGGAGCATCAAGTGAACCTGTTATGAATCGTGTGGTGTGCGGTGTGTGCGGTGAGTGCGGTGAGTGCGCAGTGAAAGCGCAAGCAAGGGGAGCGCGGGAGAGAGCACGCACCCTTGATGTGCTGGGGTTGATCGAAAGCCACAACACGAATAGGACCATGACCCTGATCGCCTGCACGACCACGGGGCACACCCGAGTGGGGGGTTCGAACGCGCCAACGATTGTGACAACGAGCACGCGCGTGTGTGTTTGCGTGGCGCGGTGCGTACCTCGCCTTTGGTGTAGATCAACCAGAAGATGGGGAAGATGACGAGGACCACCGCGGCCTTGCTGGCACTGACCCACAAGACCACTTGACAGAGTAAAAGTATGTGAGGCCACGACCACACGCACACGCACCATCGCACACGTACCATCGCGCGCGCGCGCCCACACACACACACACAGAGAGAGAGAGAGAGAGAAGGGGAATGATGTCTGTACTGAAGAGCGAGACGGTCCAGCCGTCGTTCCACCTGAACACCCAGAGGAGAGGGAACACGACGAGGGACCAGTAGGTGGTCTGCCCGTTGGCCAGGTACGGCGGGGTGGAGCTGAGGCGGTGGAAGTAGAGCACGTAGAAGAGCGTGAAGAAGGCGGTGAAGGAGCGCGGCTCGTCGTGGTAGTAGAAGGACACGAGAGGCACGACGTGCAACTGGAGCTCCACGCTCGGCTCTTGATTCATCAACAGACCCAGCTTCCGCCTTTGCACAGCGCGAGACAAAGGCAGTTTGGTGAGTTTGTTGATCGCCATAGAGAGCCGAATTGATTGATACAAAGATGACGCAAAGAGGAGAAGAGAGATGTGAGCGAGACAGCGTGTTTATACCTGAAGGAGAAGTAGAGTGGCAAAGGAGCGAGGGACATGATCCAGGCTCGCTTGGGTGACCAATGCCCGAGCAGAATGGGCAGCACACGGAAATCGATCGTCCACAACAGCTGAGATCCGGACTCGTCTACAGCTGCAACGACTCCATCTTCGAGATTGACGGATGGTCCATACCTCGCTTGGCGCCGTCCGCGTACCAGATGCTGTACAGAACGCTCCTCGTCGTAGTCGCTTCCTTCAAGTTGGTGCCAAGTGAATTGAAAGCTGATGAGCGGGTAGAGGATGTCGATGCTAAGACGGTGCTCCTCTTTTCTGATGCTGAAGAGGATCACGAGGAAGCTAAAGAAGAACGATGAAGATCGCGATCCGTGCGGCTGGATGGAGAGGGTGAACAGGAAGGGCAGGAATCGAAAGAAGCTGCATGGCTTGCAATCGTGCGAACGCGAGTAGAAGACGAGGGGCCACAGGGGCGCACACCAGCACTTTTTGCCTGCACCAGTCACGTCGCAGAAATCATCTCCATCGCAGCATGTGCTGCTGCAGGGCTCGCACAAACGATTGCAGCACCACGCCCAGTCCTCCTCGCCGCATTGGCACATCGTGAACCACGCCGCTCGCGCTCTTATCCGATACCCTCTTCTTTCGAATCAAGATGAGTTCAATCTCGTGTGCATTGAAGCTTCAACCGAAGTTGCCACCGCACTTTCTGCCCTGGCCTTCCACGAACGTGGTTATGGGGTGATGGTCGCTTTGTTTCCTGACGTCATTCAACGAGAACAAGATACCAAGAAGCCGTATAATTTACAATCATGATCGCCCTCACCACGATGCTCAACAGCAGAAGCAGGACCAGAAGGAGAACGAGGACGAGGTCCTCGTCGGATCAAAGTCGCGTTGGTGGCCGTCGTCGCCGCTCTTTCGTTGCGCGCCGTAGGTCCCATAGGTGCCGCCACCGCCGGCGAACGACTGCTCAGTCTCGGGTTCGCCCTCGAACCCGATGTTCTCCTCCTGGCCGTAGCTGTAGATGCGCCGCGTGGGCGCCTTCTTTCGGCCCTGCCGGCTCTTCCGCTTCCGCTTCGCGTGCCTCCGCTTGTCCGACTCGAGCAGACCGTCTTCTTCGTCCTCGGTGTCGTCACTCCCCTGGTCATCCAAGCCGCCGTCGCTGTCATCGCCGTATAGACCCTCATCGTCGCGGTGTCCACTGTCATCGCCTCGCTTCCCCATGATCTCGCGCGCTAGGGTCGCCTCGCGTGACGTGTCGAACCCGTCGGAGTTCCACCCGTCGTCCTGGTCGTCTTCATCGCGGCCGCCCGCCCGTCGCGTCCCCTCGCGGCGCCGGCCCGCGGCGCCGCTCTCGCTCCTTCGCTCTTTCGCCGCAGCTGCGCCATCGCTTTCGTTCTTTTGGTCCTTGCCTTCTTCGTTCTTTTGCTTCTTGGCGGCTTCTCCCTCGCTCTCGTCGCTAGTGCTGGTGCTGCCGTCTGCCATCATCGACGACGCCTTGGCCGCTGCCGCGCGCAGGGTGAGCTCCGCTCGCCGCCGGTCGGAGTGAAGCAGCGCCCGCTCCATGCCCTTGGTGAGGGCCTGCTTGAGGCGCACCCACTCCTCCCGTCGCTCGTCCTCGTCCTCGATCGTTTCCGCCTGCTGCACCTCGGCTTCGATCACTCGCAGCCACTCCCTCTCCTTCTCGCGCCGCTGCTCTTCCTTCCTGTTCCCCTTCTTCTTCTTCTGGCTGCCGGGGCTGAAGGAGCCATCGCGGATCGCCTCCTTCCCCTTGGCCACGTAGTCAGCCTCTTCGGGGTCGCTGTCGTCATCGCCGTTGACGTGGCTGCTGCTGCCGTCGTCGTCGTTGTCGTGGTGGTGATGATTCTCGTCGACGTTGCCGCCATCCACGTCGTGGTCGCGCATGACCTCGCAGATGTCTCGGAAGAGATGCCTCACCTCCCGCTCTAGCCGCGGCTGCCTTTGCTGGATGTCGTCGTCCGATCCTGCTGGTGCCGACCGACGGTTGGATCAGCAAAGATGGAACGCACACGCGAAAAGAGAGAGCAGAGGAGGCACGCACGGTTCTGGTTGTGGGGCATGAGCGACTGGAGGGCGCGCTGCCATCTCACCAGATCCTCCGCCGTGTCACAACAGAAGTAGTAAACGCGCTTTTGCGTGTTCACGCAGAAGCAGTGGCCCGTTGGCATCAGGTCGCTGGGCAGCAGGGCCATCGCCTCCTCATCGAGGCTGCCTGCAGGGCACAACGCCATTTTCCAGGCAAGATTAGCACAAGAGAGAGGCGACAAGTGGGAAGGTGGCGGATTGGTGGTACCTGTGCTGATGTCGAGCACCGAGAAGTGGTCCAGCGTCACCTCGCCCCGAGAACTGCGGCTCTACAAAGGCACCACCAAAATAAAATCAAAATCGAATAAAATAAAATACTGTAAAATCAATATTGAATTCGTGATTGTGTGAATGTGGGTTGTACCTGGGGCTGCTTGGCGTAGTAGAGTTTGCCCTTTCGCCCAAGTGGTCGCGGTTGCCGTTCACCATCTTCCTGGAGATCGTCTCGTTCTACGTTGGGCGTGCCGCTGCGTGACGCAGGGGGATCGGCGAGTACAACGCACCATCTCCTCTTCCACGTCTTGAATCGTTGGCCCTGCTTCGTTAGAAAGCCCTCTATTACCACCATCGTTTCCATTGAGGAATCCTCATCGCTAGTTGCCGTGTCGGGTGCATTTGTTTGTGCAGTTGACGGGGAGTTGCTGTAGAGGAAGGACCGAAGGGTCGAAGGGCCGTTGTAAGAAGAAGAAAGGCCCAATCGCTGATGGTGATGGGGCGACGATGAGTGCCGTCGCTTGCGCGCCTCCTCTTCCTCCTCCTGCCGCTTCTTGGCCTCCATCCTCTGCGTGAACGAGGGCGACTGCCGCCCCAACGAAGAGGACAGCAGTGACTTCATCCTCTCTCTCTCCTGTCTGTGATATCAGACCTATAAAGATAGTTTCCTTTTAGTCGTCCTCTTCTTCTTCGTCTGCTGTTGGTGTCCTGTGTGATTCCCACGCGGAATAGTTAGACGAAAGGTTTTTCGGGCTCCCTTCTTCGTTCACAACCAACCGCGTGCTTGTTGCGCTCTGCAGCTGCCTGCACAGAACCCTCGAACTGTCGACGGGTGAGAGGCCAACGTCAACGAACCAGGCCATGTGATTCATAGCACAGCTGCAATACCACACGGACTGGTATGGCGCTGGAGTCTCTATTGCTGTTGGTGGAGGGCGTCCTGGATGCGTGCGAGGGCGTCGAGGCCGCCGAGCGGAATGGGGATGCAGGGCACCGTGGCGGGACAGTGGTGGTCCCTCGGGTTGATCCGCATCAGCACGGCCGAGCCCTTCCCGAAGCGCTCCTCGAACGACATTACGCGCCGCTCGCTCTGCTTTCGCACCGTCGGCACGCCCGTACCTGCGTGTGCGGTAAGAAATCTGCGTGGTGTGTGCGGTGGTGCGTGTGCGCTGCGATACCGTACCTGCGCCGATCTCGACCACCACCAGGCGGGTGTCCTTCTTCTCCTTGAGGGAGGCCATCCACGCCTCGTAGTGCTCCAGCTGCACTTCGAATCGATCTTCGTTCCACCCATAGTCGCCGAACATCAACACTGTCCCCGGCGCACCAGTTAGCAGACTAGGCGTCGGGCGCAAACAATCACAACAACCGATTGCCGATAGGTGTGACTTGTTGCGGAGCGCACCATTGGGTCGAGCCAATCCGTGGCACTTGGGGCAAGCGGGAAGAGGACCCATTGCCCTGTGACGCGGGGTCAGCCCTGGGCCGGGCAAATGCGACATTTTGTGGTGTTGGAGGGGTAAAAGCACGCACTTGAAGGTGGTCATGTCGATGCGCAGCTTCTCCACATCAACCGTCCGCTGGGTTTCCCACAGGTCGGGGCTGCAGTCATCGAAGCACTGCAGGTAGTGAATGCACCTGAACATGGGCGTAGACACCACATAGCAAGCACAGTTCAAGGGCTGGCTTGGTCAACTCCAATGGCTTGCCGGCAATGTACCCGTGACACTCCAGGATGCGATCGTCAGGGAACACCCGGGCGAAGTGACCGTCCACGTTGGAGGTGAAGCTGAAATAGCCGTCCCGCATACGCTCGCCCAGCTGGCGCATGAACTGGTAGCCCGCATGGGGCGCGGCCTTGGTATATAGATCGTAGCGATGGCCTGTATACACGACATGCACCACCATCAGCCCCGCGGTGACATAACTCACTGTCACACACACACACACACACACCACCCGCCAGCACGTACCCCAGAAGCCCCAGGCGAACTTGGGGTCTTGGGTGAACCAGGCCGGGTTGCTGATGCTTGAGAACTCCAGGCCCATCTCCTTCATGGGTGGGTACGCCCGCCAAAAGCCCTGCGGCCCGCTGCAGACCCCAACAACCACCACACGGGTTAGGGCTGGCCAACATCAACCCTACGCGACAAGACCCGGAAGCCGTACCGGAAGTCGGGCAGGCCAGAGTCGACGCCCAGGCCGGCGCCAGAGGTGAACAGAACGGCAGTCGCGTAGCGCAGAGCGTCGGCCGCCTTCTGCACCCCGTCTACACCAGAAAAAAAGAAGAAATTACAGGTCCGTACTACGCCGAAAAAGATGAATGGATGGATGACCTGTAGGTTGTGGGCGCACCTTGGATAGCAGCTTCATCGAGGTCAACCGACTCCTGCCGTTCCATCTTTCCAGTTAGTGGAGTATTGCATGGGGGGGGGCAATTATAAACACCTCCACACCTCTTCGCTGAATGACTTCTGGAGAGGGTTTTCCTCGCAATTCTGATTTGGAAACGCTGATTTGATTTTGGCGCCGGCATTTGGTAGCTTGAAGATTGAAACTACTCGGTGCTGGAGAAGATGCGAACGCTGTGGGAGTACTGTCTGCTTTCTCTCCTTCTTGATGAGAAGGTGATGACGCCCCCCGGCCAGGTCCTGCTTCCGGATGACCTGCGGGAGCGGATGTGGGGGTACCCATTTACATCAATCCCTCACTCTCTCTCTACGACGGTGTTAGTTTCAATTTGATTTGTTGAGCTCTCATCGATCTCCATCTAACAGGTACGGTGTACGCAACTTCTTGTTGTTGCCCCGGAACGTGGGGTGGCTGCTGGGTCCCAACACCACGCGGCTCAGCCTCTATGGGTACTCGCACACGAAGCGGGCCTTCCTCGAGCACATCATCTCCACGCCCGTACCTCTACCTCCACGTCATCACATCACCACATCATCACATCGCCACTCGCCACAGATCTCACTCAACACGACGACGTCGATTTCCTACTTGCGTGTGTGTTCTTGTTCTTCACACCACAGGGTCTCGCCACAGGCTTGACCTCACTCAACCTCCATTGCAACTTTCGAGTCGAAGATGATGGCTTTGCGTGCATTGCGAGGTTCGCTTCACACGACACACTCTCACGACACGACACGCACACGACACGCACACGAGCACACGGAAGTGTGCTCATTGGTCACACAGGTGCACCAACCTGGAATCTCTCGTTCTCTACGGCTGCGTGGGGCTGACGGACTCGAACCTCATCGACATCTGCGGCGGCTGCTCCAAGATCACCTTCCTGGACATTGGGTAGGGGTCCCTGCACACAAGATGATCTGTGTTGTTGTCGTCATCGTCGTCGTCATCTTGTCATCGCTCTAACCTCGTTCTTCTGCTGCTGCTGCTGCTGCTGCTTGTGGTGGTGGTGGGTGTGAAATGCGTTCAGCGAGTGTATCAAAGTGAGCGTTGCAGGGTTAGTCGATGGGGTGGCCTCACACCTTCCACAACTCGTCTCGTTGCGTATCTCTGCGACCAGTACGTTACAATTCTTTAAAAGAGAGACTACATTTATACACCTGTGTGCGTGTGCGTGTGCGTGTGTGTGTAGAATGTGTGCGCGTGTGTGTGAGAGAGAGAGTGAGTGTGGGTAAATTAATTAATAACGGCCGTGTTGTACAAAACACCACAGCGTGCGACGACCCCGTGCTTCAGTCCCTGGCCAAGCTCACGCAGCTGAGATCGTTGGATGTTTCCGGTTGCCGCAGCGACAAGGCGGTTCCGTTCGAGCTGCTGGGCGCGCTCGCCGGGCTGCGCTCGCTCAACCTCAACTACACGAGCGTCGACGACGCGCAGCTCGCGGAAATCGTGCGCTGCTGCACCGAGCTCACGCACCTCCAGCTGTCCCGCTGCGCGCAGCTGGTCAGGGGCGCGACCTTCCGCCAGGTGCTCACCGGCCTGCCCCGCCTCGAGTCCCTCATCGCCTCCAACAACGCCAGCGTCTCTGTCGACAGTTTCTGCGCGCCGGCCCCGGCGGACGGTGAGACAATGTCGACGACGCCGACGCCGTTATCGCTGACCGAGCTCGACGTATCGGGCTGCGTCTGGATCACCGACGCCGCGCTCGCCGCGCTCTGTCGGCTGCTGCCCTCGCTCACGAGCCTCGCGCTGACCAAGTGCCACAGCATAACCGACTGGTCGCCGCTCACGGCCGACGCCCGTGGCGGCCTCGCATCATCGCTGGCACACCTCAAAATCAACGGGACCGGCGTCAACGACGCGGCGCTGGCGGTCATCGTGCGCGGCCTGCCGGCCCTGACCACTATCAACCTCATGGACTGCCGCGGCATCACGCCAGCGGGCCTCGCGTGCTTCGCCGACGGCGCGCCAGCCCTGCAGGACCTCAAACTCAACTGGCGCGGCTATCGTGCTGCCCTGCAGGAGCTGCGCGGGCGACGACCAGACCTCCACGCCACCACCAAGTGACCTATCTTTATCAACATCTTTGTATCTTTCTTCCAAAACGCAGACTATTTACTGTGCTAATGTTGTTATATTGATGAAATCATTAATAGGGGCCTGTAGTTGGTGGGGCATGATCTGTACACAGACCCAGGCGTGTGTGTGAGAGAAGAGAAAGCGAAGTGGTGGCTGAGTTCGAGGTGAAGAGGCTGTGAGTGACGATGAGCCTACTCGAGACTGTTGAGGAAGTGGAGGGCGTTGCGGTTGTAGGCCCTGGCTTTGGTCTGCAGGGCCTTGACCCTGTCCAGCACGTCGGTGTAGGTGGCGCAGGTGAAGCCCTGGTTCTCACCGTGGCCGCTCAGCAGCAGCTGCGTGACCTCGTCCAGCAGCTCCTGGGTCTGCTGGACCACCTGGTCGAGCCCGGCCAGCTCGGCGTAGGCCAGGCTCTCGTCCATGTCCGCCGCCGTGTGGTTGCGCCACGAAGTGAGCGCACACGCGCACCCGGTGTTGTCGCCGTTGCAGTCGCCGCAGTCGTCGGGCTCGTTGCCCTGGCCGTCGCAGCCGTAGGGCGAACACTTGCCGTCGCCGTTGCACACGTCGCAGCGGTCGAACTTGCCTCCGGCCCCGTCGCACCCGTTGGGCACCACCGTGATCACCACCTGCGTGCTGTCGAACAGGAGCTCGTCGCCATTTGAGTCACGCGACGCCAGCGTGTAGGGGACCGACACCTGAGCGCCCCTCGGGCTGGTGCTCTTAAAGTAGGCCACGGGGTTCCTGGACGTCGATCCAACAACAACAACACCAACAAACGACGTCAGACATGACCGCACTACCTATGAACTCACACGCTCACTTGGGCTGGGAAACGAACCGGGCGTTGGGGGCGGTCAGGATGGTGGCGCCGCTCGGGAGGGGCACAAGGCCCTGGGCGTCCTGGTACAGCACGTTTTGGGCGTCGCCGGGCAGGCCCGACAGCACCACGAACCAGCCGTCGGTGGGGTCGGTCGCGTAGGCGTAGAAGTTGACCGGCGTCAGCTGGAAGTTGGCCACGGTGACGGTGGACAGGATGGGCGCGGTGGAGGGGATCCACAGGCCGGCATCGGTGAGCATCGCGTTGGCCCCGGTCGGCGACGAGTCGAACGCCTGCTGGCCGAGGAGCTCGATCGGCTCGCGGTCAAAGTGGAACTGGCCCACGAGGCCGGCCGAGGTGGCGGGCACGACGTCGGCGTACCAGGCCAGGATCTCCACGCTCGAGCGGGCGCCGGCCCACACGCGCAGCTCGTCGACAGTGCCGGTGGTCATCGTCTGCGCGACGCCGCCGCAGGCCTCGGCGATGTCTTCGTAGTTGCCGATGGCGAAGGGCTGGTCGTGCATGACCTGTCGCGTGCCGTCGAACACGCCGCCGTCCATCGACGACCAGCCGCACACCTGTTGGCCGTTGATGTAGATCAGGACCGTGGCCGGGTTGGCCTGCCCGGCCGGAGTGTCGACCGTGAGGGCCACGTGAGTCCACTCGCCCTGGCGCAAGGCGTCGAAGCCGCAGTCGAGCTCGAGCCCGACGCGGTTCGGGTTGGCCCAGCCGCCGCCAAAGAAGAGGTTGAGGTTGCCATTGCTCTGCAGCTGGAGGAGGAACTCGGCGAAGGAGTTGCCCCGGATGGGGGCAGTGCGCGGGTAGCGCGCGAAGATGGGCTGGGAGAGGCGCTCCTCGGTCTGCTCGAAGTAGACCCACGATTCGAGGGTGAAGGAGAGGGGCGTGGCCGAGTGCTGGATGGCCTTCGAGGTGGCCCGGCTCAGGACGATCGACGAATCTGTACCGGCCAGACTCAGAGCGCCCTGGGCTCGCCCTACCACGAACTCACAAGTGGCACATGTCTCCTTGCCTGTATTGTATAGCGTTGGGGGGGGGGAGATTCGCAATGATCAGCCAAGGAGGCGAACATGTTAGCCTCTGCTTTCTGATGATTCTCCATCTCCTCCACATCTCTTGATCTGGCCCGACATCTTTCCAGGATCACTGAAGTTTCCACCATCATACGGTCCTCTCCATCTTAAGATTATGATTTTCTCCGTACCGAGGGTGAGAGAGGGGGAGAGGACGAGAAGAAGAGAGACCACAGCGAAGAAGGCCATGAAGGATGGCGGTTGCGCCATTCTCATTCTTTCTATCTTAAACGTTTGCGATTCAAAGGGGGCTCTTCCACACGTCTCCCCGACCACTTCTTTCTGTAGTGACCGCCACCGCAGGGTCTTTATTTTTTTATATTCTCTTTCCCTTGTTTGGTGGTGGGACGTCTGGTAAAAACCGGCCACGGGGCTGGGTTGTGGCGTCACAGGTAATTCATGGTTTCGTGATTAGGGAATAATTGCGATAGAAATGCCCTCGTAGCTTAGTTGGTAGAGCGCTGTGCTTATAACGCAGAGGTCGTGAGTTCGAGCCTCACCTGGGGCAATCATTTTTGGCAGGTTTTAATTTAGTGACTACAGATTGCGCACCTTGTCCATCATTCAAAGCTTCGCTTAGCGGTAGGAGGCGGCACTGCCAGGCATCTTCGAAGTGACCTCCGATTTTTGGAATGCGTCACCAACGAATTGAAAGGGCATTTTGTATGCTTTGGTGAGAATTGGCGGATTGATGATTGATAATATTGATGATTGATGATTCAAGAAAAGCGGGCGAAACCGGAGAACAATAAGTCGCCGGAGTAAGGCACAAACCGCAACTTCTCCTTTCTTGGGTCCTCGTCCCAAAGAAAGAGAAGTGGCCGCTCGTAAGGATCTGCGGGGTGGGTGTGTGCGAAATCGAAAGGACCTTCAGAAGAAGCGGAAGGAGAGGAAGAAGTAGACAATCCGCTCTTGTTCAGTAATAGTATAGTATAGAATGGCTCAACAACAACATGCCGTCTCACCGGCTGACAAGACCTGGGTCGATGTTCAGAAGAAGGCGTTTACCAGGTGGGCCAACCAGTTCCTAGCGGAGAGGCGCATGAAGGTGGAGGACATCGAGACTGGTCTGTCCAACGGCATCAACCTGTGCAACCTGCTCGAGATCATCTCGTCCAAGTCGCTGGGTAAGATCAACCTGAAGCCCACCATGCGGTACCATTACCTCGAGAACAACGGCCGCGCCGTAAAGTTCATCAAGGACGAGGGCCTCCAGCTGGTCGGTATCGGCCCGGAGGACATCGTCGACGGCAAGGTCAAGCTCATCCTGGGCCTCATCTGGACTCTCATTCTGCGCTACCAGATCAACATGATCGGCCAGGGCTCGCCCAAGTGGGAGCTGCTCCAGTGGGTCAACGCCCAGATCGCCCCCTACAACGTCGACAAGCCGGTGGTCAACTTCACCACCAACTGGTGCGACGGCCGCGTGCTGAGCGCTCTCTGCGACTCGGTTCAGCCGGGCGTGCTCACCCCCACGGACATGTCGGCCCTCACCAACGACGCCCTCCAGGACCTCGAGAAGGCCATGCAGACCGCCCTCGACCACTTCAACATTGCCCGGCTCATCGACCCCGAGGACATGGTCAACACCCCTGACGAGCTCTCGCTCATGACCTACCTCTCCGCCTTCCGCAACTACCTCAGCGAGGAGGAGCACCGCAAGCGCGAGGAGCTGGCCCGCAAGAAGCGCACGGCCGACCCGGCCCACTGCTACGCCTATGGTCCGGGCCTAGAGCGCGCCGACACCTACCAGTCGGCCGACTTCACCATCGTGGCCAAGAACTACTTTGACGAGGAGCTCCCCACCGGCGGCGACCAGTTCGAGGTGACCATTGCCGGCCCCGAGGGCCACATCCAGCCCACTGTGACCGACGGCGGTGACGGCAAGTACCCCGTGCACTACACCGTCACCAAGCCCGGCGACTACACCATCACCATCAAGCTCCGCGACGAGGCCATCAAGAACTCCCCGTACACCGTCCACATCGACGGTCCGTCCGCCGGGCACTCGGTCGCCACCGGCCCCGGAGTCGAGGGCGCGCAGACCAAGAAGCCGGCCCAGTTCCGCGTCACCTCCTTCAACGCCCAGGGTCAGCAGATCAAGACCGGCGGCGACAAGTATGAGGTGCAGGTCGAGGGTCCCGAGGCCGTGCCCGCGCCGTCCCTGACCGACAACCAGGACGGTACCTTTGACGGCGCCTACCAGGTAGCCACTCCCGGCCGCTACGTCGTCAAGGTCACCCTCGACGGCGAGCCCATCAAGGGCAGCCCCTACGGCCTGCTCATCGAGGGCGCCCGCGCCGCGCTGTCGTTCGCCGAGGGTCCCGGCCTGGTGGGCGGCCAGACCACCAAGCCGGGCGTGTTCACCATCCACGCCTACAGCCCCGACGGTGACCGCTGCACCGATGGCGGCGACCCGTTCCAAGTCGACATCCAAGGGCCGGCCCAAGTGCAGCCTTCCATTACCGACAACGCCGACGGCACCTACACCGTGCAGTACACCCCGACCGAGCCGGGCGACTATCAGGTCAACGTCACGCTCCACGGCGAGCCCATCAAGGAGTCGCCCGTGACCGTGTTCATCAAGTCATCACCCGACGCCGGCAAGAGCTGGGCCGAGGGTACGGGCCTGGTCGCCCTGGTCGATACCGACATGGGCCACTTTGTCATCCACGCCGTCGACAAGGCCGGCGTCCAGCGGACCGACGGCGGCGACCAGTTCGAGGTGGCCATCGCCGCACCCAACGGCGACCTGCCCGCCACTGTGACCGACAACGGCGACGGTACCTACGCCGTCCAGTTCGAGCCCATCGTGCCCGGCCAGTACACCATCGCCGTCACCTTTGAGGGCGGCGCCATCCAAGGCGCGCCCTTCACGGTGCCCTGCACGGAAGGCACCGACTACAGCGCGTCAGGCTTTGGCGTGTTTTCGTTCACCATCCAGGCCCGCGACAGGCGCGGCGACAAGAAGACGTTCGGCGGCGACAAGTTCACCGTCGACATAGCGGGTCCCACCGGCGACGCGTCGGAGGTGGGCGAGGTTCAGACCAACGACAATGGCGACGGCACCTACACCGCCGTCTACGCGCTCGCGGGCCAGAAAGGCGACATCTTCACCATCCTCGCCAAGCTCAACGGCCACGGGGTCGGCACCTACAAGCAGAACATGTAGGAGATGAAGCAGGAGGCCAAATTAGAGGTTGTTGGCAGACCAAAGGGAGTGTGTTGGCTGTAGGTTGGCTTATCCAAGAAAGGGGAACGTGTTGTTTTTATTCTGTTTTTTTCCACTGCAACTGCATAAGATTGCTACTGCCTTTCTGTGGAGGTGTCTGTGGAGGTGGGAGCAGGGTGAGTAGTGTGTGGTGGCCTTGAGCGTGAGTGTGTTGGTGGTGGGACTTCACTGGCCCGCAGCTGTAAGGGTCTGACAGCTTGAAGCTGCTCAGCTGTTCTGTTTTGGTGTTGAGTAGAATGTTGTGTGGTTGAAGTGTTGTGATTCTCCCTGTCCATGTTTTGAGGCTGCCATTGATCCTGATTGGTGATTGTGCCCTGGGACAGCTGGATGTTGGGGGAGGAGCTTGATGACCCCCTTGGAGTGGTCACCTCAACAAGGGTGAGGTGTTCTATTGCTCACTCACAGAGAATGCCTAACTGGAGTTTTATGCAGCACTTGCTGGACTGCTTGCAGAAGCGCAACCCAGCCAAGAAGGAGGAGGGTTGCATGCTGAAGCATGGCATGGCCAATCCCGCCATGGCCGCCACCCACCCCACTGGCACCTGGGCAGTGCAAGTTGTGCCAGCTGTGAACAGGAATGATACAGAGTGATAGAATGACTCCTAGCACCTCCACACACCCTACCTCTACCATAGCACAAGATAGCTAGAGCAGCAAACACTGACACATGGGATGGGTGGGCAGGAGGTGTGTTGGTTGTGGACAAGAAGAAGAAAAAATACCAACCTCCTTCTCCACTTGATGCCACAGCTCTCAATCCAAAACTGTGATGGAGACAAATTGAGGTGATGGGTAACTCCAAGAATATACTCACTTGCAATCAACATTACTGTTGGTGCTTCATGCAACACCTACCAGAAGTAGAAAAACAATAAAGTAATGTGTCAAAAAAATTGGAGGAGAAGGGTATCGATCCCTTTACCTCTCGCATGCTAAGCGAGCGCTCTACCATCTGAGCTACACCCCCATTGCATTGCGATGCCATTGGTCGACAATAATGACAAAACGGGAAATCCTTCTTGCCCCCGGTGTTGCTAAACTCGAGGGGCCTCTTGAATCGTGGGGCTGGGGGGGTTGTTTGGCGTGGGTGGCGCAAGGCTGGCGAGATCGTGGTGCACTTGGCCCATGCGCTGGGTGAGATCCCAGAGTGTGGCCTCCTCCTGTTGTGCCTCTGGATTCTGGAGCTCATCATCGTCGAGTTGGTGCAGCCGCGCCTGGCATAAGCGCGAGATCGCGGCCAAGTCGTTCATCTGCAGAGATTTGTGGCACGAGAGAGGGAGATTGGTTTAGTTAAGATCGGATGAGAATGGATAGCTTCGATCTTTTTCGATTTGTTGGCGTTGTTTGATGCATCGATTGATTGGGAAGAGGACGATGCATGCTTCGGGTGCCATTGCCTTGAAGGACAGGTGGTGGTGGCTGTGGTGCAGGTATCTTACCATGCGGTATGCCTGCGCACTGCGCTGCTGGACGCTCACCCGTTCACCCTGATCGTGGAGGTGGGGGGTACTCATGTCAGGGGCTTGGTGGTCGGTAGTGGAGTTGGGGGAAGTAAGCAAAGTGGGTCTTTGCCTCCGCCTGCCCTAAGTTGTGCTGGGAGACCTCACTTCACAACAACCAATCACCTGGTGCTTTATGGGGCTGTGACATGGCGGAAACACCACAACCGCGACATGGCCCATTCCCGACACCTGGTTCCGCTTTCTTTTCTTTTCTCTTCAGTCTCAGTGTCTCGCACCACCCGCCGTCGTGCGCGACAACTAGCGCCGCCGGATGGAGAGGACCACGCGAGACGCGATGTCGGCCGTGACGAGGGCACACCACTGTTCCACCAGCGGCTGCACGCGCGCTCGCAACCTGCCCCCTATTTGCTGTTGCCGCGAAAAACAGTAAAAAATCCATAAAAGAGAAAACAAAAAATCAAGTGCGCCCACGAACCAAAAAAATGAATAAAAGTAAAATAAAATAAAAATAAGAAACGTTCCCACGCACGCTGAAGCCGACGAGGCAGTCCTCGTAGAGCACAGGCACGTAGTCGATGGGGAGGCGCTCGGCTTGCGGTGGTGGCTCCTCCCGCTCGACTAACGCCGTGAAGCGCCCAGCCGACGCCCTGGTCCATGCATCTCAGTGAGCCAGCGCTGGCGTGTGTCGTGTCTTGGTCGTGTCGTGTCGTGTCGTGTCGTGCAATGGCGTACTGAAAGCGAGGAATGCATTCTTCAAGGGGCACCCACTCTCGGTAGAACGGACACATCAGGTCAGACGGCCGATACTTAGCCTGCGCGGACGTCACCACAGTAACATTATATAATAATTATATAAAATGGTGGAAATGGACCTAAATCTATACCTTGTAGTTCATCTTTGGGCAGTCGTAGATGTAGTACGCTGTGGTGATCCATGTTCATAAATGCGCGAGATATGGTCAGACACATCACACGCACGCAAGAACAACGTGGCGGAGCAGTTTCTGTGTAGTACCCATGTAGTAGTACTTGAAGCGCGGGATGGCGAGGCTGGTCTGCTGCACCCACTCGATCTCCTGTGCCGATGCATGGGTGGTCAGTGGCCGGTGGTGACGCCCGACTCAACGCTGCAGCCACGAAGTCAGCTGTATGTACCTTCAGCGCAGAGTAGACGCCGAGGGACAGGAACGCGTAATCGGGATCGTAGAAGAAGTACACCGACGTGAGGCACCTGCACACACAGATAAAGGTAAGGCCTGAGGAGGGCTGAGCTCGAAAAAAAGGGATGTCTGAGAGCGTTTGAGAGCGCACGAGTGAAGGACGTCGAGCACGCCGACGGCGATGAGCTTCCCGTCCAGACGGTAGTACTGGTGGAACGAGCCGTAGCCTGTGCCACCGCCACCGAACGCGAATTCGCACATGAGCCAACCCCCCCCCCCGCACGGAAAACGAAAACGAAAACGACAGAAAGAGCGAATAGAGTCGAGTAGGGGATCACCTCCGGAAGGGGGCAGGGCCTCGTCTTCGCGCCCCTGGGGGTCGTCGAACAGAGGCGTGCTGCAGAGGAAGTCGGTGTAGCTCTTCTCGCTCGCCTCCTCCTTGGCGTGGATCTGCATCGTGTATCTGCCCAGCACCAGCGCGAAAGAAAAGAAAAGAACGAAAGACGAAGAATAGATCGGGTCAGCCCGCCACTGAGGTACGGTCAAGGTGAAGCCGGCCGTACTTGCGGTACAGCAGGTAGGACTCCTCGGTGTATTGGGACGGCCTGATTTCCATCTGCAATGAGTCCACCCAACCGTCATGAGGTCAACTAATGTCGGTCGTGAGTGTTGTGAGAAAGGGAGGACCTCGAATTGGTGCGGGATCGGCGGGCCGTGGCTTGGGGCGTCGGGCTCACTTTGCTGCTTCTTTGCCTTCCTTGAGCCGCGCGTGCCCTGAGCCGATCGCTGCTGGTGCTGCGCACGGGTCGACTGGGCGAAGAAGTTGATCCATGGGCCGGCCACGACCACACGCACGCCCTCGTCGCCAAAGAGTTGCTTCACCCCGGCCGCTGACTCTTCTTCCACCAAGACGCGCTCGACGTGCGCCAGCAGCTTCACAGCTATTTCGTTCGCTCGGCCGGCGTCGGCCCTTCGCGTTTCGTTCTTTTTCTCTTTCGTGTTTTCCTTCCCGGGCTTCTTCACGACCTGACTCCGGTCATGGCCGGCGCCATCGCCATCGCCACCGCTGCCGCTCGCCTCGACGCATTCCTCTCGCGGTACCTCATCGTCGTCCTTCGCTCTTTCCGTCGCTTTCGCTTCGCTCTTGGCGGCGTCAGAGTGTTTGTACAGTGCCAGGAGCTTGAGGGCCACGTTGCTCGAGTAGTCGCCCCTCCGCTTCCGCTCGCGTTCGCTCGCCGCGGCGGAAATCGCCACTTCGACGTCATCACCGCCGCTCACCGCCGGAATCTCGCCCGCGTCGACGCATCGTCGCACCGCCTTGCGCACGATGTCCGCCAGGAGCGCCTTCTTCAGCGCATCGTCGTTGTCCTTCAGCTGCGGCTCGACGCTCTCGGGCTGCGTAGCGGTCACCGACGTCTCGTCGACCTCATCTTCGCTTTCGCCTTCACTTTCGCGCCCGCGTTCGTGTTCGTCTTTGGCGTTGGCGTCAGTGCGCCCGTGCTGCTGCTGGTGGTGACGAAAGTTCTCGGGCGTGTTGTTGATGTCGCTCAGGAATCGCTCCATCTTGGCGAGCACGTGCTTTTGCTCCTTTGACGCCACGAACTTGGCCACGTCGAGCCGAATCACATACTGCGGACTGTCGTGCCCAAGTCCCAAGCGATAGGCTTGATCGTGAGCGGTCATACCAGAAAGGGAAAGACCAACAATCAACGACAACGTGGGAGGGGGGGAGGTAGTACCAGCAGGCCTTGTCGTTGGACGGGTGGTACATCCAGGTGCCCGAGCGCGTCCAGCCCAGGTCCTGCATCGCTTCGTAGTCGTCTATGCGCACCTTGATTGCTGTCATTCCTGCCACCGTGGGAAACCCACACGAGTCAGTGCTGTGTCGTGCGTGTCGTGCGGTGTGTCGTGCGTGTCGTGTGGTGTCATGCGGTGTTCTACCCCAGGAAATGCGGCCCGTAGCAGACTTGTTACAGTATCCGCAGCGACCACCGTGCTCGCCGTATGGGCTCACTATCGTGGGCGAGTGTGGCACATCTGCACTCCGCAGCCAACACGACGGAACGAGTCAGCCACTCTGAGAGCACCCAACAACACACGACCCACGCAAGACACGCTGCACAACACGCACGGCACACACGTGAGAAAGAGCAGAGGAGAGAAACCCTCGAGAAACGGCGCGTCGATGGAGGGATCAAAGTCGGGCTCCTCGACGACCTGCGGCTCCTGCCAGGCGTAGGCGGCGGTGAGCCGGTCGGTCCGTTCGGTGACGCTCCCACTGCTGCTGCCTCGGTCTGGCGAGCGACCGCCGCCCATCGTCCTGCGTGGGTGGTCGGTTGGCGTGCTACAGAGCAGATGCCAAGGAGAAGGTGTACATGAGAAGGTCAATGGCCATGTCTCCGTCGCCTCCACTCGCCTCCATCACCTCGGCGATCACCTGCACACGCAGATGAACATTTCCAGTTTAATGCATCATTGATCGATGAAATTGATGATAATATTATTTAGCACGCGGATGCGATGCAGTGCAGTTAATGCGTTGGTGTGGAGCACCTTGTCATTGACGTGAGGGAACATGGACTTGAGTAGCGGCAACAACACGTTCTCTTCTTGTTCTGAAACCTTCGCTTCATCTCGCTCTCTTTCTTCCATCGCCCATTCATCCATAGCCACGTCCTCCCGCTGTTCTTCCTCCTCTGGGCTCGCCTTCTCTGCAGCGTCGCCCATTCTTCTTCTTGTACTGCTCACCTCTCCAGCTTCTTCGCTCTTGCACTGAAATCAATACAAATCCAAATAAAATATAAAAAAAATAAATAACAAAAAGAGAAACAAAGCAGCACTGGGCTCAGGGGTCTCGTTTGGTGAGCCGGTCCTGGAAGGTCTTGATGCGCTGCATGGCATTGCTGTTGAGGTAGTCCAGACCTGAGAACAGCGTTGTTCCCGCCACGCTCCACCTGCGACACCCACTCATATTATGAGTGCCCTGTGTCGTGTAGCGAGGGAGGAGGCAGTGGCGTACTCGAGTCCGGACATGAACATGGGATCGAGCGTGAAGTCGAGTCCCTTAGCCGACAAGACGAGGAACACCAGACCCACCTGAAGCACAGTGTTCACCTGCATCGTCATCCCCACAGGTGTCCGAACCATGGAATCTCGTGAGTGCCAAGTCCGTCTGCGCGCGCAGGAGCGTTCGAATTGGTACGTGCCTTCGAGATGACGGTCGGCTTGATCTCGATGCTCTCCACCTTGGACACACTGTGCATGCATTTAATTCGTTTTTCATCATTATAAATATTTATATCAATACATCTTAATAATGGGTTGGGGGCACCTGAAGAATCGCGAGACGGTGACGGGCCTGGGGAGAGATCGGTACCTGCGGATTACGCCGCCCGCGAGCAGCGACACATCGCGCAGCAGGATAAGCCCAACCAAGGGCACTGCAGTAGTGAACCACGCACGTCAATTGTGTGCACAAAGCACTGCAAGTGACTGCCAGTCACAAAGAACTTTCTACGTACATGGGAGAAGGGCCTTGTAGGCCATGGTGGTCACCATGATTGTCATCAGCAACTTGTCGGCCAGCGGGTCTGGTGTGGGAGTGCGTAGGAGATTAGGCGATGATAGGGCGGCATGACGATCAGCAAGAGTGCGAAGGCGAGAGAGAGAGATCACTCACGCACCCAAGAACGAGCCAACGACCGACTTCTGGTTGAAGCGCTTGGCAATGAACCCGTCCACCGCGTCAGTCGCACTCGCCGCCAGGAACCTGTTGGTGGCGCCAACACGTCAGCATGCGTGACTGGACTTTGCTTGGCGCAGAGAGATAGGTACGTGCCAGCCCATGGCCAGGGCAAACTCCTCCTGTATGATCCAATAGCCGATGAACGGCGACGCGATCATGCGGCTCACTGAACGACACGCATGAGTGGTGTTGTGTGTGTGTGTGTGTGTGTGTGTGTGTGTGTGTGTGTGTGTGTGTGGTGACGTACCGGTGAGGATGTTTGGGATGGTGAGCACCCTGGTTGACGACGTTGTAGCCTGTGCACGGGCGTCAGTTGAACTTCAAGTTGTGCAAGGCTTGGCTTGTGAGTTACCTCCACGTTTGCTGTTGCGGTTGTAGGAGGGTTGACGTTGCCCTGGCTGGCCTTGTCGTCATCTTCAGCTGCAGATTTCGGTGTAGAGTAGACCCGGATCAAAACCGTCGCTGGTGGCTGCCACGCTCGCCCCGCCAAGGCTCCACCTAGCGGCACACTGGAGCGCAGACGGATCACTCCCGAACGGACCGCGCCAGACTGCTGCCACGGCAGGTGCACCCCGCGCGCCCCAGTTCTGAATTGCTTTGCGGGCAATCCACCCGGGCTGCTTGATGAAGCTGTGAGGGTGCGTGCCGAGGTGCCCAACCTCAGCACCTGCGGTCTACTCGCTGCAATACTGCAGCATCTCCTCATCCTCTGCCTTCACTTTTGATTTATGCCGAATAATCAACTGTGAACCTGTCGACATCTGATTTATGCCGAATTAATCAGAAGCTTGCTCTTCGCAGCATCCAGATCTACAGCTCTGCTAAGGCACTCCATCGCGTTTTCAGCGGGTTCATGGCCCTGTCCTCACGAAAAAGGGCCGCCGAATCGACTCCGCTCCTTGCTGCGATGGATGAAGGTGAGCACCAAATCTGCCGATCGCTTGTTTGTTTTTTCACGTTATGATTACGATGCCTTGTCATGCTTGCATCTAATCATTGTTGCCTGTTTATGTGCATTTATTACACCCCTCGGCCTGCACAGATAAACGAGAATATGGTGCACTGGGCAAAGGCCGCTACCGCGAGCACGATGGGGTGGTGGGCGAGTGGCAGTTCGATGAGCGACGGCCGCAGCCAAAGCTGGAGGTCGTTGTCGCGCCCTTGGACGCGGAGGAGGGCCACGATGGACTGCGGGACGAGGTCTCGGAGCAGGAACCGCAAGAGCAGCGCAACGAGGAAGCGTTCCTCGATGCCTGGTCGCGCTTCCTGTTTTCAAAACGGTAGCGTCATCTGCGTGTGCGTCGTGTGTGTGTTGTGTGCGCATTGGTGCTGAACTCGTAGCGTTATGTGTGGTGCTACAGAGGACTCGGGCTGGTGTTGCTTATGGTGATCTCGTTGGTGCTAGGCATACTGGCGTTGGTGTACAGGTTCGTTCTCGTTCACCAGACCAGCACCTTCAGGGCAGCAATTGCTCTCTAGAGTTAACTCCTTACCCGTCGTCATCTTCATCTCTGACCACACAAAGGGAAGAGCTTTTCCGTGCGTTCGACAAGACCGCGGGCTTCATCAGAGATCAGGGCATTGCGTACGTGTAGACCCAACTTAACTTTCTTGTCCGGTGGAAAGAAGTGTACACTCACATGCCATCAACGCCTTGTTTTAGGGGGTCTCTCCTTTTGATTCTGGCGATCGCCATCACCAGCTATCCTCCCATGGTTGGCTACTCATGGTACGCGCAATAATAGCACGCACACACCGCACACACCGCACATGCACGCGTGCCGCTCACGGCGCTTGCGACTAGGGGTCTATTGGCGTGCGGGTATATCTATGGATGGGCCGGCTTCATACCCGCCTACATCGGTACCGACCGATCCCTGCCGTCGTCGCCTTAACTGAGTCGACTCTAACTCCTCTTCTTCCCCCTCCCCTTAATAGGCGCCTTGCTGGGCGGACTTACGTCATTCCTCGCCTTCCGCTACGCCTTCCGAGACTGGGTCGAGAAGCAAACCAGGTACGCTCTCATTATTTCAATTATGATAGTTTTGATTTAATGTAGAAATATCTCGAATAATATTTCATGGTGGTGTGTGTGTGCAGGAGCTACCCAAAGTATGTGGCCTTGGAGCGGGCGCTCGAGAAGGAGGGCCTGCCGCTGGTAATTCTCATACGCATCGCCCCGTACCCTTACCCCATATTCAACGCGCTGTTCGCCGCCACTCGAGTCGAGTTCCATATCTTCGCCATCGGGACCGCCATCTCCCTCATCAAGGTACATACAGAAACACACATACACACATAAATACATACATATATATCATATATACATCTGCAGTGTCGCTGATATTGTACATATATCTCGCTGCCGCGTGCCTCCAGATCCTGATCCACATATCAGTCGGGAAGTCGCTCTCGAGCTTCAGCGATGTGCTTAATGGCGAGACGGGCAGCCGTTGGGACATAGTCTTCCTCGTTGTCGGTACCCCACCGCTCCCTCAGCAATCGCGGCAGGCCGTCCTGGACAGTGTCGTGTGTGCGCTCACAAGTCGGTGTCTACACCCCGTGCAGGCATTACGGTGGGGCTCGGGGTGGGCATCTATCTGTACTTCCGCACTAAGCAGCACCTCCAGCAGTACGCCGACGAGATCGGCGGCGAAGAGGAGACTCGGTACAGTGCTGCGCCGGAGGACGAAGAGCAGCACAACAACGACCAGGACCATGACGGCGACGGCGACGAAGAGAGCGCAGAAGATCTGCAGCAGACGCAGGTGGTGGAGCCCACCGAAGCCGGTGGACACGACAACGTAGTAGCGGAGGAAGACACCGCACCTGTCCGGCTCGACTGCGCTGATGGTGCCGTGGCCCACAAGAACGAAGCGACAGCAGATGAAACCAAAAACGTGTAGTGTCGACACGAAATAAAATTTGTGGACACGCACTTCCGCGAATCCATTTCGAGCTCGACAGTTATGCGCATTGGCCGATTGGCGCGATATTGCCATTGGTCCGTCCAATTTCTTTTCCTGTATAATTTTGGTGTGATTGGATAAATTGAGAGCTCACACACAGAACCTTCCAATCAAATTGGCGGCCACGAAGCACACAGACACGACGCTCCACTCAGGCGGGTGTACAGCGAAGCCACAACACTACATGCTCGCCACGGCGTCTTCCCCGTCGCTCTTCTCCGCCAATCCCTTCCACACCGCCTCGTCCACGTTCGGAATGCAGACACTCACCAATCAGGAGAAGGACGTGCTCCTGTTCATGCAGCGGCTCAAGAGCAGCACGGCCCAACAAGAGACCGAGGTACACCACCATCCTCTTCCCCGATCCCAGCGCTCCGTCTCTGGTATCTGGGTCTGGCCCGCAACAAATACCTGGAAATTCGTTTCGTGGGCTTTTTTCCTGGTATTTTGATAATTAAATTAACTGGAAAAATCTTTGCTCCGACCGACCAGACCCGGTCATGTCCGTCGACGCCTACGCGCCCAGCCGCCCACTCGCCACTGCCGCCCACTCGCTCGCCCGCCGCCTCGTCTCCTGCTTCGCCCACCACCACCACATCATCATCATCATCGCCAACCCCTTCATCCCCATCATCAACCTCATCGACCACTTCATCTGAGTCGACCCGCGAGGCCCTGGACACGCTGCGGCGCAAGCAGCGCCAGACTCGGCGCAAGCCCTACCTGTGCGGCCGGTGCGGCCAGCCCAAGGCCGGCCACATCTGCCCGCCCAACCTCCCCTCCCCTGCTCCGGTTCCACAACAGTCGCATCAGGCCCCCACCACCGCGCGCGTGGCGTCGTCGCCGGCGGCCTCGATGGCTGACGTCAGCCTGCCGGACTACGTCTTCTGCAACTCCTCCTCGTTCTCGCCCTTCTCCCTCTTCGGAGGCGCGCCTCCGCAGTCTACGGCGTCGTCCGAGCCCACGACGACCACCCAAGCGCGCGGCACCCGCGCTTCTCGCCGCACCCTCTTCCTCGCCGCCCAGCAGCAACAGCAGCTCCGCCGTAGTTCGGCTTCGATCCCGCGCTCGCCCACCTTTCCCGCCACTCTTCCTCCGCAGGTGACCCCGCGGTCGCCGCCACCACTGCCTACTTCACCACCGGCCCAGGCCCAGGCCCAGGCCGCCACGGTCGACGGACTGGTTCGGGAGCCGTCGCTGATGTCGCTGCCGGCCAGCCTCGTGTCCCAGTTCTCCTCCGGCGATCTCACCTCCACGTCGCCACCATCGTCGCAGCCATCGCCGCCTCCGCAGCCGACGACCACGGCGCCCGGCTGCCTCACCTCGCTCCCCGTTCTCGTCCCTCTCCTTCCCCTCGTTGTCAACCCTGCTCTCGCTTCCCTCGTTCTCTTCTCTGCCGCTGGCGTCATCATCGTCGCAGCCGCCGCTTACGTCATCGCTGCAGCTGTCCACGTCATCGTCGTCACTGCCGCCGCTGCCGCCGTGGCCACTGGTGCCGTCGCAGTCGCAGTCGCAGTCAAACGACGGCGACGGGCCGCAGTCGCTGCCCGCGGACTTCGAAGATGATGGCATGGACTGCGAGGCCAAGCGCGGCCGCAAGCGCCAGCTCGGGGACCAGGAGGAAACCGACGATGAAGAAGAAGAAGAAGAGGAAGAAGAAAGTCTCGTCATCAGGGAGGAAGAGGAGGAAGACAACGCGCCCCAACCGAAGCAAAAGAAACAGAAGACCGACAAGGAATTATCTGGAGCGATTGTACAGTCACCGCGGAAATGAAGCGTTCTAAAGGCACAAACATGTTATCTAAATAGTGTTACAATTATTGGGAAAATGTTGCAAGCTCAATCCTGGTGCAGTAGTGCGAGGCGTTCATCAGCAAATCTGCGTTCGGCCATGCTCAGCTCTTCGATCGCGTTCTCTGTGTCGTCGTTGGCGATGAAGCCCAACCAGCGCCGCACCAGCTCGGGCAAAAGCGGTTCGACGAGCCACCGCGCGTTGAGCCACAGGGCGACCAGCGCGCAGTAGGCCAGCGGGAGCAGCGTGAGGGCCACCTGGACGTCGTTGGCGATGATGGTCGCCGTCGAGCCGCCCAGGCCGGCGCCCAGCTGAGCGTAGGCCGCCAGCGGACCCTGCAGGGCCGCGATGGCCGCGAGAATGGCGAGAAAGGCCGTTTCGGCCGACCCGTAGGCCCGGCTGGCGAACGGGGCCAGGTGGACGTGGAGCAGGAGCGCCACGAGGCACGCGCCGAAGAGGGCCATCGCGCGCCACACGGGATCGACCACGAAAGTGGCCAGCGCGGCCAACACCAGCCGCCGGGCCATGTTGGCGCTCTCCCACCACCGGCGCCCTGGCCGGTAGGGTCCCTCGAGCACGCCCAGCACGCCGCGGGCCGTCGCGCTGGTGGCCCGGTAGCGGCCCAGCACGATACGGGCCGCGAGGAGGAGTAGGGGGAAGGGCGCGACGATGAGGGCCAGCACCGCAACGAGGCCCCACTGCCAGCCGGCGAAGCACTCGACGGCGCCCGACCGGAAGAGCCGTGTCACACCGTCGACCTCGACGCAGTGGAGCAGCGCGAGCGTGGTCCCGGCGATTGACTGGTACAGCAGCAGGCCGAGGGCCATTCCCGCCGCCGCGTACGGGGTCGTGGCCTTGGCCGCAGTCGTCGATGCCACGTCATCGCCACCTTCAGTGGATTGCGGCTTGTCATCGTCATCGTCCTCGTAATTGTAATCGGCGGCAGTGTTCACTCGATGGTGTTGAAGGAGTGGCCCACGGCGACGTCGACTCTGCACGGCTCGCACGAAGCCGCCGACCACAACCCGGTGGCCGAGCCACACGAGGGCCAGCTCGGCAAGCAGCACGGCGGGGATGACATAGCTCGCGGTCATCTTGGCCACGGCCGTGGTGCCGGGCCACGGACAGGCGCTCAGGTGCAGCCCGACCGCGCTCGGGTCCAGCGCGAAGAGGCCGATCGTGGCCCGCAGGCCCGGGTTGTCCAGGCTGGCGATGAGCGGGACCACCTGCATGAAGTAGGTGATCGACTTCCACAGCGGGTGGCGGCGCAGCTGGAAGCAGAGCACGAGCAGCACGTAGGCCGCGCCGACGACCAACGCCACGGGCACCAGCCACGCGGCGTCGTCGCACTGATCGTCGGGGGCGCACTCGACCGTGCCAAAGGCCTCGCTGAAGCCCGCGGCACACTGGCCGCACAGCGGGCCGGTGCGCCGCCCGACGCAGGCGTCGTCCCAGGACCGCGGGTGGTCGCTTGCGCTCGAGCAGTAGCCCGGCGGGCAGCGAAAGCATTGCAGCGCGCTCGGGTCGGCCGCGCGGCGCTGGCACCAGAAGCCCGGCAGGACCCGCACCGCCGCCCCGCCCAGCGGGCAGTCGGCCCCACCCGGGCAGTCGTGGCACGTGTAGTTACTATTGGCCGCGGCCGCCGTCGTCACTGCGTCATCGTCGTCGCCGGTCGATAGCTGGACCGAGTCAGCCACGAGGTTGTACGATCGCGAGGCGCAGCTGGCGCAGCCGAGGTTGATCGAGACCAGCGCGCTGCCAGCACCCAGCGAGTTCTGGCACGGTTGAATGAACGGCGCGAGCGAGCTTTGGTTCTGCACCTGCTGGCCCGGAGCGCAGGTGAGGCGCGTGTCGTCGACGTAGGCCTGGGCCACGTGCGGGATGACCAGCACCAGGCCCTCGCGGTTGCCGCCGCTGCTGTTGCCGGCCGGTTGCAGGGTCGAGTCGGTCATGGTGAAGGCGCCGAAGCTGCCCGACCACAGGTCGTGGCCGGCGAACGAGGCCCGGTTGTCGGCGAATAGGCTGGTGTCGATGGAGATGGCTGTCGAATCGGAGTTGAGCGATAGCCCGCCCCCGACCATGGCCTGATTTCCATGGAAAGAGCAGTTGCTTAGCGTGGTGGTGCCCTGGGTGAGGAACAGCGCGCCGCCGCTGCCCAGGGCCGCGTTGCCCAGGAACTCGCTGTTGGTCAGGGTCGTCGAGCCGCGATAGAGCCACTGGTTGCATTGGAACCTCTCCCTGTCGGGCGCGTGCTGGATAAGCGCCGCGCCGCCGCTTGAGGCGTTGTTGCCGTGGAACACATTGGAATCAAGCACCAGGCTTGCGCGGCCTTGATACGAGTCGACATCGTCCAGTCCATAGAAGAGGGCAAGGCCGCCGCCATTGGCCTGGGCCTCGTTGCCCAGGAATGCGTTGTCCAGGAAACTGGCCGACACCTGGTCGTAGTCGTTGCACTCCATGAAGACCCCGGCGCCCTGCGAGGCCGCGTTGGCCTCGAATCGGTTGGCGACGAACTCGAGGCTCACGTTGGTGACCCAGTCCAGCTGGAGCGCCAGGCCGGCGCCCAGCGCGCTGGGACAGCCCGAGTCGGGGTCGGTGAAGTTGTTGCAGCCTGTATTGCGCACCAGCAGGTTGTCGCGGAAGCGCAACACGCTGTCGTTGGCGGCGAGCACTTCGGCGGCCAGGCCGGCGCCGTAAAGGATCGAGCTCGGGTAGTTGTCGTAGGTGACCAGCGCGTTTGCCTCGAACCGATTGCCGACGAAGTCGTACGCGCTCGCCTCCGCGTCATTGGCCGACAGCGCCACGGCGCCGCCCTGGTCGTTGCACGAGTTGTTGACCTCCAGGGCCTCGGCGTCACCGTGTGCTGCGACGGCGGCCACGGCGCCTCCAGCCTCAGCTCGGCCATTGCGCACGGTGAACCCGCGCAGCGTAACCGAAACCGGCGGCAACGGCGGCCCGGCGACAATGTTGAACGCACGGCCGCTGTGAGCGCAGTCGAGGACAGCAGTGCCGTTGATGGCGGTGATCGTCATTGAGGCGTTGACGACGACCCCAACGCCGCTGGCCGGGCACGGCCAGGCCTCATCCCCCGCCACGACGCACACCGCTGGCGGTGCACCGTTGCCAGTGGTGGTATTCGCCTGGGCGCGCCACACGCCCTGCTGGATGGTGCCGCAGGCTGCGGCCAGGGTTGTGCCGCACGATTCGCTGTCTGCGTGGCCCCGTGCCACGTAGATGGTGCACGGCAGTGCAGGCGAGCTGCCGTGGCTGTAACCGGCCGTCGTCAGCAGCAGTACCAGTTGGGCTATCACCGCGAGCCCCCTCATAGCCACAGTGCCAACTGTGCAGCATTAAAATTAATATCAAAAAAACAGTGATCATAGGAATCAACGCCAGTGAGGCTTTCCACATCATCGAGGCCACGAACCTACCTTCGTGGTGGAAAGCCCTCACTGGAAGCAAGGAAGCAAGGCTGGCGCAAAGTTGCTGCTCTTGCTGCCAGTCACACAAAGCAGGAGACCAATAGGAGCGCTTCACTTTTTAAAAAGTGAAAACAAAAAAGGGAAAGACAAGAAAATGAAGAAGAAAAGACAGAAATATCGGAGATTCGGGATGGTTCGGGCCGAACACGACGTGCTTCCCGACCCGGGCGCGAACTGCATTTCCCGGCCCTTCTTGGTGCATAAAAGTACTCCAATCGCTCCTTCAAACAAACAAGCACAACCACTTGAACCAGCCGCCACAACAACTTCACCACAGCCATGAGCTCCACAACCAACCAGAACAAGCAGCAGACGATCAAGATCGTGGCCTTTGCCGGCTCAGTCCGCGAGGCTTCCGCCAACGCCGGGCTCATCCGCGCCGCCCAGGGCCTCGCCCGCTCAATTCCTCACGTCGAGTTCCGAGTCGTGACCCACCTCGTCGGCCAGTTGCCGCTCTTCGACTCTGACCTCGAGGCCGCCGAGGGCTTCACCGGCGCCGTGAGCGAGTGGCGTGAGGCCCTGCGGGCAGCCGACGCGCTGCTCATCGCCACGCCCGAGTACAACTACTCGGTGCCGGGCCCGCTCAAGAACGCCATCGACTGGGCCTCGCGGCCCGACGACGCCACCTACTCGTCCTTCCCGGCGGCCAACAAGCCCGTGGCCATCATGGGCGCCGGCGGCGCGATGGGCACCAGCCGGGCTCAGTACCACCTGCGGCAGGTGGGCGTGTTCCTGGATTGGCACTTTGTCAACAAGCCCGAGGTCAACGTCAACCTGTGGGGCGGCAAGCCCATCAGCGACGGCGCCACGGGCGACCTGGTGGACGACGCCACGCGGCTCCAGGTCAAGGCCCTGCTCGACGCCCTGATCCAGTGGACCACCCGCCTGCGCACAACCACCACAACCACCGCCGCCGACGACCAGGCCGTGGCGGAAGAGGAGTCGAAAGCGTCAGGTCTGTTGCGGGGGTGGAGCAAGGCGGACCTTAAGGCGGCGCTCAAGGAGCAGAAGAAGCGGGAGAGGGCCGAGAAGAAGGCGCACCGGAAGGCAGCCGCCCACGCCTGATCTGATCGGAGGAGACAACGATCATCACATGATCATCGCATCGCATCACACCATCTCTTTCTCCCCCTCCCTTTTGTATCTCTTGTACAGCACAAAAACAGTTACACCTTGTCTGAATGCACGGCCTGTCCTCTCTCTCTCCCTTTCTCAGGTGGTTCGGTTCTCCTCGATGAAAGCGACCACGGCATCAGGTTCGAGGCGAGCGTGCTGCCTGCCAAAAGCACACACACACATTCATTTAGCTGAAAAAAATTGTCGCTTCTGGTCTGATTCGGCACAGAAAGTTTCGGCGTGCTCTTTGGCGGGGCTTGTGCGGTGTCACTTTAAAAAACGCACACCCGAAGAGAAGAGGGGGATGTATGCTTTGCCAACCACACCCACTGCCCCAACACACGGCACCATCCTCTCCGTGAGCGGCACCCGTATGCACCCACTTTTACCTTGCTCTTTTCGCTTTCGCTCACCTTCATGTCTGGTCGGTCCCAGGGGTGAGGGCCGAGGGCCTTGGGGCGGTGGCCCAGAACGAGCTGGTGCGGCTGGGCCGCGACGGCATCTGGGGCGAAGTTGTCCGGCTGGAGTCGACCGGTCGTGGCGCGGTGGTGGCCGCCATCGAGGCCTTCGAGGACCCGGCCGGCCTGGCAGTAGGCGACCCCGTCGAGCCCACCGGCCGCCCGCTGTGCGTCGAGCTCGGCCCGGGCCTGCTGGACCACATATTCGACGGCCTCCAGCGACCGCTCGACGTCATCAGCACCCTGCCACCACCACATGGCGGTTTGCGACACAAACTAGACAACGACACGCGTGTACGGTCAGGCGCTGACAACACGTGCGCGTTCGTGCCGCGCGGCGTGAATCTGCCGTCGCTCGATCGGGAGCGTAGGTGGTGCTTCGAGCCGACAGGCGAGTTCTGCGTGGGCGACGCCATCGCTGGCGGCGACATCTACGCCACCGTGCGCGAGACATCGCTCTTCACCCACCGCATCATGATGCCGCCCGACGAGCCCGGCGGCCGCATCACCTTCATCGCCGACCGGGGCCACCACTACACCATCAATGACGTCGTGCTCGAGGTCGTTGTTCAGGGGTCCACCACCAGGCGCCGGTACACGATGATGCAGACGTGGCCCGTGCGCCGGGCGCGGCCCGTTGCAGCCCGCAAGCAGCTCGAGAAGCCGCTCATGACCGGCCTGCGCATGCACGATGCGCTCTTCCCGTGCGCCGTGGGCGGCACGGTGGCGCTGGCCGGCGGCGGCGAGAACGCGTCGATGGTGACCTGGACCCTGGCCAAGAACGTGCAGGCCGACGTCGGCGTCTACGTCGGCTGCGGCCAGCGGTCGACCGACCTAGCCTGTCTGATTGCTGACCTGACTAATATCAGCACGCCCGATCCCGACGCTGGTCGCGAGGTGCCACTGCTGAAGCGCACGGTGGCGGTGGCCAACGCGGCTGACGCGCCGCTCGCAGCGCGCGAGGCGTCGGTCCACATGGGCCTCGTCATCGCCGAGTACTTCAGAGACCAGGGCTGCGAGGTGTCGCTCACTATCGACTCGCTCTTCCGCTGGGCGCAGGCCACCGGCGGCGACGCCTGGAATCGTCAGCAGCCGAGTACGCCGCCCGAGTACGACCCGCGCAGCGCGGGCCAACAGCAGCTGAAGACCCAGATGGAGGCTCTGTACGCCCGCGCGGGCCTGTTTGTTTGCGAGGGCGCGCCGGCCCGGGAGGGCTCGATCACGATCGTCGGCATAACGGCCGACTCGGGCCGCGAGTCCTGGAACGTGCCCGACGGTGTGGATACGGTCGAGCAGGCGGCCATGGAGGCGGCGCAGGTGGTGTGGGTGCCCCACAAGACCGACTTCCAGGCCCTGGCCTGGAGCGGCTCGGGGTCGTCCTGGCTGGTCGACGACTACTACCGCCTACACATCGCCGATGACTTTGCCGACATGGGACAGGCTTGTAAGCAGCTGCTCCTCAGGGAGACCGACCTCCTGGTCAAGGCCCGGCGCGAGGCGCTGAGCGAGGCCGAGCTGGCCAGCGTCGCCGTGGCCACCATGTTCCGGCAGGACTTCGTGCGCCAGAACCTCTACGCGCCCTACGACTGCCGATGCCCGCTCGACAAGACGGCCTGGATGATGCGCAACACTCTGCTCCTCCACTCGCTCGCGCAGGCCACGCTTGCGGCGTCAGCCGCGGCCGCCAACAGAACGAAGCCGGCCAAGACGTGGAAGGAGATCGAGGAGGCCCTGAGCGCCCACCTCTATCGGCTCATGTGCATGAAGTTCGAGGAGGACGACTACTGCCGCAAGTTCGAGGCGCTCGGGGAGGAACTACGGGAGGCGTTTGCGAACCTCGGCTGCCCGGGCTACCTGTCCTCTTTCTGATCTACGGCGCGAGTGTGTTGTGGCGTGTGTACAGCCAATTTCAAGATGAACGAATGACGAACTTCAGCGGTAATGAGGGCACAGTGCGTCTACGGGCTAGACTCCAAGGCCACATCTGCATCAAGGGTGGGCAGGGAGCGTCACCGTCTGCAAGAAGAATCAATCCGCTATGGTGTAGTCGGTAACATTTCTGGTTTTCACCCAGGCGCCCCGGGTTCGATTCCCGGTAGCGGAAGAGCAGCTCTCTTTTTGCTAGGCATCTCTTTACAAAAGTCAGGTGGTGCATGTTGCTGCATGCAGTGCAAGGCCAGTATTGGTCATCTCATCACTGATGGGAGCACATGAATGGTCTTTTCACTTTCCTTGTTGGTCATTGTGTTCCCAAAACGCCCCTTGCTCCATTAATCAACATGCATGAAGAGCTAATGAGTGAGGCCAATAACATTACTTTGTACAGTGCCCCACCATAGGCAAGGATTGGCTGGGGCATGGTGTGAAGGCAGATTTGTGTGTAGCTCAGGATGTTGCTTGCCCTGCTCCATTGGGCTGCCCATCAAACATTGTCATTCTTGGCCACCAAGACTTGTCTTGTGGAGTGAAAAAAGTGACAGTACCCAAAGTGCATGATGTAGCCAAAGGAGAAGAGAAGAGAGTGGGGTTATCAACACCTCCTGCTGGTTTGAGACAACCCATGCTTAATCACTGCATAATGCAGATGCAAGGCCAGGCACAGGGTGGACTGCAGCAACAGTGCATGGATTGCCACCTTGTGAAACCACTGAAGGGCTGACTGCTTTTAAATCAATAAATTGGCCATCCATCAATCAATCAAAATACTTGTGGCTGGTAAAGGCTGCTGCTTTGTGGCACTGTGCAGCCAACTGAGCTACATGTTTGCCTGTGTTGGGGTGGTGGTGGATGGGCCACAACTATGATGCCACTGGAGAGGAGGAGGTAGCAAAATTGCATGGGAGTGGCTACAACAGTCATCTCCAGAATGTCTGACTGCATGATTGTGTTTCACAACATGACAGACAAAATCAATAACATCCATTCATAGCAACTGAGTGTGGCTGATGACACCCTGTGACTATGTCACCACAAAAATATCTCCACTAAATTCACTGTGCCTACCACTCATGATGATGGGAGTTACTGTTGCATAGTAACTGTCCATTATTTGTTTGTGGTGGGTCTTCATAAGCTTCCAATTCAACAAGTGGTCCCCACGCCATTGGACCCGACAGTAGGGTCGGGGAGCCAATCAGAATATGGCATTCCAACATTCTGCTGTCAATCAGGTCTGTCCTTTGGCACCACCACTTCTCAGTGGTCATTCGAGCTTCCCAGACCAACTGCACAGCCCTTTTCGCCATGAATGCCGCCACACTCACCTTCTTTTTGCTGAGCCTCTTCGTCACGTTGGGCTCCGGCAAGTTCAAGATCAGCGTCGAACAGAGTCAGCCCCGCCTGGAGCCCGTCGACTTTGTGCTCTACTTCAACGAGACCATCCTTGGAGCACCTAGCCACGAGCCCCTCATCTGGGCCGCTGGTTCCCTGTCCCAAGCCCCGTCGTCCTTCAGCACAGTACTGCACCAGAGCCACGCTGGACTGTCCGCCGCCTTCCACGTCGGTGGCCAGGTATACAGCGAGGGTCCCGTCCTGGCCTTTCAACCCAACAACACCCACTGGTGAGCACCTCTCCCTTTCCTCTTCCCTTTCGTTTTGTCAATTTGCTTGACATCTCCATTCTTCACCACTACCAGGCTCCTCTGCGTTCAAGGCGACAACGTCCTCCAGTTCAGCGTGGACCACAACCCACACAAGCCAGTCAACGGCTTGAGGGTCACCTTGCAGAACGTGGATGAGCTGAGCAAGGGCCGCCTGTCGATCCGGCGTCACGAAGGCTGGACTGACTATCGCGGCGTGCCCTACTTCGGTCCCGCCCTTGGCTACGCGGCTGATTTCGCCCAGCCCTGGATCAACTTCCCGCCTGTGCTGTCCCTCACCCTGACCGAGACCTTCTTCAAGGGCGACGCGTCGACCTACGTCGGTCAGCCAGTATCCTCCCTGCAGGCGCGCGGGTTCTCTACCACGTTCAAGGTCATCCCTGCTACATCCGAAGTGATCTGGCAGGTCAACCTGGAGCGCCGCAGCGACTCTGCTACCAGCACCACTTACTATCTCCCAACCTACACCTACACCTTCCAATGATGTAATGAGTGTGCACTGGAGAAAATAAGAGGGTGCAAACCCAGCAAGTGCATATGCGCGTGGCAGCGAGAGCAGGCATGCGTCTCATGTAAGTGGGTCCTCGCGCTCAGGAAGCGCATGATGCTAGAGTGACTTCATGGGCTATGCGCATGAACAGCGCACAGCTGTAGTCACGGCGTATAGGGGTTGGCATTGCCGTCAGTGTCGTCATCAACGTCGTCGTCGTGATCATCATCATTGTCCATGTCATCGGCGTCTACCTCACACACTCACCTCCTCTTCACTCCAGCGTCCTCCAGCTCCTCTTCCTCCAGATTCTGCTCTGACTCTTGTTCGTCATCTTCGTAGTCGGACTACTTCCCCTTCCCCTTCCTTTTCTTTGCTGCACTCATTTCTACATCGTCCTTGGCACCAGCATCGTCGTTGCTGCTGCCATCCCACCTCTCCATCAGCTCTTGTTGGTGCGTAGCCCAACGTTCTAGTATCGCCGATGCATTACCTCACCGAGGGGTGTCGATTTGATTATGAGGTTCCCCAGATGCCGTATCATCGCAGAGAGGTCCAAGTTGACAAACCGCGTGCTGACCCATTTCCCTAGTGAGGCAATAGGGATAAGTGAACACCCACACAAAACAGGTATGAAACAAAAACACTACAGACAAAGGGAAACGTACAGCCACCGCGCACTTTCTCTTCCAACTACACCATAGCGGATGATGTTGCCTTTACTCTTGGCCGACGGAGACGCTGACTGTTTTGCTCTCCAACCAAGACCAGCCCTTGATGAAGTGGTCATCGCCCATTAGCTCCCTCCCCACCGATTTCTGCTTTCACCCCAACAGAACCAAGCCGGTGCCTAACGTTTCACTCGCGCACACAGGCCTTGCGAGTGTTTGGGCCAACACGCTCCAAGAAGCAAGTAGGTCCAAGCACTGTCGCTCGTTTATTGCCACATTTTAGAAGAGGAAGTACGACATCCAGCTCTGCACGGAGGCAGCCGAGCTGCACTGCGAGTCGAACGAGACGTGGACCGAGAAGGCGGTCGAAGCAACGCGCGAGCACTCATTGTTGGAGACGGTGTTGACCGGCGAGCCGGAGCAGTCAGTGGCGGTGTAGAGCTCGTAGCTCTTGGCCGTGCAGTTGGTCTTGGAGCCGAACACGGTCGAGCCCAGGCGGAGCGTGCCACAGGAGGTCTCGTTGGCCTTGGCGAAGGCGCAGTATCTGGTGCCGCCGCAGCTGGTGCTGCCGGGGAAGGCGTCAAGGCGGATGTCGCAGGCGGCGGTCTGGGCCATGATGGGCACCACGGCGAACAGGGCGCAGAAGGCGAGCAGGAGGGCGATGGGGAGGTGCTGCATGTTGTTGATGGGAGTTGTGTGGGTTGTGGGTGAAGTGGGGACTGCGGTGTGGCCCATTTTATGGTGTGGAGAGCGGACGACCATTGGTTGCTGGAGAATTGTTGGTGGTTCAAGGTCACGAGGCGAGAACCAACCAGAACTCTGGGTGAAAGTTAGAAGAAGGCGCCCACCAATGACGGTCTGCCTTGAGGTGAAGTTGCTCCACACCAAGACTCCGCAACCAGGTGCTGCGACTGGAGAACAAATCAGACGGGATTTTGATTGGACAAGCTCGACAAATTTTAACGCAGCCGCTGTGAAAGTTGACCGTGCAAGATTACTTGACATATCACGACTTCTTTCAGTTTCGTTCCTTGCCTAGGAGACAAGGAAAGAGCAACTGCGGTTGGCGAGGACCAACATCTAGGATGACGATCACCAGGGGCGTTGGTCCTGATCAACGTCCTCCAAGCTTTCGCTAAGGTACACACACCGACTTCACCTCCTTGACCACCTCTTTGAGCGAGGAGCTGCCCCCGACTGGTGGTGCCCGCCCAGCTCGTGTTGCTCTGGACACAGCGAAAGTGAGAACGGGGAAAAACTATCGTGTGTGTGTGTGTTGGGAGTTGAGTTCGTACGGTCGTTTGTCACTGAGCGTGGCGAGGAACTCAAGAATGTCCATCTCACCTCCTCTCGTGTTCTCCTCCTCGTCGCTGCTGAGCTCTCCATCGAGAAGACTGGCCAAATCCAGCACCTGGTGAGAAGCTTGGGCACCATTCAGGTGTGCCCTGGATGTGTGGCGGTACCGGTGCTTGAGCTGGTCTCGTGGTTCTCGCGTGCGCACACCACCGGAAACAGAAAGACCCTTGGCCATCGGGCTGCCGCCCTTCTCGTTGAAGAAGGTAAGCACGTTTGACGAGGGAATTGAGAGGGACAGGAAGGCCGACGAATGTGTTCTGTGCGTGTCGTGTCGTGTCGTCGTGAGTGAGTGCGTGCGGCTCACACCCGGTGGGGCATAACACGAAGTACCGGCCGGGACTGCCTTGGGGTGGGTTGGTGGAGCCAGGCGAGCCCTTGTGTGGTGAGGAGCTGCTGACCGACGGAGTGAATACGGGCGAAGTGAGAACTGAGGAGGACATCGATCGCCCGTGAAGCGAGAGAGACGACATCAAACTGCCGGAGCTCTTGCTTCTCCCGGACAGCCCGGCCGCCGGACTGCTCTCCTGTGGTGGGTGATTAATGTTATTACTGCCAGAAATGTATATAATTTTCTACCACAAAATTGCACGCACCTTGTCTTTCCTTCGCCAGCGCAGAGGCGACATGACCTTGGCCACCCAGTCCTTGTTTTCCTCCTTTTCTTTTTCCTTTTCCTTCTCCTTCTCCTTCTTCGCCGCTTTGAGCTTGACCCTCTCCCTTTCCTTGCGGTCCTTCTCCCGCGCGGTCTTGGGTCCCTCGATCAACTCAATGACCGCGTCGAGGTCGTCCGAGTCCCGCATGCCCTTTACTCCTCGCTCGGGTGTGTTGCTATAGTGGTAGTTCTTTCCCTTGTCCTTTGCGTCGTGCCCATTCGCCATCGTTGTGTCCGCTCCGTTCTCTCCTCTGCTGTGAATGCCGCTGCCACTGCTCTTCAGCTTCCTGCCGCTCTCCTCCTTTGGTTTCTTGTTGTTTCCGTTGTTGTTGTTGGGCGTTCCCTTCTTGACGCTCCTGTACTGATCGGAGAGGTTACGGTGACTTCGTGTTCGTGACAGTGCCTGGACCGGACTATCAGGTGAGTCTGTGTATGTTCATTCGCTCAGAGAGACATGGTCAGCGTGTTCCCCCCCCCCACAAGGCGATGGTCAAGCGCAGCGCAGCTCACCGGTCGCTTCGGTTTTTGTTGGCTCGGCCGTCTTGGGGGCGCCCGCGCTATCAAAGCTCACTACGACTGAGTCCTCCCCCATCACCTGCAGCGAGATGCTTCGGCCCTTGGAGAACGAGGCTCTACGCTCAGATGTCGATGCAGAGTCGCCCTTCTCTGATTTAAGCGGGGCAATTGTTACGCCAGACCCCAAACTTCACAGGGAGAAGAAAAAAACAAACACAAGGGGGGCATACTCTCAAGTAGTGTTGCACATGCTTCCTTCTGCTCCTTCCACTTTCCCTGACTGTCCACAGAGATGCTCCCTGTTCGCGACAGTTTTCGTTCCATGTTTGCCCCTTCCTCCGTCATTGATCAATCGAAGAGCTGTTGCACTTTCTTCTCTGCACCTCAGCACTTTCACTTTGTTGGTTGAACAGTCTGCTCTCAAGCGGCAAAAAGGAAACCAAACATCCTTACCTTTTGGGCGCTAAGTGTTGGCATTCCTCAAATACTTGGACCAAAAGAAAGTAGTTGCTTTTTCCTCATTCTCACACAGGCGGTTCATCTTCCCATCTCTGGCATCTGTGCTGCCCGCAGGCCTGTCAGTTTGCATGCGCATAGGAAGGGGCTCAATTCGTTAAGAATGGGGGACGCATGGAATTTTCTGACAAATCGTGCCCGGCGGTTTGTCACTCCCTCGACGGGCACCCAAATTCAACAAGAACAAAAATTCGAGGTACCCCATGCAATCTCCTCGCCCCGCTGATGTGAGATCTGAACAAATCAACTTTTCTTTTCCAAAATGGGGGCACTACTCAGAGCGCCGATTATGGTACGCACCTCTCCTTTTTTTGTTTATTTATTATTTAATAAACGAAAATTATGGCACTGTAACATGCCATCGCAGATATCGTGGACAGCGAGCTGTATCAACGGGAGCGGGCGGGCGTGGCCTCACGAGAGTGGATCACGAAGGGACTCGCCGCCGTCGCCATCACCGCCCTAATCGGCTTTGGTGCGTTGGCTCTGTTTTTCCGGCCCGTCTGTGTAGCGTAAGAGTTCATAACATACGCTAACCCGCGAATTGTGTGTAGTGGTCGGGTGCATCGCCTTTGGGATGGACAAAGCCTCACAAACGATCATGAAATACAAATCACAGCTCATCAGCAACCGTATGGCGACACACACACACACAATCTTCGCGTGTTTCTTCGGCTCACGCATGCCGTTCGTGTTGGGTCCCTGTGCAGTTTTGTCTGATTACAAGGACGATTTCTGGGTGCCCTTCGGGGTGTACGTCGGCGTGTCGACCGCCCTCTTCATCCTGGCCTGTCTTCCGGTCGTGTTGTTCGAGGTGCGTCCCCTCCCCCGCTCCCCAATTAATTGCGACACGTGACCGAGTGTTCGACGCACGCACCATTCCGATCGCTGACGCACCTCCCCCGCTCCTTACTCTCCAGCCGATTGCCTACTCGTCCGGCATTCCCGAGGTGAAGTGCTATCTCAACGGCGTGCGCATCCCCAGGTACCCACTCCGCTCGACAAACCAAATTATTCTCAATATTTATTATTTATTTATGTACACATTGGGGCAACACATTAATAATGAATAATAATGCATAATGTCTGAATAATGACAAATTGGTGCATCACAGGTTGTTGCGATGGAAGACACTGCTGATCAAGATCGTGGGAAGTATTTTGGCCACCGGTGGCAACGTAGCTGGCGACAAGGAAGGTGAGTGCGTCGCGCGTGTCTATTGCAATTATTGTGCCTGCAATGCGGCGGTGTTCAAATGAACTGACTAACATCCGGTTTCCCCTTCCCCTTCCCCCCCTTAAGGCCCGCTGGTGCACATCGGCGCCACCGTGGCCGCGGCCATCTCCCAGGGCAAGTCGTCGTCGCTCAAGTTCGACTCGGGTATCCTCAAGTTCTTCCGAACGGATAACGAGAAGCGGCTCTTCATCTCGTGCGGCGCTTCGGCGGGTATGTATAACACCACACCTCGGTCACACACGTCGGCGAAAGCACAGCGTGCCCCGCGCACGGCTTGAGACGGCTGAGTCTTCTGCCCCTTCATTTGGCTCCCTTTTTTGATGACTTTCGTCGAAACAGGAATTGCCGCGGGTTTCGGTGCTCCGATCGGCGGAGTCCTGTACATGATCGAGGAAGGTGCGAACAGCACCGCCGCCGCACACGCACCGCACACGCACCACTTGGACCCAACGCATCACCTCATGAGCTGACGTTGGATTCAATTTCTATTTTCTATTCTTCTTTGTTAGGCATGTCATTCTGGAGCGCTCCGCTGACGGCGTTCACGTTCTTCTGTTGCGCGTGCTCCATTTGTACGCACCCTCGAGCTCGCTCCCTTTGTCGAGAGCGTACTACGCTCCATCGTGCTCACGCCCGTGTTCGCACGTTTTGTCACTCTCCCGCAGCCGCGCTCAACTTCTTTCGCGAGGGAAGCGACCACTCGTGGGGCTACTGGTCCTACGTGGGTACGCTCCCTTGCAGGAGACTCCCCCCTCCGCTCCACAAGCGCGGCTCATCGTTTCTTTTTCTTTCTTTTCGTTTCTTTTTAGGATTGCTCGACTTCGGCCGCCGAGAGCTGCTCGTGCCCTACACCATCAAGCAGTTCCCCTTTTACATCATGCTCGGCATTCTTGGTACTCCTCATTTAACGCACGTCCGCTGCAAAGTGGAATGCTAAGCATGCATTCACCTGGTCCCTGGGTCCAGGTGGTCTGCTGGGTGCGATCTTCAATTTCTTCAACAAGTGGATCCACACCACCCGTGTGAAGCTCAAGCACCCGGTGGTGCAAGGCCTCGAGATGCTGGCCCTGGGCCTTACCACCTCCGTCCTGTTCTACATTATACCCTACTACTACCCCTCGTGCAAGTACGTTGGTTCTGTTCTTGCATCCACGTATTCAACACCCCCGAGCGAGAACTCACCGTGTGTGTGTCTGTCGTGTGTGTGTGCTGTGTATGTGTGTGTAGGGTTATCGGCAAAAACATGGGGGAACTTACCGTGAACACACTCTTTTGTCCCGAGGTACACTCCCAGCACGACATGTGAATCGCAGGCACCATCTGCTTACACCCCTGCAGGGCCAGTACAACCAGATCGGCACCATCTTGTTCCAAAACGAGGAGTCATCTCTCCGCGCCATCTCCACAGTGTACGCCGCCTTCGTCTCGGCATGCGCGCATATTCTTATCACTATCAACTCCTCTAACCTAATCTCCGGTTCGCCTTGGCCAGTACGCTGCAGTGGGACTACATGCCGCTCTTCATGATCTGTGCCCTCTACTTCGTCCTCACCTGGTACGTACTTCGCTTTCAGCCGCCTTGCCTTGCCCGGTGTCGCGACTAACACCACACACACACACACACACACACACACACACACACACACACGCACCAACACCATGCGACATAGCTGGACGTTTGGTGCAGCGGTGCCTGTGGGTATCTTGGCCCCGTGCCTGCTGATCGGCGCCTGCTACGGGAGGTGCGTACGCGCGCGTTGGCAACCACTGCAATGCCTTCACGGCGGCCAAGCTCACCGGCGAATGACCTGCGTACGTACGTGTGTGTGTGGTAGAATGTTGGGCCAATACATCCAGCACATCTGGCCCGAGGCCGCCGCCGACGAGAGCACCTTCTCCATCCTGGGCGCCGCCTCCATGCTCGCCGGCACCACACGACTCACACTGTACGCTCCGGTCCCCGCTTACGGTCTCCAAACAGTTTGGGCTGGCGCTAACCCGGGTTCTTTCCCCCCTCACTCAGGTCGCTGGCGGTCATTCTCACCGAGGCCACCAACAGTACGCGCCACCCCTGCTATTTAATACTAAAGATGTCGTTTCTTCTTCTTCTTCTACACGTCGAATTGAATAATATGCGTTGACGCGTGGCAGATGCCGGCTACACGCTGCCGATCATGTTGGTCGCCATGATTGCCCGGTTGGTCGGCTATTTGTTCATCAGTACGTTTTTTCCACTGCGCGAGAGCATTTAGGCTCAAAATACTAATAACAACAATAATAACAATGATAATAATAACAATTCTGTATTCTCCAGACGGGTGCTTCAACATCCACATCGACATCGCCAAGCTGCCGTTGCTCGACTGGTGGCTGCCCAGCGAAATGGTTCGTTTCTTCCTCGGTCTATATTTCTATATATATAAAAAATAGATAGAGATATATATTTCTATGTGTACAAGTTGAGAGCTGACACAGCAGTACGTTCGCGCCACGACATGCGATGTTGTTTAACAACAGATGCATCTCCGGGCCAAGCACGTAATGAGCAAACCGCCGATCTACTTCCGCCAGATCGAAAAAGTGTCAATCGTCCACCGGGTATGTGAGACCAGCAGCTGACACGCACACGCACACACACACACACACACACTGACGTCGACACGGTCATCCAGGTGTTGTCGAAGACGACCCACAACGGGTTCCCTGTGGTGGACAAGAAGGGACACCTGCTGGGTGTCATCCTGCGATGGCAGTTGGTCATCCTTCTCATGAACAAGCGCTGGTATTCGGTATGTGACAACACCACCACCACCACCGCACACGCACACGCACCATCGCACACGCACCATCGCACACGACATACCCAAAGCTCATTACGGTGGTCCACAGCAATCGGAGGTGCAGGACAAGGGAGTGCAGGACCAGAACCTGCTGAGCGTCGATACGTTCTTGGACTACTACCCGCGGTACCCCGACATCGACCAGGTGCACCTCGGCGAAGACGAAAAGAAGAACTGGCTCGCCCTCGCCCCCTGTACGCAACCCCACTACTGTGAGTCGTGTGTGTCGTGTTTGTGTGTGTCGTGACTGATGGTAGTTGGCGCGTGCAGACATGAACGCCAACCCAGTGCGAGTGTTGGAGACGTGCCCCATGCGACGAGTATTCCGTGTCTTCCGAACGATGGGTCTCCGACATCTCATCGTTGGTATGGTTGCACGCACGCACGCACGCACGCACACAGCTCACATCATTGTAATTCTGTAGTGGACAAGGAGGGCGTGGTGGTCGGCGTGATCACAAGAAAGGACATGTCCGGTACGCTTGTTGTGTGCGGCATTTGTGCGGTTGTGCGCCGGTGGTGCTAACACTACACTACACTACACTACACGACTGCAGCACGGTCAACGTTGGCGAAGCTCAAGACGCAGGCGATGCGACAGCCGAGTCTCTACCAATTCGGTATCGACAACTACCACTTTCATTAATTTGGTTACTAATATCTTGTTTATATCGAAATAAATCCAAATCAACATTATATTTCATATTATGATATATATTACATATTTATATATATTTATATATTTATATATACTCTGCATCAATATACATTCATTATTATGTTCATATCCGGGCCTCATATCTATTTGTATCTATGATATATGTATATATATCCATATATCTAAGAAACCACTTGGATAGCGCCATTGGATGGATCGTCGACGATGCTGCAGGACGTCCTCTCGCCCGAGTACCTGAGCCGCTCCAGCACCCGCACCAGCACCAGCGCCGGGCGCCAGCGGTCGGTCCACTTCGCCGTCGAGAAGCCCGACACCGACGACGAGACCGAAGACGACGACGTCATCACCACTACCACCACCGTCAGTAATGACCTGCGCGGCAGCATCAACCACTCCTGAGACGTCTCCTTATTTGTTGTACTTTTTATTATTTTAAATGTTATTTTAAATTTATTTAGAGTGTTTTATTATTTTTAATTTATATTTACATCCATTTCTTGTGTTCGGTCTGGTGTTCGATCTGCCCCATCTCTGTGTAGCGCACGTGTGAATACCAGGCCGAACCGACCACGACCAGCAGCGTTCCCAAAACGTTCATCGGCGTCACCATATCCCCTGGTGTGTGCGGTGGTGCGTGTTGGGTGTGCGTGTGCGCGGCAGGTCAGTGCGACTACCAAGGCGTTGGGCGTTGGTGTCTCAGGAGTACCAAAGATTGCAGCGGAGATGATGAGCTGAATGCAACCCTTGAAGGTGCCGCTCACGTTGTTTGTGAGCGGGCTGTGATGGTGGCAAAAAAAAGCTGTCAGGCTTTGCAAGGCGCGTAATTGCCCAAACCCAAGCTTGCTGGAAGGGGTGGGTACCTGGTGTGCTTGATCTGAAGGAACACGGCAATGTTAATCAAGAAGCCCAGCAGCCCGGACAGCAACAACGTGGCGAGCGTGGCGCCGTCCATCTGGGCCAGGGCTCCAGGCAGCTCCGCAGCTTCCCCTGCGTACAGAGAGAAAGTGTGAACCCTTCAGCCGAGAGGTTTGAGAATTATGACTGGCGCCAAGTACCGGAGAGCACGATCAAGGGCAGCATGCCCACGATCGACACCTCTGAGTTGTACGCCATCAACCGCCTGATGGTACAATGACAGTTGGATAAGAAACACATTCAAGAAGGCAAAAGTGGGCACATTTTACCATGAGTCGTTATCGACCACGGGTGAGGCACGCTTGACAAAGATGCCGTAGAGGGCTACGAAGATGCTGGAGACGAGGCCGTAGGCCAGACCCAGGCAGGAGAACTGGGCCTCGCCCAGGCTGCCCAGGGCAAAGCCGGCCATTACCACGACGCACGCCAGGCAGGCCTGCAGGCCACACCAAACGATCAAATGGTCATCAACGCGCCACCTCATCAGCGGTCGGTGCAACGGCAAAAGGCTACCATGACTGATGTCCCGGTTCGCAGGAAGATGGAAGTGAAGGCGATGGAGAAGAGTATAGTGAGAGATCGAGCAATCTGAGAAGAAAAAAGTATCAGAACCTAACGGAGCGGCGGTGGTAGGTTCGAGGGGAGGGAGTACTTGGTAGAAGGAGACTTGGACATAGTGCAGGCACAGGTTGTTGGTGGCCATCATGAGGATATAGATGACGGCAAGCGGCAGGATCTGTCGTGCCTTGTCCAGGTCGAACTCCAGGCTAATGGACGGGAGCGCACTTGTCAGAGCCGGCCGCCTGCAGCCACCATTCGAGAAATCAGTGTGGTCAGCAACAGGGTTGAACTGGAAGAGGGAAATGGTGCGACGTGCCATCGCTTCAGCAGCGAGAGGAGCCAGATGCACACCACGGCGACGACGAGCTGGGTCCACGAGACGAAGAGCGGATAGGGCAGACTTCGAGAGTTGAGGACCATCTTGTTGAGCAGCACCAGCGAGATCGACACCACGTAGTAGAACAGCACCACCAACACAATTGTTCGCCTGCAACACCACAAGTGTTATGCGCAACATTAGTGTTTTAAAAAAGTCTTACAATTTTCTATCCACATTTTGTAGAGGCGCTCACCGCGGACGAGTCCCGGCGGCGGCCTTGGCCCGGCCATCCCAGTCGAGCGAGGTGATGATGGGCCGCGGCACCACCTTCCCCTGCATTGCAGAGAGACCAACAAGAAAAGAAATCAAATGCTGAGAAAAAACAAAGAAATGCGAATGCCGATTCGAATGTTCAAGCCTGGCCCTAAAAAGGCAAAGGTATTGAACGGGCGAGGCTAGCTCGGTCTCTCTTGTTCTTCTTCTTCACTTCTTCGTCCTACCCACTCACTAGCCCACCACAAGTCCCAACATGAACATCTTCGCCTCCCTCTTCGTCTCCGTGGCCGTCATCCTGGCCCTTACTCTGTCGTCGTCTACCCTGGTGGCCGCCCAGGACCCCGAGGTGTGCACCATCTGCGAGTTCGCCGTTCAGTACGTCGATGGCTTCCTCCAGCAGAACTACACCCAGGAGCAGATCATCAGCGCGCTCGAGGCCGTGTGCGCCGCGCTCGGTCCCGTGGGCCAGTCGTGCGATCAGTTCGTCGTCACCTACGTGCCCGCCATCATCAACTACCTCGCCAGCGGAGTCTCCCCCCAGGCCGCCTGCGCCCTGGTCGGTGCCTGCTCGTCTACCGTCGCCGTCGCCGACCAGGCCTTCAAGCCCATCAACACCCTCAAGATCAACTAGATCTCTCGTTGACATGTATTCGAGTAGTCGATTACTGAAGATGAAAACACTTTGCTCCTTTCAATCATTCCAACCCAAAGAATAAAACCACTTGGTATTGATGTGACAAATGCGTGTAGAATTTGATTTGCAAATCAAAATCTACGGGATCAAATTTGAAAAAATCTGCAAGCGAAGCCTTGCAGCTCAGGGTGATCACATCTAAGGCCGCCATATGGAGGAGGAGGTGGAGTCTTGGGAGGGCTCTGTGGCCGAGTTGAGGTCCTCGAAGGAGGTGCGGCGCTTGTCCATGGCCGTACGCAGTGCCGTCCGCATGGAATTCTCCTCACGCCCGGGCCGTGGCGACGCGTTACGCTTGGCCGCCGCCGCCGGTGCCGGCCGCTTGGTCACGCCCGCGTCGTTCGGCTTCTGGACGGGTGAGGGTGGTGGCGAGAGCGGCGGCATCGGCGGCGCGGGGAACGACAGCTTGGGTACCGCTTGCTGTCGTGTAATTCGAGTTCAGGTTCATGTCGCACACGCACACGCACACGCACCACCGCACACGCACACGCACACGCCGAGCATGGCGAACCTTTGCAGGCGGAGGCGACGGCGGATTGGCGCCGCTCTCGGCCGCCTCTTGGCGCAGTTCCTCCGCGAGCCCGGCCAGCTCCCGCTGCACCGTCTCCATCGCAGGCCTGGCGCCAACCCAGTCAATCTCAAATAATCAAATATTTTACAATAAATCAAATTAATGGAATGGAATGTGGGTGGCGCGGACCTGCTCGAGGGCTCGGTGCGCCAGCAGCGCTGCAGGAGTGCGCGGATGGTCGGGTGGAAGCCGTGGCAGTCTACCGCCAGGGTCTTGCCGGCCCGCAGCACGGCCACGACCTGGGCGTCGCTCATATTGGAGTAGGGCCGCAGGAGCTTGCCGGTGCCGATCTCCCACAGAAAGACGCCGAAGGACCACACGTCGGCCTTTGACGAGATCTCGAACGACGTGTAGTCCTCGGTCGACAGCAGCTCATCCGGCGACATCCACTGTTGTGGCACACGAGAGCCACCGCACACGCACATGCACACGCACCATCGCACACGCACACGCACCACCGCACACGCACACGCGAGGTGAGATGTGACATCGCGTGGAGGGCGTCGAGTTATGTGGTACGTACGCGAATGTTGCCGACGGTGTGGGTGTGCAGCGAGGCGCTGGTATCGGAGACCAGCCGGGAGAGGCCAAAGTCGGAGAGGAGACCCCGCATGTCCTTCGTGACCAACACATTCCGGGCTGTGTCGTGTCGTGTCATGTCGTTGGTCGTGTCGTGTCGTTGGTCGTGTCGTGTCGTTGGTCGTGTCGTGTCGTTGGTCGTGTCGTGTCGTTGGTCGTGTCGTGTCGTTGGTCGTGTCGTGTCGTGTCGTTGGTCGTGTCGTTGGTCGTGTCGTGTCGTGTCGTGTCGTGTCGTGTCGTGGTTAGAAGCGAGAACGGAGCCGCGGAGGGGGAGAGACAGAGGGGGGGAAGAGGTACCGGCCATGTCTCGATGTGCGATGCCGTTGCAGTGAAGAAAGGCCAACGCCTGCGCAGCGTCCGCCGCGATTCTCACCGCGGTGTGGAGAGGTAGCGAACCGAGCTTGCTCTGTAGAGAGCACACGCACACGCCACACCCCCAACGGTCAATTGAGTCGGGTCTAGTGGAGTGAGTGGTGAGTTGCCGTTACCAGGACGTCCCGCACGCTGCCGGTGGCAGCCTCCATAACGATCCATATTCCCTTCTTCCCCGCCGGTCGGCACGTCCCGTAGAGCGTCGCGCAGTTCGGGTGAATGCTCACCTGCCTGCCCTCCCACCCACATCAGCGTCTCGTGTGTCGTGTCGTGTGCGACGCGGTGGTGCGTGTGCGACGCGGTGGTTTGGGGGGGGGGAAGCGAGGCGTACCGCATGAGGTTGACCTCGTGCTGTATTTTGTACATGTTCTCGGCGGTGAGCACCTGCCGGCGGAACTTCTTGACGGCCACCTCGAGGCCGCGCCACCTGGCCAGGTACACTTTCCCGTAGGCACCGTCGCCCAGGCGAACCGAGTCCTTGAAGTCGATGTGCTTGGACTCGATGATGGGCGACCCGTTCCCGATGCCGCTCGCCGACGAGCCCACCGCACGAAGCCTTTCAACGGAATGCAAAGAATGCCAACGCGTCAATCATCACGGCACGACACGCAACACGCAACACGCAACGCACACACGACACGCAACGCGCGCACCACACACGCACACGCACACGCACACATTCGTACTTGGCAATTTCCTCCTTTTGGCGTTCAACTTCGCTGTGCAGGGCAGTGAGCTGATCGCGCATGTGGAGGGCCTCCTGCCGCCACTCGACGACGACGGCCTTGAGGTCGTCCATGTCCTTCTCCCACTGCAGGCGCTCCTCCTTCAGGTACATGTTCTCCATTTCGATCTCCGACCGCGTCTTCTTCTGGAAGTTGATCTCGATCTTGAGCCGCTTCATCTCCTCCACCATCTCGCGCCGTATCTTCTTCAGCTCGCGGCTCACCTGCTCCTGCACCCGGCTGGTGATCTCCTGCTTGATACTGTCATCTGACAGCTGCACCAACCATCAGCGAAGGCGTGTGCATGTGTCGTGCCGTGTGCGTGTGCGGTGTCGTGTTGCGCGTGTTGCGTGTCGTGCGGGGTGGGGGACGAGCCTTCTTTTCAGGACTCAAACAAGGAAGGTCGAGGGAGTAGAGGCGTGACGCATCGCCGGCGATCATGTACAGTCGCTGGGCGGGCTGGTGGATCCACCCGGCGTGCCAGGCGCTCACCGGCGGCGCGTGTCTCACCTCCAGGCCTCGCCACTCCATCGAGGCTGGCGTATATCGCCGACACACCACACAAAGCGGACCTCAATAAACAAGCACAGAACGATTGGATGATGTGCAGGCACATACGGAGAAGCAGGTGGAGGTCGTTGGTGAACACGTTGTTCGAAAATCCTCCGTATACCACCAATGCTCGTCCCGCTGTGTGGGCTCGCGCCGTGTGACCCCATCTGCACACGACACACGACACACGACACACGACACATCAGCCGACCGATGGTATGCCAGTGTGGAGGGTTGGGTGTTGCGGTACCGGGGGCTGGGCGTGGGGCCGGTGGTCTCCACTTCCTCCCATTCGTTCGACTGCAGGTCGAATCCGCAGATGGCGTTGGTCTCGTGCTTGAGGTGCTTGATGCCGCCGAAGACGAAGATCTTGTTGTCGGCGACGGCCAGCGAGAATCCCTCCGTCCCGATCAGCCCTTCGTTCTCCTTCCGCGACAGCCTGACCCACCGATACTCCTTCCACGCTGCGCGTTCCGCACACGCACCACCGCACGCACACACGCACCACCGCACACGCACGCACCACACGCGACAGCTAAGAATTGCAATCAGGTGAAAAGTGATGTGGCACACATACAGAGATCGAGGCAGTTGACTCGGCCGTCGTCGATGGCGAAGATGCGGCCGTCGTCGTGACAGAAGGTGGAGGCCCACATCTCCCCCTTGATCGACAGCGGCGCTCGCCATGCCTGCGTCTCTGCTCCGCGCGCGCCACACGAGTGGTGTTAGGTAGCTCAAGGTGGCAATGTAGACTCCAAGAGGAGCAGAAAGAATGTACGGAGGTCGAATATCTGGAAGCAGCCCTTCTTCCCGTTGTGGCGCAGCAGTATGTACAGACACTTCTCGAACAGAAACACGCCCTACTCGATCACAAATTGTGGCCACCATGTCAGTTCCAATATATCTTTCATTATATATATTAAATAAAATGATGTGGGTGTGTGCTCGTGCCTCTACGGACTGGTCGTCACCAAACTCGCACAGCTTGCCCCACGTCGCTTTGCCTGCGCGCGTTTGGGATGAGTCGGTGGCAGCGCAACCAAGATGCCGCAGTGCACACCGCACACACGCGCACGCACGGAATGCGCCGCGGGATGATTCCGACGTGGCGACGAAAAGGCGGAGGAAAGGGAAAGAGGGAGCAGAGCAGGGGCGGGGCACCAAAGTCGATGAAGTGGACGGCACGCTGGGTGTGGAGGTAGGCGATGTCACCGCTCACGGGCACGTGGCCCCGGTTGAGCAGCTCCTCCTTAGGGCCGTCGTCGACCGACGCAGCCCGCACCGTCCACCCCAACGACGACGAGGCCATTCTTTCTCTTCTGCGGCTCTACAAACACCCCAAGCTGCACAACAAAATAAATAAATAAATAATAAGAAATAAAATTCAAAGTGGTTTTGTGTTCACGCACCCTGCGCTGGGTGCACTCTTGGTTGAGGGCTGGGCTCGAAAGAAGAGAGGAATGCGGGGCTTGTTGAGGATATCCCTGTGGTGGCTCTGCGCGGGGTATCGAGGGCACCACACCCAATAAATTTCGCACGGCACGCGACCCCGCAGTCGCCCCGACTGCTGCCGGCACGCAAGCATGCGCCACCAACACACAAAGGACCTTGGTTTGGTGCGCGGCGGTTAGTTAGTAGGTCCGACCAACATGTCCGCGTGGTGCGCGTGTGCGGGCTTGCGCTCGTGTTCTTGGCTTGTGACTGTTAGAAGAAAGCGCGGGAAAGGACTGAAAAAACGCCGAAATGGCGAAGAACAGAAAGATGAGATCGCCATCAAAAATGCTGGGGCGATTGGGCTAAGATTTGCAGCTTCTACAACTTGCGAAGATGGAAGAACAGGCCTTATTCAGGCCACTGGCAGAGCCTCTTCGCCGCAAAAGATCAGCAGCTGCCATGTACATAGCACCCGAGTCTGGTGTGCCAACAGCCGAAGCTGAGGCCATGATGGACCGTAAGTTGCGAAGATGTGATGTTATCAGCCCTTTCTGCTCTACCTCTACATCGCGATCAAGCGAGAGCGCAAGCAGGAAGAGGAAAATCGGGGAAGATGAGCGAAATCGCGAGGGGAGGAGATCGGCTGTACTACACGATCATCTTCGATGTGGCGCCGGAGAAGAAGCTACGAAGATGGAAAAGCGATTGAGGCTGCAGGTGGGAGGCGAGTCGAGTGCCACAGCCGTGTCTTGTCGGCAAAAGAGAAGCAGAGACTCGAAAGGGGTGCAAGATGAAGATCAGGAAGAACGATCAAGGGAACCTAAACGACGACAATCCATGGCCCACGCTGAAGGGGATACAGCGAGCAGGAAGCGACGAACTCGAGAAGAGGACGAAGAGTTGGCACAGGCCACCTCGACGACGACCTCGACGCGAGCGGACCATGAAGGCCACCCGAGCGGCAGGAGGAAGCGAGTGCGCGAGAGTTCAGCCGAAGTCGATCCCCTCTTCAACACCTGGAACTACTGGAAGGTACGACCGCACACGCGCAACCGCACACGCGCGCAGAAGGTCGGCTGATTCGTGTATGGTGGTTGATGCGTCTGCCCTTCTGTGGCGCAGGTGCCACTGGAGACAGAACTCGAAGAGCTCGACGATGACAGTGACGAAGACGGCACCGGCATGCGCTTGACCTGACGCTCGTGTTGTGGGACATGTTGATCTATCCTCACACGACACACGCACGTGTGTTTAATGTGTACATACATCATTTTCTCACACACCTTCCTTATGAGCTTTGCGCGTGTGATCAGTAGCCCTGGTGGTAGCCGTAGCCGCTGGGCGGCTGCGCGTAGCCATACGACTGGCCGGGTGGCTGCTGCTGCTGCTGCTGCTGCTGGTACTGCATTGGTGGCGGCTGCTGCTGCTGCTGGTACTGAGGCGGCGGCTGCTGGTACTGTGGCTGCTGCTGGGGCGGCTGCGGATAGCCGTACGGTGGCGGCTGCTGCTGCTGGTACTGAGGCGGCGGCTGCTGGTACTGCGGCTGCTGCTGCTGATGGGTGGCGGTGACCAGCGAGGACAGAAGCGACGAGAGCGAGGCCAGAGCATCAGTCGGCGCCGCTGTGGCCAGGGCCGGCGGGAGCAGCTGCGGCGGCTGGTGGAGCTGCGGATGCTGTGGCTGCTGTGGCAGCTGACCGAGACCGGTGGCTGACGAGGGCGGAGAGGCAAGGTAGGCGCCGCCGGGAGCAGGCGCTGACGTGGCCGCCGGTGGGGCCGAGCCGGGGGCAGGAGCGTACCCCGGCGCAGAAGGCGGCGGAGGAAGCCCTGCGATTGCGGGCACTGTCGCGGGCGGGACCGCAGGTGCTGGTGCGCTCGTCGGGGCAGTGACAGGCGCGGCCGCCGCAACCACCGGGGTCACGGGAGGAGACAGTGGACCAGTGACGGCTGCCGGAGCAGACTGCGGTGGCGCCAAGGGGGCCGAGCTCGCGCTTGGTGGCGGCGAGAGGGGCTGCGTGGCCGCAGCTGCTGCCATGGCGGCTGGCGGCGCCTGGGCCTGCCGGGTGTGAGTCTCCGCGTGTGCAACAGCGTGTGTGTGTGTGTGTGTGTGTGTGTGTGTCGCCGGTAGGGGGGAAGGAGTGCGAAGTACCACGGGGGCTGGGGCAAGCTGGGCGGACGGCAGCTGCGGGCCTCCGCCGAGGGCGAGTATGAGCTCCAGCACTCGAGCCTGGCGTTGCATCTCGGCCGGGTCCGCCGTAGGGGAGAAGCCCGGCACGCTCGCCTTTGCGTGTTGTGTGTGTGTGTGTGTGTGTGGTGAGTGTCGTTCGTTGTTGGGGGTAAGATGGGTAGCGTACCTGTTGGAGGATGGTCTGCTGTTCGGTGATCTTCTTGTCGAACTCCTTGAGGACCATACCATCAAACCACTTGGTCTCTTCTGTCTGCGCGGCCTCCATGGCCTGTGTCCGGGTGTGCACCGGTTGGTGAGCGCGCGCGCAGCCCCTACAACCGCCGTTGTGCGTTGAGCGAGACAGGCGGTGGGTGCGTACGTGGAGCTCCTTCACAAACCGCTGGAGCGCCGCACTCTTCTGCTCGGGCGTCTGGGCCTCCGCAAAGTGTTGCCTATCGATTAAAGAAATGCAGTGAACCACAAGTAAACGGGGGGGTGGGGAATTAGGTTGCGGAATGCAGCGTACGTGTGCTGCTGCTTCAATTGGGACAGCGTCTGTTCGTGGGCTTGCTTCATTTCCCGCCTCCGATTTGCCAAGTCTTGCTCTTTGAGGATCTATCGACGCTCAACGTGAGTGCCAGTCGTGTGTCGTGTGCGTCTCGTGTGCGTGTGCGTGTCGTGTGTGACACGCACCTGAATCTTCTCCAGCGAGCGGACGATTTCAACAATCACGGGGTCGGTTATGGCCGTCACCAACTGCTCGATAAGGCTCAGGGGCAGCTCAGCACCTGCAATCACCACCACCACATCAGCGTCAAGTCGGCGCGCATAGCCTCGGGGCGACCCGAGTGCCTCTTCTCCTCCAGTTGCGGTGCGCTGGAGCTGGGGAGAAAAAAACTTGGGGTTGGTGGCGTACCGGTCGTTTCGTCGATCGTTGGGATCGCTTGCGGATCAGCACCGCCGGCGCCCGGCTCCCCGCTCGGCGCCTTGGCATAATTCGAATCCGAAACGCCGTTGGTCGCTGGAGTCCCTGATGGTGCGCCGACAGCCGCCGCGTTGCTGGCGACGGCAGGCGGTGGCAGCAGCGGTTGCGGCTCCAGTTGCTGGTGCTGGTGCGCCGATCCGGCGGCGGCGGCGGCAGTAGTGGCCTCCTCCCGCACGCTGCTCACCATCTGCATGAAGTCCGCTAGGTTGGGCATCGCGCTGAGCAGGTCCGAAATCGACGTGGGGGCATCTGTCGCGGGGTTCTGCGGCTGTTCCTCTTCCGCAGCGTCGTCCACTCGCTGTCGTTTGGGCGAGCTTCCTCCGCCTTCCGCCTCTTCGTCGCCTCTCGTCGCGTCACCATTGCCGTTACTCTGCAGCTGCGCTTCTTCTCCGCCGCCCGGCCCTTGCGTCTTTGGATCATCGCCGGTGGTGGTCTCCATCACACCGCCATTCGCAGCGAATTCGTCTCTGTCCCTTTTCTTTTCTCTTCGCTCTTGCTGTTCGTTTTGCTCGCTGTCGGCGTCATCGTCTCCTTCGTTGTTGTCGGCGGCAGCGAAGACGTCCTCCTCCTCCTCTTCCACGTCATTGTCATCTTCCCTACCCTCCTCCTCTTCCATGCCGTCGACCAGATCGGACGCTGTGGACTCCGAAGCCAAATCGGTGGCCTGGTCGTCGCCCTCGCCCTCGCCATCGCCAGCGTCCGTCGCCTGGTCTGGCTGGTCATCTGCATCTTCGGCCTCTCCATATTCGGTGTTCTCTGCATGCTGCGGCATTTGCAAAATTGTGCCCTGCGCACGACACACACACACACAACACAACACACACACAATACAGACAACACACAACACACAGGGCGAGTTGGTCAGGCACATCGGTGTCTTGAGGGCGAGCTGGATTGGAGGCGGGACCACACATACCGGGGGTGCGCTTTCCAGCGTCGTTTCCCTCAACTCCGCGAGCGTGAGTTCGGGCTTCCCGCCGAACTCCCGCTCGAACGCCAGGTACTCCTGCAGCATGGCCTCCTTCTCCTCGTCCTTTGTGTGTGTCGCACACGATGGTGAGGTGGTGAAGAATGCGTGGCGTGTGCGGTGCGTGCGGTGCGTGCGTGAGTGATGTGCGCATACCTTGACCTGCCACACAGCGCGCTGGTAGATCTTGGGCACGTTGGCGTGGCGCTTCCGTTGAATGGAGAAATATGCGTACTCGCGCCACAGACGCGGCTCAATCGCTACCTAGATATGGACCGTGCGCGTGTGTCGTGTGTCGTGTGTGTCGTGTGAAAACAAGCAACGCGGAGCCGGCAATAAATGGTGGCATGAGACCTGAGGATGGGAAACGATTGCGCGCTCGTAGACGGTGACTGCCTGGCGGTACTGTCGGATGTGGGTCTCGAACTTGGCGAAGAGCGACCATAATTCGAAGGCTCGCTGTGTGCGTTCGGATCCGAACAGTGAACGTGTCGTACCCCATCGCGTGATGCGTGAGAAGCAGACCCCCAACCGAGAACAGGAGCGTGATGTACCTCGAGAGCGGCATCGGAAGGGAAGAAGGAGGTGAGAGGAGGAATGGCCTGCTGGAGCGCATCGTTGAACACTGATCGAGACGTCTGCAAGTATGGAATAAGTGTTTCTTTGTCAATCGCGTCTAACAGTGACTCGTTAAACGAGTCCGCCACAGTGACACGAAGTAGGCGTACGTTAGCATCAGTGGGTGAGAGGATCATGTGCAGCAGCGCGACGTTGAAGATGTGCTCCGCAGGCAGCTCGCCCAGGGCCTCCTCTGCCTCGGTGTAGACCCTGATGAAGAGACGACACAAAACTGAGTCGCGCGTCGTCTCCTGGGTGTGAAGCGAAAGAACGGTGGTCGGTGGTACCTCAAGGCGGCCTGGGTAGCGTCGGTCTTGGGCCTCTGTGAGATGGAAGCTGCATCGTACATGAGCTCCTCCAGAAGTGCCAGCACGTGCCACGTGTGCGCCTCGGTACTGAATACGCCCGAAGTTAGTTACTGCTCGCGCATGTGCGCCGCGGCGCGGATACCAAGAAGCGTTGTGTGAATGTGCGTACCGGCAATGCAGCTGCTGTTCGAACTGCCGCCTAAACTTGTCGAGTGCTTCCACGGCGCGTCGTTGCACGGGCTCGGGAAGGCTCGAGCTGCTCGTCTGCACCAGGTAGCGCAGGTAGCCCTTGGTGGCCGCCAGCCCATGCTGCTCCATAGGAACACACACACACACACACACACAATGGCACAACAAATGCTTAGCTGTCAGCGGTGCCGTATGCTGGCTCGGCATGGAGGAGCGTTGACGTACATTGGACGTGGCGGTGCCGGGCGTGAACTTGTAGAAGTCGAGAAGCGCCCGAAGCAGCACGAAGGCCTCGGGGTCAAGGACCAGGGTTCGCTCGCCAGCTGCATCGGCGGCACACGACGGCGTGAGCTCCGGTTCAGAGTAGATAGTTGGCCGACAAGCCGCGAGGGTGGAGGTTCATGGATGTACCCGTGATGCTTTGGGGCGCGAAGCTGGAGTGCTGACGTAGAGCCTCGATCTCCGCTTGCCAAAGATCGTACAAGTCCTGCAAACCGGCCCAATCGGGGAAAACACACCATTGGCCCTGTTAAATGCTTCAAACTCAAAATAATAACAATAATAATAACGCATCATCAATAAATAAATAACTGCTGGAACATGGTCCTACCTGAAGCCAATCGCCTTCCGTTCGGGCGAGGATGGACTTGCGCGCAGTCTCGAAATCAGTCCTGCGCTGCAGTTCGACATCGTCTGCAGCCTGGGCTTCCTTGAGCGCGTTTGCGATAGCGTTGATTCGACCTGGTTGAACACATACAAGGTGTATCAATTAATATAGAAAGATGAATGCACACAAGACGCTCAGTAGTGATGACGGTGTCTGGTACCATTTGGATCGGAGGTGGCAAGCTTGGGGTGGCCAGCCAGAGGCAACAAAACGGGGGCCTTGTCCACCAGCGGTAGAGTGGATGCCGCATGGAGCTGCGAGATCACAAAAAGAACAGTGTCAGGCGGCAAGTGCGCCAAAATACTCGGACACAATCGCGGGGGGGGGTAGAACGTACCAGATCTTGAGCCAATGCCAAATCGGCTGGCTCATCCGAGCAGAGAAGCAGAGAAATAGCGTTGTACCTGTCATTGGCGGTGTGCGCACAATAAGAGAATGCATCACACGACACACGACACGACACGACACGACGCTGCACAAGGGTAGTGTGCTACCAGATGTGTGTGCTGCGAAAGTGATAGCCTACTTCAGACAAGATGTAGAGCGAGTGCCTGACAAGTACAAAGAGATGAGTGGGCAATCCACGGTACTATGCCTCGATGGCGTTCGAGGTCAGGTCTACTTACTTGATCTTGAACGGCAGAAGAGGAAGCGTCAAAGAGAACTGATTCGAGCAGTAGCGGCTCATCACGAACTGTGTGTGTGTGTGTGTGTGTTAGCGGCGGGCAAATTGCGAGCGCGGCAGGCCTGCCTACCTCCATGTGCAGGCTGGCTACGCTCAAGGGAAGAAGGATTGCTTGCTTGGGCACCTCATCGAGATGTGCAAGCACTTCGTTCCCTGCACGCGCGTGAGTCAGCAAACGATGCTAGCACACAAGGAGACAGAACAAGAGAGCCCACCGCTTACCGATAGAGGTGATCTGGCCCGTGGATTCATCCACGAATGGATCGATCCCAGCCACGTAGGTCAGCAAACTGCGAGCAAATGCAGAAAGATGTGTGAGAGCGATGCCGCTCGCCAAGCAGCGCTGCCAGAGGGTCAAAGCTGAAGCCTTACAGCCGCACTATGGAAGGGTAGAGACAAAACGGTCGCCTCGTGGCAAGCTGCAGCGAGTCGATCCGCTTGAGGGCACCTGCAACCGAGTCAGACTTAGACTTTCAAGTGTAGGATAAGGGCGCAGCGAAAGCCACCAAAGGCAGGGAGTGGGTGGTGTTCAAACAAACCTTGGTCACGCAAGTGGCACAGCGACTGCTTGAGCTGCCGGACGTTGTGTTTGTTGTAGAGACTGGGCAACGACGCGAGCCGGGTGGGGTCTGCACCGCCGGAAAGAACCAGCAGAGGTCAGCGTTTGGTCCCGGAAAGGCTGCACTCACGCCCTCGCAAGTTGCCTGGTGCTGCGACCCTTTGATTGGAATGTTTTTGATTCTGCCCAGCGATATGCTCCCCAATTTTGTGTCCCACATGAAAATTGCGCTTTAGTGCGCACCAAGAAGGAGGGCGAGATCAGACGGCGAGAGGAGATGAACGCCAGGCCCCAAGGCCACGGTGTTGTGGCTTTGCATCGCGATCTCCCCTCCAAGACACAATGTGATCTTCGTCGCAGGAGGAAGAAAAGAAAAAGAAAGAGAAAAAGGAATTCGCGCGCGAAAGAGCAGATTACAAAACCCAATTGGGTTAGTAGGCACAGATGGACAATCCGGTGGAGGACCCAGCGAGACAGCCGCTGCTTCTCAATCAAGAGGAGAGCATCGACTTTGGCGATGAGCCGGTACGCTTCATTCATTTGTGTTCTTTTTCCATAATCGCAACTTAATGAATTCCTCTTATACCAGATCCCAATGCTCTCGCAGCCGGCGGTGAAGGCCCACCGTCACTTTCACCCCGCCACACAGGTACGTTTGCTCACCAATTCTTTTTTTAAGATTATTTTGTCTAATCTCATCACCGGCGCAGCAATTCGAATCACTGGACTATGATCCATACGACTCGAGCGAGACCATGAAGCACGCCTCGGGCAAGTCCAGCATGGTGCATACACCCACCCCTTCTATTTGTCGTGGCTGTCAGCACCCCCGTCACCTTTACCTGGACAAACCACGAAGCCCTATTGGCCGATGCTGGCTGCCCACAAGGAAAATGAGAATGCTCATTTGCCGATCGCCGCCTTTTTCCTTCCACTTTCCTCTTCACTTACCTTCTTCTTCATCATCGTGCACAGGACAAGCTGATGGCTGTGCTCTGCCTTTTTGCCGTGGGCGTGGTGACCGCCCTCTGTGCCATATTTATGATGTTTGCCATCAAGAGGTGCGTCGACCTGACTGATTTGGACTTGATCGTTTGCCTGCTTGCTTCTGCAGTGAAGTACTGACACCACTTCCTTTTCTTTGTCTTCTTCAGCATACAAGGCCTCAAGTATGAGTGGCTCCAGCACAATATCCTCTTCTTCCTCCCCTTCTTTTGCCCTTGCTCTTGTTGTGATGCTTCTGCTGTGCTGTTTTTGTTTATTAATTCCCTTAACTCTGCCCCACTGATCGATGACGGCGAGTTCATCCGGCCTTTGTTTGCGTACTGGGGCGTGAACCTTGTCCTTGCCGGCTCCATTTTGTTGGCCGTTGTATTTATTGAGGTACCATCTTCAGACACGCACACGCACACGCACGTGCCGTTTCGGTTTGCTCAAACTTGCATGTGCTACGCGTGACTATGCAGCCGCGTATGGGAGGAGGTGGCACGCCAGAGGTTGTCGCCTACCTCAACTGCATCAACATGCCCAAGGTACCCTGAGAGCAGCCCAAATCGCGGCCAACTCGGCCTCTCTTCTCACCACAACTTCTCTTCAGGTGGTCCGACTCAAGACGCTGATCGGCAAAATCGTGGGCACCATTTTGAGCGTCTCTGCCAACATGGCCATGGGTCCCGAAGGTTCATGTCCTTCCTCTCTGCATTTTCCCTGTGCCTTTGTTTTTAATTATTATTTATTTATTTTAATTGATAAACACACGCGGCGGCTGCAACGGTTGGCTGATCCTATCCACACACGTGCGACCTACAGCGCCCATCATTCAGGTCGGTGCCATCATTGGTGCTGGCCTTCCGCAGGGAAAAGCGTCCTCGTTCAAGCTGGACACCGGCCTCTTTCGATCCTTCCGTACGTCGAGTTCTCGCATGATCATGCGAGAATCAATGGTAATAACGGTATTGACTTGCAGGAAATGATCACGACAAGCTCGAGTTCATCGCGTGCGGTATCGCTGCCGGTTTCTCAGCAGCTTTCGGAGCCCCGATTGCTGGCGTCCTCATTGTACGTCTCTTTTTTCTCGGCCACCACTTTTTTGTTATAATTCTTACACACGCACACGCACACACACACACGCGCGCGCCACCGCACACGCATTGGCGCACTTGCACAGGTGTTGGAAGAGGGTGCTTCGTTCTGGGACCAAAATCTCATCCTGAGGACCTTCGTGTGCGCCCTGGCGGCCAAGTTCACATTCGCCCTGTTCATTGCCGGCATGTTCACCGGCAACCTCGACGCCTGGGGTCTCTTTAATCTTCCCGTATGTGCACGTCGAGCTCTCCATTTTCCCTCCTCATACTCATTCTCACCAATCAATACCGTCATACAATGTGCAGGGCTTCCTGTTCTTCGGCACCATGAAGACCACCCTTCAGCGCATATCGATTGCCAACGTCCTCCTGTACATTCTGGTCGGCGTTCTCTGTACGCGATCTCACCGTTAGAATATTTCTTATTATGGATTATATTTATTATTATTATGCATTATTATGCCTTCTTATGCATTAGTGTTATTAATTCGTTATATTTCTAATGTATTGATTGCCTGTTATGCTTGCGAAATAGGCGGGTTGGTGGGAGCGGCGTTTAACTACTCGGCAATGAAGATCAACGAGTTCCGAACACACTACGTCAACAACCGGAAGTGGCTTCGCGTCGTTGAGGTTCGGCTCTCATTCTGCACCCGGCACTGATCAGCGGCTTCTCTCTAACGTTTCCTTCTTCCGCAGGGCCTTTTCATGATCTCTCTCACGTCGATCGTCTTCTTCTTGACCCCTCACTACATCAAGACCTGCCGGTACACTCATCGCCCCCCTTCTCCTCCCGTGCCGCACTTTCTCTGCTCACATGGCGCGACGCGCTCCGACCGTTAGTGTGATCCAACCGGGCGCGGAAGAGATCATCAACGCCGAGTTCAGACGATGGAACTGTCCTGAGGTACGTTTGTTTTTCAGGCCCCTTTCGTCAATTGTGGCTCACATGTGAGTGATGCGCGCAGGGTCACTACAGCGTGATGGCTACCCTCTTCCTCAACGGTCTTGATGACGGCGTCAAACATCTGGTACCAGATTACATTCCTAGCATTATCACTACTGCTTATTTATTATTTATTATTATTAATTGTTGTGCCTCTTATGCACGCTGCCAACACTTCTCGTTTCCACGGGTGGGCCGTGTCCGGTGCAGTGGTTCAACTACGACCACTTCCCTCTGTGGCATCTCCTGCTGTTCTGCGTCCTCTGGGGCATTTTGATGAACCTCTCCCTGGGCATCGCCCTCCCCGGCGGCCTGCTCATCCCGACGCTCCTCGTCGGTGCGTCTCTCTTTCCTCCCTCTCTCGCAACCACACCCGCTTGCCCGGCGCCTTCGCATTTCTCGAATTCTCACGGCCCTTGGGCACCACGCAGGCGGCGCGCTCGGTCGGTTCGTGGGCCAGATCGCCGAGCTCCTTCCTTGGGACTTTGACGCCCACCTGGTATTCAAAATATGCCCCATATTATGTCAGACTTTGGCCCTGGCGCGGCGCAGTACTCACGCGTGGGCAAAATGTGCGTGAAGGTGTCACTGGTGGGCTCAGCCGCTTTCCTGTCGGGCACGACACGGCTCACGGTCACGGTCGTCGCCATCATCATCGAGTCGACCAACGGTTCGATGTTCCCCATCTCCCCCTCTCCCACACACCGTGTTGCTCATCTCTGCCTTCTTGTTGCTTCTACGTCCGACAGAGTTTGTGCACATTCTGCCGCTTATCTTTGCCTGCCTCATCGCCAAGTGGGTCGGCGATCTGCTGACGGTGTCGCTGATCGAGGTACTCACTCGCGCGGCCATATGCTTCGAAACAAATGTTTCGTTGTCGCCATTGTAACCTGTCTGGTGTGCCACAGGTGATGATTGAGGTGAGGGGTGCGCCATTCCTGGAGTGGTCGCCTCCACACGAATACGACAAACTGCGGACGTGCGACATCATGCAGACCGAGGTCAAGTGCCTCTCCAAGAAGGAAACCATCCAGAACATCGAACAGGTAACCACACACACACACACACACACACACACACACACACACACACACACACACACATTCGTGGTATTGATCCAACACTTCGCGATGCAGTTGCTGGAGTCGTCGATCCACAACGCATTCCCTGTGGTGCGCGTCCGCAACGAGCTGGACAATCCGCCTCACTCCTTTGGTACATTGATTGATGCCACCAGCGCTCAGCCCGCGGGCTTTGGCCCTGGCCTATCACAATGACTCACTGCTTCGTTCCGCATGGCCAGGTACGCTGTGCGGCATCATCTCGCGCAGGGCCCTCGTCTCGCTGGTCAACAAGACAACCAAACCCACCGCAGCCGAGCTGGTACAGGCCTACCGCAACCCACTCGAACATTCACCCGCGACACAGCTGCAGTTAACCCAACGCCCGCGCACCACCGCACACGCGCACTCGGGCTTTGCCAACGCTCAGAAAGTGGGATCGGCCGACGCGCAACTGCCGCGAGTCGAGTGGAAGGTTGACCTCACGCCACGTACGCGTTCCGCCTTTCTTCTCTTCTCCCCCCCCCACGGCCCCGCTTGTGTCATGTACTCACTCCCCCTTCCCTCATCGTGGCACCCGCGGAGTGCAGACATCAATCGCTGGCCGTACACGTTGGGACCGACCGCGACACTGACCCGAGCCTTCCAGCTCTTCCGTCTCATGGGCCTGCGCCACTTGATCATCAGTACACGCCGCCGCCGCCGCCGAGCTCAAGCCCAATGCTTTGGATGAACCGGCACAGAGAGACTCACCACCGCACCTCTCTTCTATGCGCATACAGCCGACAAGAACAACCGGGTTGTGGGGATCATCACACGAAAGGACCTCGTGCATTGGGAAGTCGAGGACCATGACACCGAGGACGAGCACGGAGGGTCTGCCGCCGCCGGCGACGCCCAACTTGGTACTCACCAGCGTCGTCATCCTGTCCTGGTCCATGACACTCACGACTAACGGCCAACAATTTATTGTTATTTTATTGTTATTGTTATTGTTTATTATGCGTTTCTATTCTGAAGGCCTCAACGGAGACTACGCGGGCAGCCGGGAATCTTCCGCGACCGTCAGGTTCGACGTCGAAGAAGGGTCCAGAGCTTCCACTCTCAATTCCAGCCTCAATTCGAGTACGCTTCCCACATTACCACACCCCACCTGAAAAGGCTCTTGTTACCTTGATACTTGCTCATTTCAGCTTCTTTGCTTCACCATCACCATCACCATCACCATCACCATCACCATCACCATCACCATCACCATCACCATCACCATCACCATCACCATCACCATCACCATCACCATCACCATCACCATCACCATCACCATCACCATCACCATCACCATCACCATCACCATCACCATCACCATCACCATCACCATCACCACCACCATAAAGGCACGGACGGCACCCAGCCCGCTGGTGTTTCCACCCTGCTGCGACGTCGCCGCGGGCGGAGCTACTCGATCTTTGACGAGTCGTTCTACCCGCAGACGCCCTCTTCGCCCAACTCGGCAGCGGCCGCCGTGCCGCCGTCCCTGCCCACCTCCTACGCTCCGGTCCACTTCCTCGGCTCGCGCATCAACGAGCACTACTTCTCCGACGAAGACGAGGGTGAGAACGCAGAAGACAGCGACGACGATGAGGAGGAGGAGTCGAGCGACGATGAAGAGATCGACCGAACCATCCAAAAGCAGTACCTCAGAAACCGACCAGGCGCCGCCCACGACGACGACGATGATGATGCGCGTGTGTAAGTCAACATGTTGCCCCTTGTCCTACAAAAAGAAAAAGAGCAAAACGGGAAAGAAAATTGTTAATTAATTTAGTTTAGTTGTTGTCGTTGGCGAGCCAAGCTCGGGCTGCAGGATTGGAAGGAGGGAAGGAAGCCACCACATCCTTTTCATCTCTTTGCTTCGGGTTCGTACTTGCCGCGGTTTTGCTCGCATGGAGATGTTGAATTTTAAAACAAAGTTTTTCAGGATACGTGAATGACGGACAAGGCCGGCACGGGCTGGGAGAAGATGAGGGGCAGCGGTCGGATCCGCAAGGCCAAGACGCGCGACGGCTACGCCACCCTGTCCAAGGGCGACACCAAAGGCCTGCTCGCCAAATTCGAGAAATTCGCGTCTCTACAAGATGCAGTCGCCCCCTCGCCTTCTCCTTCGTCTCCATCTCCTTCCTCTGCCCTCATCGCGGCTGCGACCAAGAAGGAGGAATCATCGAATGGCGCCTCTACCGATGCCTCCCGATTGCTCGCATTGAGCACCCTGCTGGAGACCCAGCCCTCCAAGCGCGCGTCGCTGGTGGAGGTGGACCAGGCCCTGAGCGTCATCCTCTTTCATCTCCAAAACGTGGTCGTCGTGCCCGGCGCGGACAACGACACCGGCGACAACGAGTCAGGCGACATCCTCGTTCACGACGACGACGCCTGGAAGATCAAAAGGCAAGGCTCTCCTCCCCCTTTCGCTCTCGCCCAGTTGGTGAGCTAGCATGCTTCAAATTCCTCTTTCTTCTCCCGTCTATCACTGCGATCGGATTGGAATTTGTGGGATGCTCATGGCTGACGTGAGTGGAATGGCAACGGCGTCTTGTCGTGCAGTGTGGAGGGCGGACTGCAGGTTTACGAGTTCCTCGGCTTCAGGGAGGAGCCCGATCAGCCCAATCTGCTGCTGTGCCTTCGCGATCGGAACCGCCTGACTGCCGAGCTGCTCGCGCTCACTGTGACCAAGCTCCAGGAGCTGCAGCAGTACTTCTCCGAGACACTCGGTATCTTCTTCTTTGCGCGATCGTGATCGTGTCGTGCGACGTTGCGTGCCGTGCGTGCGGCGTGAAGCTCACACTTGGAATTCCCTGCATTCCTCGGCTCAGGCTGCCTGCCGTACTTGGACCTGCAGCTCGGCGGCAAGAGGGAAAAGGCGCCGGCTTCGAGCCCGTCGCTCAGATTCCCGGCGGCGGTGGCCGAAATGAAGGGACGACGGAGGACCATGGAGGATTACGTCATGGTCTGGTATGCGGTGGTCCCACACATTCCTGATCCCCCCCCTCAACCACGTCGCCTCACCACTCGATGTTATTATTATTTATTTATTTATTATTCTTTTGCGTGGGAACAGGGGTAACTTCAGAGGCCGAGGCGAGGAGGACTATTTCTCACTGTTTGACGGCCACGGCGGCAGCGACGCCTCTCTCTTTGCCTGCGAAAATCTCCACTTTCAGGTCAGCTCCGCCGTCTCAAGCTTCTTTTTCGCTTTCGCTTTTAGCGCGTCCTTCGCTCTTCAACGAGAGGTGGCTCAACGTTCGTTCTTCGTTCTTCGTTCTTGCAGATTTGGAAGCACATGAACCAGAAGAGGATCGCCGACAACGCCGACCCCGCCAACAACACCGAAGACATCAAACAAATCCTCACAGCCGCATTCCTGGGTTCGCGATCAATCTCTCTCCCCCTCTCCTGTTCGGCCCGCGTGCCGCGCACATTGCTAATGTGGTGTGGTGTGATGTGATATTTCACACAGAAACACACGATCTTATGAGACGCAACAAGGAGCTCAACGGCAAGAAGATCAAAGGCGGCACCACCGTGGTGACCGCACTCATCATCAATTCCCTCCTCTACGTCGCACACGTGGGCGACTCCCGAGCTGTGCTCTACGCCATCGAAGAACGCGAAGAGGTACCGCGTGTGCCGTGTGTCGTGTGCCGTGTGCCGTGTGCCGCGTGCGTGCGTGCGTGCTCTTGACTCACGATTGAACTTTGTGTCAGTCGTGGAAGCGAAGAACGGCGACCAACGAGGGCGTGGCGCGCGGCGCACTCATCGGGCGGCGGAATGCCGAGTCTTTAGCTCCGATCGGAACAGACAACAACAACGACGACGACGGCGACGAGGGCAAAGGGAGCGACGAGCGGGGCCTCGACGAGGGAGAGGAGGACTCCGGGGAGGAGAGCCGGGAGGTCACGCTTCAGCCGAAGACGCGGAAGGTGATCGCGGCGCGTACGATGGCGCTGACGACCGACCACAAGCCCAACGACGAGCGGGAGAAGAAGCGGATCGAGGAGCTGGGCGGGCTGGTCATCCACAGCAAGATGGACGGCGTGCCCCGGCTCAACGGCACGATCGCGGTGTCGCGAAGTCTGGGCGATCTCCACGACCCCAACGTGGACGGCTACATGAGCCAGGAGCCGGACATCAACGTCGTCGACCTCGCCGAGGTGGGCCAGAGCGTACGCATGCACCCGCCTCGCTCGTGTGTAGCTTCGCTGCACCAGTCCCTTCTCACGTGTGTGCCGTGTCGTGTCGTGTCTCGCACACAGAGCGAGGCGAAGGCGGTGAAGTCGCTGATCCTGGTGCTGGCCTGCGATGGGCTGTGGGACAAGCTGAGCAACGAGGAGGTGGGCGAGATCGTCAAAACCCAGGTGTGCGCCGAGGCCGACCTCTACCACACGGCGGAGACCCTGATGAAGACCTCCTACGACAAGGGCAGCACCGACAACATCTCCGTCATGGTCGTCGACCTCTCCTCCTCCCTCTCGCCCGCCCTCAACTAATTATGTCTTTTTGCTCATTATCTGCTGTTATTATTATGATTCTTATTAATTATTATCTTATTCTTTCTATTTCCAAGCTGACCGTCGCTTGTGGCAAGTGGTGCATTTTTTTTTTAGTGCTTTCTTTCACCGGCGGCAAAGCGAACCGAGAGCGCTTTGTGCCCGCCGGCCAGCGTGGTTGTGGCTCCTGTTCACCAGGCCAGGTGGAAAGGCGCCAGCGATGAGGCCGAGCTGGTCGCGGCTACAATGACCTGCTTCTGGGGCACCTGCAGAGTTTGGGCGGGTGGTGTGAGCTGAGCCTGCACGTAGGGGAGAAGGTGGGGCCAAACGCACCGTTTGGACAGCAGGAGCAGCCACTACGGTCTGGGGCACCACGACGGTTCTGGTGAACGAACAACATTGTTAGGTGGCGTTGGGCAGTGCTCAGGGTGAGGATGATGGTGGCGCACCCGTCTCCTCTCTTGTCCAGGTCATCAGAAGCCAGAACGGTGGCGGTGAAGCACAGGCAGGCGAGCAGCAACAGGGCAGCGGAGAACTTCATGTTTGAAGAGAGTAGTGGTAGTGGTTGGCGATGAGTCACTTGGTAGGGGCGAAGAAGAAGGTGATTGTGATCATACGCTGTTGGCCCCTTTTTAAGGCAAGGAGGATGTAAAGGGGGATCGACTGGGTGGCGGGCGGTGGTGACCAGGCTAGCCAGGCTTGGGTGAACTCTGGTTGGTCTTTCGCCTGCGCCTTGTTCACCGACATTTGATCTTAAGCCCTGAGGATCAAACATTGAGCCAACCAATCCGCGTGCAGCAGCAGTTAAAAAGCAACGCTCTTTTCCGCTGACTTTTTCGTTTTATTTTGTGACAACATTAAATTTAGTTACAAAAATGAAAATCGTGGCGGCTACTCAAAGAGGCGGGTGGGGAGAGGTGAGAAGAGGGGCCTGCGCGAAGCGGCGGGCGAGTGGGGAGGCGACGGCGGCTCGTCCTGCAGCGAACTCGCCGACGAGTTGAGCGACGTGACCGACAGCGAAAGCGCGCTGCGCGGCCCGCGACTCCCGCCGACACCGCTCCCGCCTCCATCTTCGCCGTCGGTCGAAGAATGAAGCGAAGAGAAAGTGGAGAACGAAGGCAGAGGTGAGTAGGCCGCATTGTTGCGGCGGGCCGGAGGCGGCGATGAGTCCGACGATGTGTGCGATGATGAGCTCGAGTCGAGCCCGGCGTCCGACGATCGGAGCGACAGTGTGAGCGGCGACGGCTGATGCCAGGTGGGCGCCGCCGTGGCCGGCGCGTCGTCGACGACAGCCGGAGGAGGCGCGGGCGGCGACGCCGACGAGTGCGACGACAGCGAGCTGGACCGCGATCGGTTGCGGCTACTGGAGCTGAGCGAGGGGAACGAGGGCACGTAGACGGGCGAGCCTGACGACGACGACAGCGACGGCGAGCTGCCCCGGCTGCTGCCGCCAGCCAGGGTGGTTCGATTGTTGGCTGCCGCCGCCGCCGTGGTAGCCACCGAAGTCGAAGCCGCCGGCTCGTCGCTGGTCTGCTGCGGCTTCCGGGTCTTGCCGGCGCTGGCGTCGACTCGCGAGCGGCCCAGCTGCGACTTCTTGTCGACCGATGATGACGTGTCCGCAGCCGCCACCGACCGATTGATGGCGTTGATGGCCTCGCCGTGCGTCGTCGTAGTCGTCGTTGTCGACCCCCTAAGCGATGGCGACCCAGACAATGTCGACGACGAGTCAGCGCCGCCGCCGCCGCCGCCGCCGCCGCTGACGTCGAGAACGTGAGCCCGCGGGCTGTGAGGGACCGGGCTGGACTTGCGCCACTCCTGCTTGAGCCGCGAGGTGATCCACGCCGACTGGTTGGCCGTGTAGGCGTCCGACGACGAGGCCGACGCGGGCGAGGTGGTCGACGAGCCCTGCGAGCCCAGCGAAGCGAAGGGCGAAGACCCGAAGCCTGCGCCCGGCCTCTCGCTCGCCGTCGCCGCGAGCGGCTGGATCAGCGGTTCGATCCTGGTCGTCAGCGAACCTTCACCGTCGGTCTTCTGGCGCAGCCTGCGCAGCGAATCCACCAACTCCTCGGGCGAGGGCCTGTGTTCACACAATAGGTGAACGTCGTGTGTGTGCGGGTGTGTCGTGTGTCGTGTGTGTGTCGTGTGTGTGTGTGTGTCGTGTGTGTGTGTGTGTGTGTGTGTGTGTGTGTGTGGTGTGAACCTTTGTGAGGGGTCTCTTCGCCAGCAGCATTGGATGATGTTTTTGAGGGTCGCGTGGCTCTCGTCGGGCACGACCAGGCACTTGCCCTGGTTGCGGACGGCGGTGAGGACCTGCGCGTCGTTGGAGCCCTGCCACGGGCGCAGCAGCTGGCCCGTGCAGATCTCCCATAGGAAGACGCCGAATGCCCACACGTCGGCCTTCATCCACGCGGCACTCGTTGCCTTAAAACGTTTCCGTTTTTTTTTTTCGCGTCAGTCACAATCTTACATGTGTGCGCCGTGTGTCGTGCGTGTGTGTCGTGTCGTGTCGTTGGTCGTGTCGTGTCGTGTCGTGTCGTGTGCGGGGCGAGTTACCTCTGGCAGAGGGCTGACCACATTGACGGGCATCACCTCGGGTGCCATCCACTGCAACGCAACACCTTTGTTATTAAATTTTGCTGTTTTTTACCTCCGAGTGCTACGCAAGTGCACGATACCCGCGTGTGCGCGTTGACCCTGGTCAGGCCGAAGTCGGAGAGCATTCCCCGCATTCCGTGAGAGACCATCACGCTCGCAGCTGCGCAGCAGACCGGTCAGTCCAAGGGGTTTATCGGTGAGTGGTCGTCCGCTCGCGGCTTAAGGTGGCAGTACCGGCAATGTTCTTGTGCGGAATGTGGTGGGCGTGCAGGAACTGCAGGCCCTCGGCGGCGTCGATAGCGAAAGAGAGGAGCAGCGCCATGGGCAACCGGGTGTGTCGCACCAGCAGGTCGCGAACGCTTCCATAGTGCGCCAACTGTTTCAGTCATTCATTTTTTGTTGTGTTTAGTGCACACTGGCGAGTTGCATGCGCGTGTTGCGTGCGAGTCGGGCGTGTCGTGCGTGTCGTGCGTATGCGTGCAGCGCTGGTGGTGTACCTCCATGACGATACCGATGCCGCCCTCGGGCGGGTCACATGTGCCATAGACATAGGCCACGTGCGGGTGCAGCCCCGCCGCCTTGCTACAAGGCGGAAACAGACGAGTGGTGAGTAAGCCGCGTGTGCGATGGTGCGCGCGTGTGTGTCGTGTGTGTGCGTGTGTGGTACGTGTGTGTGTGCGCGCGCGCGTGTCGTGCGTGTCGTGTGTGTCGTGTGTGTCGTGTGTGTGCGTGTGTGGTACGTGTGTGTGTGTGCGCGCGCGCGTGTGTGCGTGTGTCGTGTCTCACCTGACGGTGTCAATCTCGGTTTGGATGGCCCGGAGGTCAGCCAGGCTGAGGGAGTCCTTCTTGACCCGCTTCACCGCGCATTCGATCCCGCGCCACCGCGTCTGGAACACCTTGGTGTGCCCGAACGCTCCTGTTTTGCCCGCAAACCCGCGTGAGTGCAGCCTGGGCGGAACCAATAATAATAAATAAATAACAAAATCAAATGATAAAAAAAAGAAAATGGCACTCGCACCATTGCCGATGAGCTTGGCGTTCTTCCAATCGATCTCCCGCTGGTCGAGCACGGTCTGGGTCGGCGAGATGCCCAGCAGGCTCATCACGCGCACCAAATCGATGTCACTTCTGAAGCGTTTGTGCGTTTTGTTTGGGTGTCAGGGCATGGAGGCACAGAAAAATACGACATGGCTGGTTCGTACCGAAGGCTGGCGGCCACGGGTTCGGGCGGCTGTGTGGCCACACTCGCTTCGCGCTGCGGGGTGCGAACCGCGTTGGCGGCCTTCTCAGTCCGCAACTGGGCGACTTCGCCCTTGAGTCGTGCGACTTCGTCCTTGAGCGCCTCGAGCAAGACTTTCATCTCCGTCATCTCTTCTTCGCTCTTTTCCTTCTCTTTCGCTTCGCTTTCGCTCTTTTCCTGCTTCTTCTGGCTGTCGCCGACGTTCGTCTGGAGAGACTCGATGGCCTCCATCAGCTGGCCTCGGGTCTCGTCGAACTCCTCGCGCAGCTCTCGTCGCACCTCCTCCAGCTCCTCGCTGAGCAGCTCGTCCACCTCCTTCAGTATCTCCTCGCGTTCGCCTCCCATCCTGGTGCCGACGCAGCTGCCGCCCGATCGCAGATGTTCGTCTTCGTCGTCGACGGTCGACGTGATGATCATCGACTGGGCGTCTTCGCGCTGGTGCTCCTTGCGGATGGCCTCCTCCTCGAGCTGCTTGTGGATCTTCTCGACGATCTCCTCCTCGGCGAGCACTCGCCCGCGATCGTGGGCCGCGATCTGCTTCTTCAGCTTCTTGATGTCCTTGGCGTGCTTCTTGTTGATGTCGTCGCGCATCTTCTGCATGTCGTCCTTCATCTTCTTGGCCTCCTTCTTCAGCCCCTTCTGCATCTGCTTGACCGTCTTCTGCAGGGCCTCGATGAGCTCCTCGTCGTCGCTTCCATCGTCCGTCTCGAGGTCGAGCGCGTAGAGCACGTCGTTGTGCGGGTGCGTCTTGATGGCGACCCTGTACAACGTGTCTTTTATAATCCGCGTGTCGGAGTTAAAATTCTCGCCACCGCACAGGCTCATAGGAGTCACGCTGTGTGTACCATCGCTGATCCAGGCGGCGCTGCTGCATTTGCCGTTGGGCGGCGGACACAGCGCGTCCACGGCCCGCCACCGCCTCCTCCCTGCGAATTGAAATTAAAGTCAACAATGCAGCAAAGCCCAGAGCCAAGGGGGGCTTGGGGGGGGGGAAGTGGATTGCACACGTACTGATATCGAACTGGTAGATGTCGTTGAGGTTGGCCATCGAGTTGATGCCTCCAAAGATGTAGAAGCTGCCGCCCACCAACGCCGCCGAATGACCCCATCTGCCCCCACGGCCAAGTCACCGCCGACCAGAAGTCAGTCCCACCCGACAGTGGCCGATGAACGGCCATCTGCACATGATTGAGTGCATTGCTGTGTGGCACGTACCGTGGCGGAGGCACGTCGCCCTTCACCGGCACCTTGGACCAGAGCTGCTTTTTCAGGTCAAAACTGCACACAAGAGAATAAAAATGAGAAAAATGTCAAAAAATAGAGATTCTCCATGAATAAAATAAATAAAATAAATTCAAATTTAAAGAGGAAATAAATAAATAAATAAAAATAACGGAAAAGAGAGAGAAGGTACCAGTAGAGATCGTTGGAACCCTCGGTCGCGCCCTTCTTTCCGCCGAAGAGATAGAGGCGCTGGCGGTAGGCGGTCAGCGAAAAGGAGCCCAGGTTCTTAAGGAGCTCGTTCTCCTCCTTCGTCAGCGTTTGCCACTTGTACGCATTCTTGGCCGCTGTTGGTTGTTCATCACGGCCACACACGCAAAAACAGACGGTCAGCTCAATCGGCGCGATTGCGCTAACATTATTGTGAATCGTGTGTGTGGGTGTGTGGGTGTGGGTGTGTGGGTGTGGGTGTGTGTGGGTGTGTGGAGGAGTTTTGTACCTAGATCGAGCACATTGACTGCCCCGTCCCACGAATCAACGCTGTACACCTGGGGGGGACCCAAGAAGGGATATCGTGAGCAGTGAACTGGGGCCATGTTGGTCACCAAGGCATGCAGGATATACCTTGCTTCCGCATCGCGTAAGGCTGGTGCACCACATCTTCTTCTTGATGGTGATGGGACCGTCCCACTTTCCCGTGGCTTTGTGGGACCACCACGCACACACCCACAGTACCGCCCTGTGAGCACTCTCTCGGTACACCAGAGGGGGTGGGGGAACAATAGAGCGAGCGTACCGGGGTCGTAGATTTGCAAGGCCGTCTTGCCCTCTCGCTTTTCGATTAGCACGTGCAGCAGCTGGTCGTACATGAACAGCCCCTCGATGCTCTGGTAGGGCGCGTCGCTGATCGACTTGGGCAATGGCAAGCGTCGCCACTGGCTGTCGTCTGCCCTCACACAAAAAAAAGATCGCGCCAAACACAACGCGTCAGCCAAGGCTCGACGTCGGACTTTAAATTCGTCGTCTTCGCTCTTCTTCGCTCTTTACCGGGGGGGGGGTATACCGACAGAGAGTGCGAATATGGCTCGTTCCTGGTGAATGTACGCCGTCGAGGCGTCGGAAGAGAGGGCCACGTAGGGGCACAGTTCCTTCACGGGCCAATCGCCCATGAGCTTGGTGGACGTCCACATCCTGTGCGCCTCTATGGTCACGTCCCCACCGCGGCCAGGGTCGTCACGACTGTAGTGGTCAGCGTCGTCGCTCACGGTTGAAACACGACGGGCAGCAACGGTGACAGTTTCGCCAGATGCAGCCGCACGCCAGCAGCGCATTGGGTCTTGGGAGAGGCAGCAGGAGAGGGCAATGGCAAGAACAAAAGATAAAAAGGCGCAGAGCAGCCACCAACAGCAAACGGAGAAATAAAAATAGCAATAATGTTGCGGCACAACTCCTCGCGGCGAGAAACAGTGCTGGGGAGTGCCAGATTTCGTTGTTCGTATATTGATTACTCTAAATCTATATTACTAACTAATGTTCTTTTTAATAAAAATCAAGAGTGGAGACGTCAAAATAAAAAAAACCAAGTTTGCCAAAGCCTTGATTTGTCTCCCTGGAAGAACGAAGAACGAAACTCACCACCTTGAACGAAAACGAAAGCCTGACAGACAATTGTGACAGCCTCAGGCGTACCTGTGGGGTTTCGAGGCGTGGGGTCCACGTCCATCTTCGTGCGTGTTCTCTCGTGCGCGGCTTCTGTGTGCTCTCGCCGCCAAATGAAGATTTTAAAATGAACGTTTGGCAAGAGCTGGTGGGATTGGTGCAAACTAAGCCTGCGCGCCCAGCAACCGTGGTTGAACTCCGCGCCACCCCAACCATTGCGGCTGCAACAAGTGTCCCACCCCCTAACCCTTCAACGAGGTGGCCACACGCACGCCCCACAAAGCTGCATAGCTCGGCCTTGATGGACATTTCGCCGCTATGCCGCTTTCGCCGCGTGCCGGGGCACATAAAAAAGCCCCTGACCGCCCACAGCCAATACAACAAAACACTGTCAACACACACAACACCACAACAATATGGCCACAGCAGTAGGACAGAAGGCGGGTCATGTGGCGCTCGTGACGGGAGCCAACAAGGGCATCGGGTTTGCCATCGCTGCTCAACTCGCCCGCGCTCGCCCCGACTTCCACGTACCTAGGCCTCAATTCTCATTCAAGCCCCCTTGAATTGCAAGAGATTTGGTGGTGCTGAAATAAGTTGCGTGGTCTGCAGGTGTTGGTGGGCAGCAGAGATTTGGCGAGGGGTGAGGAGGCGGTGGCCCAACTCAAGGCCGACGGTGTGGCCAATGTGGGCGTGCTGCAGCTGGACCTCGACGACGAGTCCTCCATCACCACTGCCGCCGACACCGTCGCCAAGACCTATGGAGGTGAGAATTGATCACATCTTTATATTTGCTCTTTATTACAATTATTTGAAACACTACTCCATTGATTTATTTGCTGAGCGCAGGGCTGGACGTGTTGGTGAACAACGCTGGCATGGCCTACAAGGGCAACGCGTTCAATGAGGAGGTAGCGAGGACCACGCTGGCCACCAACTACTACGGCACCAAGAACGTGACCACCCACTTCCTGCCGCTCATCAGGGACCATGGTGCGAAACACACACGCAATGCCCCTTCATCATCACGGCCTACACGATCGCGCTGTCATTGCACTTCTCGCTTTCAATTCTCACTCTTTGCCTTCTTCTTCTTCATCATCACAGGGCGTGTCGTGAACGTGTCCTCGCGCGCCGGCTTGCTCTCCAAGCTCTCCTCCGACGCTCTGAAACAGGCCTTCACCCGCGAGGACCTCACGCTCGTACGTTCTTCTCCTTCTTCCTCTTCCTCCCTATGCTTTGAATGAGTGCGAGTGCGGCGTGATTCTCACACCGTGTTCGCTCTGGTGTCCTGTATAGGAGGGGCTCGACAAGCTGGCGGACAAGTTTGCGAGCGATGTGGCCAAGGACACGTTCACCGCAGAGGGCTGGCCGTCCAACACCTACGGCGTTTCCAAGATCGCCGTGAATGCCCTCACCCGCATCGTCGCCCGAGAGGAAGCCAAGAACACTTCCAGGTACACACGACACACGACACACGACACACGCGCAATTACTGACTTGATTCGTGTTACCAGGAAGGGCGTGCTGATCAACGCGTGCTGCCCGGGCTGGTGCCGCACGGACATGGCCGGACCCAAGGCGCCTCGATCGCCTGAGGAGGGAGCCGACGTGGCCGTCTACCTCGCCCTCCTGCCCCACGACTCGCACTTCAACGGCCTCTTCTTCGCTGAACGTCAGCAGATCGACTACTGAATGTGAAAAGAAAAGAAAAGAAAAATAAAAAATAACACACACCGATGTGTATGGCACACCTGACAGCTGCTCTTCTAGAAGCTGAGCTCCTTGCGCTCGCCAAAGAGGAGACCGTTGAAGGTGGCCTCGGCCGGCAGCAGCGACAGGTACACGGCCACGTCGGCTCCCTGTTCGGCTGTTGTTATTCAACACAATACGAACAACATAGATCGCGACGGCTGCGTGTCAGTACACAGAGAATGTGGGGGGGGGGAGAAGGAAGAGAGAGAGAGCGCACGTGAGCGAGGAGCCTTGGGACCGGCCAGGTCGGTGCGACAAAAGCCGGGGCAGCACGCATTCACCAACACACCCGACCTGCCGGCAGCGGAGAGCGCCGAGCGTGAACGAGCGAACAAGATTACACGCGGGGCGGAAGAGAGGAGTACCTATTCGGATTGTTGGCTTCCATGCGGGCCAGCACGCGAGTAAGCGCATTGGTGCCTGCAGGGGCTCTCGAGTCAGTGGTGTCTCATGACAGAGGCCGGGCATCGCACATAGACCGCGGCACGCACCAATCTTGGACACCCAATACGGGGCGGTGGGGTAGCCGGGGCCGGCGGGCCAGCCCTCCTCCTTGTATCGCCCCTGGGTCACATCGGCGACGAACTTTTCCATCAACGCATCGAGTTCCTCCTGTGGTACGTCGGTCGCGTGAGTGAGCCCGGTTCACAGATGTAGTGGTCATGAACTGGTGAAGCAAGGCCAGCGTACAAGGGTCAGGTCAGGCTTGGCGAAGGCCGCCTTCAAGGTGGGCACCGTAAGCTTGGAAAGCGAGGCCATTCTCGCGGTGACGTTCACAACTCGGCCTGCGGCACACGCGAGCCCTCAAGTGAGTTGCTGCACTGCTTGTGCGCGTGTGTGTGTGAAGGTACGCGAGCAGACAATATTATTGTACCATTGTCGCGCAGTAACGGCATGAATCGTGAGCATACGTGTCTTGTGCCGTGGTAGTTGGTATCTATCGTTGTTCTGTGCATCCCGAAGCACTATAAGCATCGCACGCACCACTGCACACGCACGCACACGCACACACACGCACACGCCGCACGTACACACACCAACGTACCTGGCATCGCTCTCGGTGAAGGTGTTGCCTTTGAGTGCGACGGCCGCGTTGTTGACCAGCACGTCCAGGCCCCCGAACTCGCTGTTGACCTCCACGGCCGCAGTGTGGAGAGACGACTCGTCGTCGAGGTCGACATGCAGCGTGCGCACATTGTGGACCCCGTCGGCCTTGAGCTTGGCCACCGCCTCTTCACCCCTCTCCCAGTCCCTCGACCCCAACAGCACCTGTCGCACCCACAAGGAAAAATAAGTATATAATACAATCATTGCGAAATCAGGCAGAGAAAAGAGTTGTTGTTGATTGAATGAAATGAAGGGGCGTCGGTACGTGGAGGTCAGGGCGAGCGCGGGCGAGTTGAGCAGCGATGGCAAACCCGATGCCCTTGTTGGCTCCCGTCACGAGCGCTGCTCCTGTTCTCTGTGCCGCTGCCATATCCGCTGGTAATCACAAATCGAACAGTTGTGCTCGCTGTCGCTGGAGTTGAATGGCGGTTCCTGCTGCACGGTGTGATATGTCAAATACAAGACCACAGCAGGAGGCTCGCTGTCCTTGTCGAGCGCACTGGCGGCCATGAGCACGCCATGACTGCTCTTGTGGTCATGGTTGGCGAACAGGTACGCAAGCAAGAAAAAATGATCATTTCCTTTTCATTTCCTCTGTGTGGAGTTTTGGCGGGAACGGATCATCTAATCCGAACGAATTGGATACGTTGCAGTGATCAACAATCGTGCCGGTCGATTGAGTGTTGAGGGTTGCTGCCGCAGAAGGAAAAACAAACGAAGGATGAAGAGAGGAAGAGGAGGAGGCAGAGGTGCAAAATCGGGAGCGGGAAGAGCGCCCCCGGCCAAGAAGAGGAAGGCAGGCGAAGCTGATGACTCCCAGCAGGATAATGAAGATGACATGGAAACGACCACTGGCCTCACCTTCGCCGGTATGCTCAATGCATCACGACGCTGCTTATTTGTCATCATTTATTTATTTATTGAAAAGAACTATTAATATTTTAATTTTTCAGACAAGGGAGAAGAGACCGGGTTCTGTGCGTTCTTCAACTCGCTCAACAAAAACAAGCCGAAGGACCTCATCCGTTTCTTTGAGCGAAAGGTACGAACTACCTGACGTACTGCCGAGCTTTGTCTTGTGTAGCTCTGGCGGCCTCGAGTGACAGTCCGTCACTGTGAACAGAACGGACCCAACTACTACCACACAGCCCACGGCGAGGACGCACTCCTCATCGCCAACGATTACTATCACACTACCGATGCCATCACGTACCTCGGTGAGTGCATCCGTGTGATGTCGTCCAGTGTTGCGTGTCGTGTCATGCACGTGTGTGTGTGTGTGTGTGTGTGTGCTGTTTTCATGGCATGTGCGTGTGCTTAAGGGTGGTTGGTCATGCAGGAGCGGAGGGGCCAGACGGTCGGGGCGGCATTCCTTCGCAGGCCATCTCGCCTTCGCTGTTCGTCGACATCGTCCGCGATTTGCTCGTGAACAAGCGCAACCGCATCGAGGTGTGGGCCGTCCCGACCGGCGGTCCCAAGAACACGCAGAACAATTGGCAGATCATCAAACGAGCCTCGCCCGGCAACATTCACGACTTCGAAGATCTCATGTTCCAGGACGACGTGGGAGCTGCTGGCGCCGACAACCCGATCACGCTCGCCCTGCAGTTTGGCTTCAAAGATGGTACAGGCCGCCACACCACCCAGCACCAGTGGGTCGCCGAGACTCATGCATTCCGCACCCACGTTTCCAGGTCAGCGGATGGTTGGTGCGGCATTCATCGATCTGAACACTCGCACGCTCAACGTGTGCGAGTTCATCGACGACGACCATCTATCCAATGTGTACGTTTCCCTGTACCACGCGCAGGATGCGCTTGAGCGTCTATGGACTGATGTGGGACGTCACATCTATGCACCATGCCACGACCGCAGTGAATCGCTGGTGGTGCAGGTGGGGGCAACCGAGTGTCTGCTCGCGCAGGAGGACGAGGCCGAGACTACCCGTATCCTGACTGTGCTTGAGGCGTGTAACGTGCTCGACACGCCCAAGAGGAAAGGTGGCGACCATGCCACTCACCAGTTTTCCGTCCGGCGAGGTGTGCCTTGCTCACAATTCTTCCCCCCCCCCGCAGGTGAGTTTGCGATCCATACGCTTGAGCAGGACCTGACTACCCTGCTCGCTCTGCCTCCGCTTCAACATAACTACGGTACGCGCGGACGCGACGCACAAATGTCAACACGCACCACCACACGCACTCACCCGGGGCGCACGTTTTTTGCCGCAGATGAAATGCAAAAGCAGTTTGCCATGGGCGCTGCGGCCTGCCTGATTCGTCACTTTGAGGTGCCTCGCGAAATCCCACGCATCTGGTCTCCACAACATGTGAAACTGACTTCGCCCTCTTACAGCTTCTCTCGGACAGCAACAACATCAACAAATGGCACCTCAAGTCCCACAACTTTGGCCAGGTTTTTCACATTCCTCCTTTATTTGAGTGCCCAACAACGAGTGCTGACTTTGTCTGCATTCAGTACATGCGACTTGACAGAACGGCGTTCGTGACTCTGCACCTGATTCCCGAAGGGAAAGAGAGTACGTACATGATTCTTTGCGAATGTGTCGGGACATGCCATTTGTTCGTTGAGGGCTAAACAACGAGTTTAATTTGCATCAGAGCGTTCAATGAGCCTCTTCTCCCTGCTCAATCACTGCCGCACGCCCATGGGTTCTCGTCGGCTCGTCCAGTGGATCAAACAGGTACCTGCCAGGTGGCTATCTATTATTATTATTATTATTATTATTATTATTATTATTTGCTGGGTTGTGTGCTAATGCTACATGCGCGACATAAATACCAGCCATTGAGCTCTCTCGAGCAAATTGTCGAGAGGCAGAACATTGTCGAGCTGTTCTTCGACGACCACGAGCTACGGGGCACCCTGCAGGAGAACCTCCTGAAGCGCGTGCCCGACGTCAACCGCTTGATGCGCAAGATCGTGAAGGGCAACGCCGGACTTCAAGTGCGCACAACGCACAAGCACACCATTGACGTGCCACACACACGACACACACGACACACACGACACACACGACACACACGACACACACGACACACACGACACACACGACACACACGACACACACGACACACACGACACACACGACACACACACGACGCTCAGCTTCTGATATGTTACCGTTCGGTATGGCTCTATGTACAGGATATCCTTAGGCTGTACCAATTCGTGGAGAAGCTGGTGGGCATCCACATGGCTCTCAGCTTCTACGCGGGCGAGCACAAGGACCTCATCACCGCCAAATACGAGGAACCGCTGGCCGTACGCGCTAACGCCACTATACATTGATTTATTCTCTCTAATTGCAACGGGCAACAACGTAACTGACTCATATGAGTGCGGGCTGGACAGGAATTGATCGAGAGCTTCAAGCAGTTCGAGGCCATGGTGGAAACGATGGTGGACCTCTCGCTGATCGATCAGCACGAGTACCGCATCCGCCCCGACTTTGACGACGACCTCAAGGAGTTCTACAAGGGCCTGCAAAAGTCGAAGCAGAAGATGGAGGACCTACGGAGCCGAGTGCGTTTCCAACCGCTTGTTGCTTGTTGAGACATGCCGCTTCTTGGAGGCCAACTGGCTTCACGTGAAGCACACCACTAAACACAAATGATGATGATCTGGCCAGATCGCTGATGACCTCAAGTTGGACTCGAAGGAGCTCAAGCTGGAGAGCTCGAAGCACGTGGGCTACTTCTTCCGACTCACGGCCAGGGTTCGTGTTTTGCGCGTGGTGGGCGAGCGCGCGCGCGTGTGTGGGTGTGTGTTCGTGCGCGTGGAACACTCGATCGAGCGGTATCACATTTGAGCTCATTTTTGACGGCGTGCCCCACAGAACGAAAAGCTGATCCGCAACCGCAAGGACTTCATCCGCGTCGAGGGACAGAAGAAGGACGGCGTCAAGTTCCGCAATTCTGATCTCCACAGGTGCGCACTCAAATTTATTCCATTTATTTGTTAACTTATGTTTATTCTAATGAGAATATTTTATCGCTGGGCTCTTTTTTTGCAGGTTGAACGAGGACTACAAGAAGTTCAACCGGTCCTACGAACAGAAGCAGGCACAAATCGTCGCCAGTGTTGTCACCACTACATGTACGTGACACCGTTCACACCGTGTGCCTGTGGCGCGTTGCGTTGCGTGTGCTGATATAATTCATGCGTGGCACCCACTCCACAGCCACGTACCAGCAGCCCATGGAGCGCGCTTCGGAGATCATCGCCGACCTTGACGCGTTCGTCAGGTGCGAGCGCCACATGCTCTCTGTGCGTGCAACATTCGTTTCTGTTGGCTCACATTACTCGAATTCCATTGTACTATCTCACCACAGCATGGCCCATGTGTCGGCCAACTGGCGTTACACGCGACCGCAGCTCACCGAGCCCGGCGTGGGCGACATCATCATCAAGGTACGGAGCTGCAATCTCCAGCCAGGATGAATGATCGACGTCGGTCGCGTCTCCTCACGCACACACTTGTTATTTCCGAACAGGGAAGCAGGCACCCGTGCCTGGAGACGATGGACCAGATCAACTTCATCGCCAATGATGTCAACCTCACACGAGGTACCTTCTTCGTACAACTTGATCTTGGAAGTGCGCTACTCACTTAGTGTCATTCCTTGGATTCTTGTTGAAAAAAGAAGAATCGCGGGTTCAGATCATCACCGGGCCGAACATGGGCGGCAAGTCGACGTACGAACTCCATCAGCCCCACAGCTCCACGACACACTCGACACTCTTTAGGTGGTGGTGCACGTAATAACCTGATGGGCCTGCCTGGCCTGACCACCCGGTGCGACACGATCGTATAATACAGGTACATACGACAGGTGGCAATGGTGGTGCTGATGGCCCAAATGGGCTGCTTCGTGCCGGCCGAGTCGGCCTCCATCTCGATCGTCGACGCCATTTTGGTGCGGGTCGGCGCCGGCGATTCGCAGCTGCGCGGCATCTCCACCTTCATGGCCGAGATGCTCGAAACGGCGGCCATCCTCCGGGTACGCTCGCCCCGCACCCGCACTCGCTCGCAAGCGCTCACACTTTTCGATGGGTTCGCCCGACTGCAGTCGGCCACCTCCAAGTCGCTGATCTGCATCGACGAGCTGGGGCGCGGAACGTCGACCTACGACGGATTCGGGCTCGCCTGGGCCATCTCGCGGTAAGCTTTATTTGAGTATTAATTTATTATTATTATTATTTGTTCTGTTATTATTATTCATTTTTATTTGTTTTATATCTACTCGCAAGCTAACCGCCACTGCCGACGTACGAACAGACACATCGCGAAAGAGATCAAGGCGTTCTGTCTGTTCGCCACCCACTTCCACGAGCTAACCTCGCTGGCCGACGAGATTCCGCACGTCGCCAACCTCCACGTCACGGCCCAAACCGGTGGTACGCCTACGCTCATGTCTTGGCCGCGCCCTCAGCTCTCCCTCAGCTGACAGCTGACCACCTCGAGTGCCCCATTCCCGTGTGTACACATAGACGAGGACAAGCTGGCGGACTTGACGTTCCTGTATCAAATCCGCCCCGGGGCGTGCGATCAGTCGTTCGGCATCCACGTCGCCAAGATGACCAACTTCCCCGAGGAGATCGTCAAGGTCCGCTGTTGCAACTCTCATCTCGTCTGGGTGGTGGTGCGTGGAGCGTGGTGCGTGGTAGTGACTCACGTGTTGATGGCACACCAGGTGGCGGAAGCGAAGGCGGCTGAGTTGGAGAGCTTCGACACGGTGCTGGTCAAGGAGCACCAACTGAGCCCCAGCAAGCGCTTGGCAAACAAGGGCAAGCAGAAGGCCGACGAAGCGAGCAGCCCCGCGGCGCAGGACCAAAGCAGCAGCGATGCCGACGAACTCGCCGGTGCGTGTGCGCTTCGGGCTGTGTCGAGTGGTCCAGTCCTTGTGGCACTGATATGTCAGTGTGTCTGTGTGTGTGCCGTGTTGTGTTGTGTTGTGTCTGTGTCCAGGTGTGGCGGAGCGACTCCTTCAGGACATGGAAGTGGCCGGCCTCGACCAGCTGCCGCGCGCCGAGGCGATGGAGAAGATCGCTGCCCTCGTTGCGCGTATCGACCAGGCGAAGGCGAACAACCCTCGCCTGGCCGCCCTTCTCGCCAACACCCATTGAGCTCTCCCAGTACAGCCAACCAATATTCTTCATTCCGTCTTCTCCGCACTCCATTACTACTACTGAGCGGTGAGGTTCTTGTAGAAGTCGAGGTGGTCGTGGACGAAGCCGGCCCAGTCCTTGATCTGCGGGTGGACGCGGCGCGACCAGGCCACGTCGCGCGCCGTCGGGTTGTCGGCGAACCACTTGAGGTTGAGGTAGAGCTCCTCTGCGCCCGGGAAGCTGCGCTGGAAGGCCTCGTGGTCGACCTCCTCCGCGCGCGTCGCCACGCCGGTCACCCGCTCGAACGTGGCCGCCATCTGGCGCGCGGTGAGGCTCTCGCTGGCAACCCGCATCTGCTTGCCCAGGTACAGGTCGGGGTAGTTGAGGGCCTCGACCACGAACGCGCCCGAGTCGGCCACGGAGAAGAGCGGCAGGCGGGCCTGGTCGGGGTCGATCGGCATGCTCAGCACGAAGGTGCCGTCGGCCTGGCGGCGCGGGGTCATGGTGGGGAAGCCGAGGTGGTTCTCGTAGTATGCAGGGAAGTGGATGGCCGTGTAGGGCACCCCGAGGTGCTGGATGTACGACTCCACCATGGCCTTCGACACGAAGTGCGGCACGTAGCTGAACTCGAGCGAGCTGCACAAGGACATCGAAACAGCAACAAGAGTTTAGCAAGTGCTGAGCAGAGGTGGACAAAAAGACGAGGCTTGTTTATACCTCCAGACGAGGTGCTTGACGTGGGTGGCCTTGGCGGCGTGAGCGATGTGGACGCCCTGGTGGAACTCCTTCATCAGGTCGGCCCCCTCCCAGTAGTTGGTCACGCCAAACACGCCGTAGGCGCCCTCGAAGGCGCGCTTGAGCGAGGCCTCGTCATCGAGCTGAGCCTCGACCAGCTCCACCCGGCTCTCGCCGCTGCCGCCCCGCAGCTGCTTGTCGAGGTCGAGCAGGTCCAGCGCGGCCTTCTTCCCGGCGTCCCTGGTCACGGCGCGGACGTGGTACCCGCCCTGGGTCAGTAGCGCTCTCACCACGCTGCCTCCCTGGTTGCCTGTCGCGCCCAGAACTGTGATGATCTTGTTGCTCATTGTTGATGTGTGTTGGGTCTAGATACGAGGTAAGTGGTGTGGTTGTTGGCTTTGATGTGCTGGGTGGTTTGTTTGCAGGAACAGATGAGCACAAGCTATTTATTGGTGTAGGCGCAGCGAGTGGGCATTTGCTTCCTTTTTTGGACGTAAATCACCGCTCGAATTCCACATTCTGTCGACAAAATCAAATCAGAATTTCCCGCCTTTTTGAAGATCGTGGACAGAGAATGGCACAGATGGAAGCGAGCCGGACGCACGAATTTGAATTGCAGCAGCCGCCTAGCGATGGCATCTCGCGAGTGCGATTCGTCCGTGATTCTCACCTCCTCCTGACGTCATCTTGGGACGGGGTACGCGATCTCCCAAAATTTATAAATTTTACCTCCCCCCTAATGCAGTGTTTGTGGTGCAGGGTGTGAGGCTTTACGATGCTGCACAGAACCAGTTGAAGGATCAGTACTCGCACAAGGTAGGAGGCTCCAGCCATTTCGTTTGCCATTTATTTACTGTATTTTTAATCTTACTATTTTCCCTCAAGGCTGCCGTGCTCGACGTGACGTCGGCTGGCCGATCACACGCCTTCTCCGCCGGCATGGACCGAAGGGTTGTCATGTACGTACCAGCCAACTTGTGTTGTTCTTTTGGCTTTGAGCAAGCACAGCAGCGAGGCCGTGTGTGTTACTCGTGCATCTCACATCGCTGTCTGTAGGCACGATTGGACAACGCAAACGGAGTCGATCTTTGGCACACACGAGAAAGCCGTTCGCTGCCTCGAGTACAGTGAGCCACAGGGTTCGTTTTTCCTCTCTTTTTTATTCATGGCCAGCGAGGTAGCTTCCCACCATCAGTTCCCTACTCACTCCCGCGTGTACTTATTTGTTCAGGTCTTCTATTTTCGGGAAGCTGGGACAGCACGGTTCAGGTGTGGGACGTGAGCGCGCGTCAGTGCGTCCAATCCATTGCCCTGCCCGACAAGGGTAAAGCCTGAACTTTTTTCCAAATGGCTTGCTTGCTTCGTCATTCAAAAGACTGACGCTCTGGATCTACCAGCCTATACGATGGACGTATCGGCCAGCAGGCTGATTGTGGGCTGTGCCGACCGCCAAATCTGGGTCTGGGACCTCAGAAACCTCAACGCCCCCTCCGAGAAGCGCCAGTCATCGCTCAAGTTCCAGACCAGATGCGTCAAGCTGTTCCCTGACGACACTGGTACTCAATCGCTCTGTAGTGCTCGCATGGGTCTGGGCTGCGTAGGCTGACTCATGATGTAAAAAAATGATTTCTGGCTATCTGGCAGGCTACGCTACGGCGTCGATTGAGGGCCGAGTGGCGATCGACTACTTCAGCGCCGAGCAGCAGGACCGCAAGTACGCCTTCAAGTGCCACCGAGCCACGATAGACGGCGTTCACACGGTGTGGCCGGTCAACTGCATCGCCTTCCACCCCATCGGCACCTTCGCCACGGGCGGCTGCGACGGCTACGTGAACGTGTGGGACGGCCAGAACAAGAAGCGACTCTGCCAATTCCACAAATATCCCACGAGGTACGCACACGCGCCACCGCACACGCAACCGTTGACGAGCTTCTATTGAACACGTCTGTTTCTCCCTTCTGCCTACAGTATCGCGTCGCTGGACTTTAGCAGCGACGGACAGTACCTCGCCATCGCGTCGTCCTACACGTTCGAAGAGGGAGAAAGAGAGTACGCTCACCTCCATACCGCACACGCACCGCACGACACGCACACGACACACCCGTTTTCCTTGTGTGGTACTCACGTTCGTTCCATTCTAGTCATCCGCTGGATCAGGTGTTCGTGCGGCAGGTCGCTGAAGCCGAGGTCAAGCCAAAGGCGAGGGGACAGTGAGACACCGGCCGCGCACGAAGCCTCCAGCCCAGCCCAGCCCAGCTCAACTCGTTCAAGAAACCACACAACCTCTTTGTTTGGAACGTACTTCCCCTGCGCACGCCCTTCTCTGCTACCTTCTTCTGTCGTCCTCGCTGTAGCTTCCGCTTCTGCTCCTGCTCCTGCTCCTGTCGCTCTCGTAGTCGTCGTCGTAGTCATCGTCATGGCGGCGATCATCGCCACCCTCTGACCCGGTCCCGCTCCACTCCTCGATGCCGTCGTTGATGTTGACGTTGATGATGTTGTCGTCGCCCGGCCTGTGGTACCGTATGCGGCGCTTCTTGACCACGCGCACGGCCCGCACCGCCAGCGGCAAGACGACCAGCAACAGGCCGAGCACGATGATGAAGAAGAAGGTCAGCGACGGAAAGAAGATGGCATAGAAGCGCGGGTTGCCGGCGCTGACGTTCTGGTCCGCCTGCGACGGCGAGGCCGAGGGCGGCGGCTGGCTGGAGGGCGAGGTGGTACGGCTCGGCCGCGGGGTGGTCGAGGCCGACGGGCTGACGCTGCGCGAGGGGGTGGTCGTGGGGGGGATGGTGGGCGAGTTGGTGGGCGAGTTGGAGCCCTCGCTGGCCACGGCCGATCGGGGCAGGGCCACAACCAAGAGGAGGGAGATGATGAGGTAGAAGATGGCGTTGGCCATGATCCGAAGAGATCCAGCTGAGAAAGAAGTAGAAGAAGAAGAAGAACAAGGCTTGAAGTGTGCTGGAGGAGACGTGGCTGGTGCGAAAGAAGCCCCCTAAATTGGAGTGGCGGTGGGCTCCAATCTCCTTTCTTCTCCTGACGATTGATGGCGGAGAGGGTGCCAGACAATAACCGACAACCTTTCAGCCGCATTTTCCTTTATAATTTCTTTTGTATATTTCGACTGAATCTTCTGGAAGCTTCCAGGTAAAAAGTTCGCCAAATAATCAACAACGGAACAAGAAAGAAAAACAACAAGCAACAAACAGAACACAGAGAACGGTCATGCAACGATCCGAACCCACAGAGCATCCTGCATCTCAGATTGTAAATCCTTCAGCCAGTACGTAACTCAGGCGGCTTCTGGAGTGAGGTCTACCTGGAATGGTACCCACCCACGTGTGGCACCATCTTCTCAATCCTTTCCCTTTTCAATCCTCTTCTTTTTATTGATCCATTCGCATTTGTTCATTCATTCGTTCATTCCTATGTAGGCACAACCACAACCCCCGCGCCCACAGCCCCAACCTTCAGCCTTGGGCCTGCTCCGACTCCCGCCCCTGCCACAACTCCCGCAGCCTCGACCTTCAGCTTCGGGCCTGCACCTACCCCCGCTCCTGCAGTAGCGACCACCAGCTTCAGCTTCGGGCCTGCACCGACTCCCGCTACTTCCGCGGCCTCGACCACCAGCTTCAGCTTCGGGCCTGCACCGACAGCCGCTCCTACTACCGCGACTCCTCCCCAGAGAGGATTCAGCTTCGGGCCTGCTCCGACTCCCGCGGCCTCGACCTTCAGCTTCGGGCCTGCACCCACCCCTGCTCCTGCACCGCACGGGTCAACGACGACCTGCTTCGTGCCGCACCGGTATAGAGACCCTGTCACCCACACCGACGACCAGATCCACTGCATCACGGCCCATCCCGACTACAGTATGGCGTCTCTCGAGGAGCTTCGCTGGCAAGCCTACGCGGTACATAGACCCATCAACCAGCCTTGGATGATAAGGATGATAAGAACTCACTGTCCATATGTTTCCTCAACATCAGATGCCTTGCTCGGGCTCTGCGTCGACCACTGAGCAGTTGGAGGAGCCAGTGGCGAGCTTGCAGAATGTACGTACAAGAGAGTTCTCCTTCATTCTTTGCTTTGTGAGCACAGCACAACCGAATCGATAGTTTTGAAAAGACTCAACACGGTCGTTTGTGCCGTGCCAGGCGATGAAAACCCTGCTGGCCGACCCCACGTTTGCCGACGTCACTTTCGAGGTCGACGGGGAAGAAGTCCGCGCGCACCGCAGCATTCTGTCCGCGCGCAGCCCCACCTTCAAAGCCATGTTCACCAGGTACTCGCCACTCGCAGAGCTTACCAGTCAGCGAGCACCTTTCTCCCCTAACTTTGTTTACTTTCTTTTTCTTCACCATCAGCGGCCTTTCGGAGAGCGCAGAGGGCGCGGTCATCAAATTGGACTGCAACAAGCGCATCTTCGAAGACGTGCTAAAGTACATCTACACGGAACAAGTAACACTTACCGGTACGACATCCCTATCGTCCGTCATCGCCATCGCTATGTCAACGTGGCTAACCAAGTGTGTTGTGTTGTGCGTTGCGTGTTGTGCGTTGCGTGTTGTGCGAAGATGTGGACACGGCTATCGAGATGCTGGGCAGGGCCGAGGAGTACTTCCTCCCCGGTCTGAAGAAGGAGTGCGAGAGCATCCTCCTCAAACAGTACCTCACCGAAGACACAGCTACGAGCCTCATGGTCGTGGCCGACATGTATCGGACTCCAGCGCTCAAGGTACAAACAAAACCTGCGACTCACTGTCTTGTGTGTCATGGCTCACCGCACACACGACACACACACCACGCACACACGCACACACCACACAACACCGACGCCCACCCAGAAAGCGTGTGTCGATTTCATTCTGCGCAACTCGCGGTCGGTTAACGTGGCCGAGCTGGATAAGGCCATGCTCGCCGAGCTCCTGGTGACTGCGTGCTCCATCACGGCCCCGGCCCCCACCGTCCCCCGCACGACCGGCCCCTTTGCTGCGTGGGGCACCACGACCTTGGCCACCACGCCCACTCCTCCCGGTACGCTCCTCCCTTACACATTGCACATAAGCCTTCTCCTGTTTCGCCACCTTTCGCCTCACGCTTTGCCCTCTTCCTTCAACCTTGTGACGTACAGCGTTCGGCTGAAGCCACCAACCGCACCGCGAAGACGAAGACGAAGACGAGCTTGGCAGGAGATGTAGGGAAACTAAGAGTAATAACAATACAGGTGTTGAGAACATTGCGTGAAACACCAGAGAAAGGGTGAGGATGCTGCCCAACCGCATGGTTGGTGCGTGCTGCCAAGGTGGTCGGGCAAAGGAAAAGTTGTGAGGCCAATAGTTGGGGAGATTGGCGGGCGAGATTATAGGGGAGCGGAACTAACAGGCCCCACACCGCGGTGGGCGCAGTGTCATCGGCTCTTTCGCTTTCGTCTTCGTTCTTTTGCCTTCTCTCCTTCCTGCCGCCGGCGCGAGTTCCCCGAGGGTCTGCTTGGTCCTTCTCTCCTTCATCTTCCTCCATCTCTCTGGCCAACCTCTCGTTCTCGTTCTTCCTCCCCGCATCATTTCCACACCATCATCTGCATCGATAATCTCTCGATCTCGATCTCGAGATCTTTACAGCCCGATCCTCGCGAAATATCTTCACTAGGACCTCGGCTCGCCCAACACTATCTTCAACTCTCATCGATCAGCAGCCCGGCCATTTCCCTCGCTTTCCCGCTCAGCGGTATTAGGGTCACCGTCGCGGGTTTTACTTCTCCATTCAATTTCGATTTGCAATCTCGCCCAACTTTCACCCCTTCGCCCTCTCTACCTCTGGTCTCTTCACCTCGTCGTCTCTTCACCTTCGCCCTCTGCTCCTCTCCATCTTCTTTACATTTTTATAGGATCTAAAATCGCGATTTTGGAAATCTAGCGATTTACAAGCATCCTCGACAGCGAGAGAGATGAAGAAGGTGATCTCGCTTCCATCGAGCCCTGCCGCCCTTCGCCGATTCTCTCCATCATCTTCACATTCGCCATCATCCTCTACACGCTCCTCCTCTACACACAACAACAAGACCACCTCGCCAGCGCTCAGGCGGCCATCGCCCAACAGTCACCACCACCACAAGCCCAACAACAAGAAGAGCGCCAACAAGAAGAAGCTCTCCCTCTCCATCAAGCTCGCCGCCAGCAGCGACAGCGAATGGGGCCGGACCGACGACGAAGGCGATGACGATGACTCCACCACCACCTGGGGCTCCAGCGACGAAGACGAGTGGGAGAGCAGCTTCGACCCGTTGTGGGTCGTCGACGCCGACGAACTCGAGCTCCACCGCCGCTGGACCGACCAGAACGGCATCACCACCGCTGGGTACCCCATCCTTCCCCTTTTGACCACACCTTGCCACCACCACACCACAAGGTCCCACCTACGCTTTTTCGCGGTTGCGTGTTTGTGTGCGTGTTTTTATTCGCTGCATTTTATGATTCTCAGCCAATGAAACCAATTTGGTCATTTCGCCGGTTCACATTTGTCGACACGCGAGATGTTCGAGTCTGACGCACATGTGTCGTGTGTTGTGCTCTGCAGGCAGCCGGCGGGCGTCATCAAGGGCAAACCGCTGCGGCGTTCGCCGTTGGCCACCAACTCGACGGTCTCCACCTCCCTCTCGCTGCCGGCCAGCGAACACCACCCCACAGCGCAGCACCTCGACGTCGGTGCCGGTGCCTGTGCTGACGTCAGCACTTCCCGGCCGCCGTCGCCCTCGACCACCGCGACCGCGACCGGTCATCAGATCTCCTACGCGCAGCTGCAGTCCGCCGCCAATGCAGCGTCTTCTGCGGCGGCGCGCCATTCGCCCTCCTCTTCACCGCGAAAGCCGGTCGACGTGCCGGCCGGTTCGCTTCTGCCGGCGCTCGACCTCGATCGTGTGGTGTCGTCGCCCGTCTCGCTGGGCTCGTCGATGTCGCGCCGAAACACGATCGCCACCCCGCGCGAGGCTCGAGGAGATGCGTCGTCGGCGGCCGCTGTGGTGAGCCAGTGGAAAGTAGGGAAGATCTCTCCGCGCGGCGACGACGACGTCAAGAGCGAAGCGACACCGGCTCAAAAGAACGAAAGCGAAGAGGCGACCGTTGCCAAATGGAGCCCACGGCGCTCGGAGCTACAGATCTCCTTCGAGCGGTTCGAGGCTCGACTCGCCCTCAAGAAGCAGCAATCCGCGGTGATCGGAGTTAAAACACCCGAATCCAACGAGCAGCCGCAGCCGCAACGCGACCAGGGCAAGACGGCCAACAGCAAGCGGAGCGGTTCGAAGCGGAAGATGAAGAAGAACGTGCGGAGCCTCAACAAGGAGGAGACCGACGCGAAGAGGAAGAAGAAGCGGAGCGAGGCGGAGACGCGCCGGACCTATCGACGCAGCCAGGGCTCGCCTCCGATGCTGCTCCGCTCCGCCGCCGCCGCGGTCGAGAGCGACAGTGACAGCAGCGAAGTAGCCGGTTACCTGGCCGAGTGCGGCGGCAGCGAGACGGAGAGTGAGGAGGAGAAGAGAGCTAAGGCCAGCAGTGCGCCGGTCTCGCCCCACTCCTCATCATCGTCGTCGATGTCGTCGTTGGCCGTCATCGCCAGCCTCGCGCTGCGCTCGGGCGGCGGCTTCCCACTTAACAGGTTCGGTCGAAGCCTCCCTTCATTTTGATTGCATTGCGGCTGACGGGGTTGTGCAACTATTGTGCAGGTCGCGATCTTCCGAAGTGCAGGCGAAGGCCAGGCGCACGATCTCGAAGGAGGACAAGAAGCGCGACGATGCCAATAACGTCGGCGCCGGGGCCATCTCTACCGACCACCTACCTGCCATCGCCACTGCCACTCCTTTGCCGCCGAACAACAACATCAACAGCAGCAGCGTCAACAAGGCCAGCAGCAACCACACGCACGACAGCTCGGCGACTGACAACGCCGAGCTGACGTGGAAGACGATCTGGCAGGATCCGCACGAGGGAGAGACCGAGGGGGCGGTCACGCTGACGTCATCATCATCGTCGTCGACACCACCGCTGACGTCGTCGCTGTCGGCCAACGAGGCCTCGACGCGGAAGGCGCTCAAGCGCGGGCTCGAGGGGCGGAGCGCGTCGCTCCCGCCCGTGCCCTCGCGGCCGCCGCTCGCGCCGCCCTCGTCGCCTTCGCTCCCGCCCCACATCGAGCCGCTGCCCTTCCCGCCCTTCGCCACCTCCCCGCCCGCCTCGCTCAACCCGCTCGCGTCGCCGCCCGCACCCGCCCCGTCGTCGTCGGTCGCGTCGCCGTCGCTGCGGCACCGGTGCCGAGCCGAGAGCAGCGGCGCGCCGCAGCAGCTGATGCTCGTCCCGCCTCCGCTGTTGCCCCATGTGTACCAGAAGCAGCAACAGCAGCAGCTCCTGCATCACCACCCGCACCGCAGCTTGGAGCGCGTGCGCACCGTGGTGCTGTCGCCGTCGCTCGCCACTAGGCAGCCGCTGCGGCTGCAGCAACAGCGTCAGGCCGGTCTGAGCGTGGTGTCTCTAGGCTGCTCGAGCAGGGCCGCGGCCGAGAGCGGCGAGATCAACACGAGCTCGTTCTTGCGGTCGCAGAGCGAGGAGATCAGCGCCCGCTCGTTCGACGACGACTTTGACAACGGCGACGATGACAGCGGTGGCGTCGACCAGGTCGATGATGGCCTCCACGAGCGCAGGCAGGTGACCAGTTGGCGTGGGCGGAGCGGCGGTGAGTGGCGCAACCGCAGCCGCGAGTCAGGGTTTCACCACCAGAGCGACGACCTCGCCACCCGACGGGCACGAATCGAGCGCGCTCGCTCCTTCGGCGGGGCAAAGGCCGACGCCGATCACTGCGACAGCGGCGACGACGACGACGACGACCTCCTCCTATTCGTCAGCGATGATGACGACGATAGCGTTTTCGTCGACGACGAGGTCGACGGCGGCGAAGAGGAGGAGCACTTGATCGAGGCCGAGCTGACCTCCTTCCTCAAGCGCACGCGCAGCGGGAGCCACAAGCCCCTGCGCGACTTCAGCGGGTCCCTCGAGGGACGACGCAGCCCGCTGACAGTGCGGCTGGTGCCACATCACCACCATCACCACCACCACCCCCACGCCTCGATGACGCCAACGACGCGGGACGCATGTGGCGACGAGCTGACCATCACCGACGGCGGGCTCGAGTCCGGCGAGTCGCACACGGCCGGCGGCGCGTCGAGGGACTCCGGCCACGAGCTTCCTTGCCGCAGTCCTTGGGGCATCACCATCGAGTGAGTGCGCAAACGCAACAACTCGCAACAACAATACAGCCACACAGTTTTGACAATCCAATCGCGTCGGTGTCGTGTCGTGTTCGTGTTGTTGGATGAGTAGGCGTGTGTACGACAGAATGCATGGTATGTTTTTGTCGACGCTGCCACCATTGGCGCGCTTTTTGTCTTTCTTGCCTTCTCTTTTTCGCTTTGGCTCATTCTCTCTCTACACATTCTACTTTCTGACTCGCCAGTAGAACGCGCCACCACAAAGCAAAGCCAGAGGACAAAACGCGAGGCAGGAGTCGGCTGGACCTGCCTCTCAAGATGGACGCGAGTAGCGGCACTACGACCACGTCAGGCCCCCAACTAGCCACTCCTTCTGGCTCTACGCCCAGTAGAAATGCAGTGGTACTCTCGACAGCTCCTCTACTCCATTTGTCAATCATTTTCACATCTTTTAGAGTCGAGAGCTACGTAAGCTCTATCTGTTGTGTGTTGTTTTTGTTTTTGATTTTAACGTTCTTTACGCCATGGCGTCGACCTCAGGGACCGAGTGTCAGCCCTTGGGCTGCTCAAGCCGAGCGAAGGATATGGGAAGTGAACCTTCCCGATCGCGAGACCTTGTTGGCGAGCTTCAACTCCCCTGGGGCACCGACGCCAGCACCCACATCATCAACACCAACGCCCCCCGCCTCTGCACCAACGCCCTCGACTGCACCACCAACCAACCACGCCGCCGCCGCCTCTGCAACGCCAGCCGGCTGCCAGCAGCCGTGGCAGAGGTACCAGCAACAGCCGTTCGCTCCTCCGCCACATCTGCAGCTGCCGCCGTCAAGACCATTCCCGCAGTTCCCGATGACTATGCCCTCAGGCGCAATCCTGCCATTCCCTCTGCCTATGCCCTCAAGACCGTGGTGGAGTCATGTACCGCCAGAGCATCTCTCCGCGTTGCTGCGTACGGTGGCGGGCTACCCGCCACTTCAAGCGTTCCCTCTTCCGCCGCATCCGCCGCCGCAGCCGCACCACCAACCAGTCCCTCAGGGGGCACCACTGTCGAGTGCTGCGCACCGTGATCAGGTTGACGAGCAGTCGTGGAAGCGAGAGCGGCAGAAGGAGCTCGGGGAGAAGCAGGCCGAGATCGACGAGCTGCTGGACCGGAGCTATCTCAACAACCCCAACCAACACTCGCCGACGAAGCGGGGCACACGCACGACTACGACCCCCGGCCAGAGAACCGCGGCTCAGCCGGCTGCGCGGGCGCCGTTGTCGACGTCGACGCCGGTTCAACAGCCACCGCGGCCGATTCCCCTAGGCGCGCGCGACGGCCAAGTGCGAACGAAGAGGCCATTGACATGGTCTGCGGTGTGTGAGCGTCTGCCTCGATTGAAAAAATGCCGTCAAAAGAAAGCCGGCGCCGCAGAGGTGACGATCCCGCCGCAGCCAACGCCGCCGCAGCGGGCCTGTGACGGAGGTGAAGCACCGCCGACGCCACTGCGGTTCATTCCGCCGCTGCCAGCCGGTACTCCGCCCACGACTCCTCTGCGCCCGCCTGCGCCCGTCAGATCGCCGCCGCCAGAGCTGCCTGCTCCAGCCCACGACAAGGGAGGCCTCCGTGGTACCCTCGCCTTCTAACCTCAGCTTGTTCCGCATCGTCTTCTCACTCGTGATGGGTCGGACTGGGGCTGCAGCTCAACGGCCAGCGAGTGCGCCCAAGACCAGCGACGGCGCTTGCGCCCTGTTTTCGCCGGAGCTGTTGGACTTGAATGCTCCCTGTGACGATTCGCCGGCCGAGGGGCTCCACTGCCACGAGTCTCTCGAGATCGAGGCCTTTGACTTCCGCGAGTCAGCGACCGACCCCAATGCGGCTCGGCGGCCCATCGACCCGGTGGCTCCCGCCACCGCCACAATCAGCGACCAGGCCGGCGAGGTGGAGCGCTACACCGACGCGATCGAGATCGACAGCTTCCTCTTCCTCGAGTCCTCCACGCGCGCCGACGTTGTCGCTGGCGGCTTGCCCTGGCCCTTTGACCGCTCGTCTGGCGATGGCGGGAGAGGTGAGAGGGCCGCGGCTGTGGAGTGGGGCGAGGAGGCCCAGCCCGTGCCTCTTTCTCTCCCACAGCCAGTGGCCAAGAAGGCCTCATCACCGATTCGGCCGGCGGCCAAGACAATCAAGAAGCGGAAGGCGAACGCACCGGCGGGACCTCCGTTGCGGTCGGGCAGCGACGGAGACCAAGAGCCCCAGAAGAAGCGGCGGACGAGATCACCTTTCAAGCCGGCCGTAGACACGACCGCCTGCACCGGCTCACCATCGACAGTGACGGCGACCGCGACAGCAACGACAACAGCGGCAGCGATGGCGACGCGTCGTGAGAGCCAGCAATCGCCTACCAAACCTCAACGCAGGCGAGTGGCGGCGGACCCAGCCACGTGCGACGAATACGACAAGCTGGTCGAGATCTACCGCGCCTTCGGGAGCAGGGCGCGCGACAAGCTGGCCTCGATCGATGACCAGCAGCGCACCTATCCCACCTACACCGGCTCCCTCTCCGTTACCGCTCGACAGATGCTCATCGACGCACTCGGCGAGCTCTCCTCTCTGCTACAGACCGCAGTCGGCGACACCCAGCCGGCGCCGGCCGTGGCCGCGGCCTCAGCGACTGAGCGGCGGATGTCGGTCGGCGGGATCCGCAGGCGCATCCGTGCGCTGAAGCCGGTGGTGGAGCGCCTCTGCGATGCCATGACGTGGAGGCCGCCCACAGCCGATACGAAGACCCCTACGGTGGTCGTGGCGACAGCGACGCCCACGACGACCGCCACGACCATGACACCGCCTGCATCGCCGCCGTCCTCGGACAGCGGTCTCTCTTCAGCGCGCACCTCCGCATCGACCTCGCCATCTTCGCCACCACCGTCTTTCAACGAAACAGTCGCCAGCGGCGTGCCGCCATCGCCGTCGCCGTCATCATCACGGTCGACCCAGCGCGTGGACACTCCCCAACTCGCGCGCGACTTGGGCGTTCTGCCTTCATTCATCTGCCGCCCGGTCCGGCTCATCTATGACGACGCCGACGACGGCGAAGAAGAAGGAAACGGCCCCTGCTAAATGAGGCGCTCACAACCGTTTTTGGTTGATGATGTTTCATTCGTCCACCTCCTGATCACCATCATCATCACCACTATCGCTTCCTTCCTTGTCTTCTTCTTCATCATCGTCATCATCGTCATCATCTTCGTCCATCATGACCTGATCCACCACCCAGTCCTCGAGCGTCTCCGCGTCGGCCTCGGGGTCCTCCGCCGCGTACTCGCGCCGCGCGCTCTCGCGTCTCTCCACATACCGGACCACCTGGGCCAGCAGGGCCTCCAGGTCGGCGCAGCGCTCGCCCTCCTCGTCGACGCTGTTGATGCACCACCTGACGGTGCCGAAGTCGGGCGAGGCCGGGTCGACGTTGATGAACATGTACTCGTACTCGGACTGGCCGGCCAGCGAGAGCCACGAGCGGTGAGCCACGCTCTGCTCAGGCCTGATACCGTACTTCTTCACCGCGCCATCGATCCTGGTGTGTGTGTCGTGTGTCGTGTGTCGTGTGACGTGTGTCGTGTGTCGTGTGTCGTGTGTCGTGTGTCGTGTGTGCGGTCGTGAGTGTGTGTAGTGTGTCTTGTGCGACTAGCAGTCCGTACCACTCCTCACCATTGCCCGCGAGCACTTCGTTGTCTACAGGGCGTGATTCGCCCTCTTCGATCAGGGGAAAGATGTAAAAGCCGCTGGTCCAGTCACCATGCACGCAGAACCCATTGCACGTGGCGTACAACTGGCGCAACGCGTCCGGCAGTCTCGCGCCCTCTCCCTTCTGTTGTTTTCGTATTCGTTTCGTTTTCGTTTTCGTTTTCGTTTCGTTTCGTTTTTGCTTTCGTCAGTGTTTAAACCTGTTTTTGTGTTTGCGTTTGCGTACCGATTTCTTGAGTTCCCTCTCGCACTCGTCGATCTGAGCCTCGGAGAGCGGCTTGTTGACCGCCTTGCACCCCTGGAGAATCCGTTCCAGCAGCTCTTGAACCCCTGGCGCCGCGCATCACATGAGAAACACCTCAAACGGTGGCCACCGTTCGGATTGTGTGAGCCTCGGCGTACTCTTGCTGTGTGCGGCGCCAGTCGGCGGCGTTGGTGCGACATGGCCAGTGTCGGAAGAGCTCTTCTTCGTCTTCGTCTTCTTGGCCTTGGCCTTGGTGAGCGCTGGCTGCGCGGAGGGCGTGGGGTCGGCGAGGTGGTCGAGGATGCGGTGGATGAGCTCCTTCTTCTTGCCCGACACCTTGAGCGAGTGGTCGCGCGCAAAGGCCTGCAGCTCGGACAGGTTGTACCACTGGAACACGTCGGCGTAGGTCACACCGTCGGCCAGCTCGGGCTTTCTACGGGACAGCTTCTGCGGCTTGGCCGCCGTGGTCTTGGCCTTCTTCTGCGTGGCCTCTGCCTTGGTGAGTTGGCTGACGGGCTGGTCGCCGACGATGGAGGCCGCGAGAACCCTGCGGCTCGAGGTCTCGCCCTGCGGCTTCTCATTCTTCATCGCGAAGCAGATGTCGTGCAGCTGCGCCTCCCTGTGCCACGCGCAACGCACACGCATGACCGCACACGCACACAAGCACGAGCGAGAACGCGCACACGCACAAGAATGATGGTGGTGATGAGTTCGGTGTGGTGCGTCGGGCATGATGTGGACGACAACGTACGGGAAGGACTCGAAGAAGGCCAACATGGCTTCATGTTGAAGCGCCTGCGCCACCGCCTTCACCTTCTTGGTCTGGCTGCTGCGCGCAGTGACAGACTCGTCATCGGCGACGAGGCGGGTGACGAGGTCGTCCACCAGTTCCACCGACGCTTCATTCCCCTGCTCGACACCATCACAGGTGTTAGTGGGTCGGGGGGGGGAGAAAAAGAACGAAAAGCGAAGACAGTAAAAGAGCGAAAGCGAAGGGTACGAGGAAGGCGACGAGCCCAGCTCCGCTGCTCTGTGTGCCGGAGAGGGAAGCGATGTGCTCGGTCAGGCGCTTGACCGCCACCGAGCGACTGGTGGCACTGTTGCCCATGGCGGCGTGATCAATGCCCAGTGCATCAACGGCCGCCAGCAGGTGCGCCGTCGGCGCGTGGTGGCAGAAGTCGCGCACGGCCAGCCGCTCAATCTCCGCCACGACAAGACTGCGCGCCTCGCGTGCGGTCAGCTTCTTCTTATTCTTCTTTGTGTTCGAGTTGGTGTTGATCTTCGTCTTGGTGGCGATTGTGGTGGTCTTGGCCAGGCGCGGTGGGCGGTTGGGCGCGGTGGAAGACGGTGGTGCCTCGTTCTCCTTGTTGCCGGCTGAGCTGGGCTGTACGCCAGAGCGTCGTCAGGTCGTGCACAACACAAAAGAACGAAAGCGGAGGGCAAAGAACGAAAGCGAAAACGAAAAGGACGAACCTGGGGGGAGTTGAGGTGCGGGTCTCGAGCACAGATGTCGCGCAGGGCCGACGGAGGGATGCGGCCCACGACCTCGTCGAGACTGCTTTGTCTTTGTTGGTGTGCCATGTTTTGGTTCTTCTCGTGCAGGGTCTGGTGGTAGTTTTGTAGTTATGTTGTCGCCCCGTGGGCCCTTTAGTGTTGTGTTTCGCGCCAAAACAGCATCGCCTGATTCGCTGCACCAGGATCCAGCGAGGTGCTGTTTCTGTTGGCGGGCTTACAATTTTAATAATAAAAACAAGGCTGCCTGCCGAGTGGCGGACTCTCAGCCTGAGATGCAGCTCTTGCCTGGCAGGGCGAGCCGTTCATCAGCGAGTCGGGCGGCCTCGAGCCTGTCGGCCCTGTCATCGAGCTCGCGCGCCGCCTCCGCCTCCGCCCTCGCGCCCACGAGACGGCGCTTGAGCCCCGCATGGCTCCGCAGGGCCGCCACGTAGGCGTCGTAGGCCGCCTCGAGGGGCTTGATGTCGAGCGAGGCCTGAAAGCGCTCGTAGGCGCTGTCGAACAGCGAGTCGCACCGCGGGCCGGCCTTAAGACGCGCGATCTCGGCCATGACCAGGCCGCAGTGCAGGTTGACGAAGGGGCACGACGGCACCGTGGTCTGGGCCTCGAACAGCACCTTCTTGGCGTGCGACAGCTGGCGCAGCACGGTCTGCCGGGCGATCGGGTCGCTGACGTCAGCGTCGGCCGCGGCTGCGGACACCTGCTTGGCCTCCTTAAGGCACTGCATGCCGGCCGCCAGGTTGGCAAAGAAGGCCTTCTTGACCCGCGGGTGCAGGGCCATGATGTCCGACTGCAGGAAAACGAACGTTTTCGCCCTGCGCGACCGCACACGGTGTGACACGACACGACACGACACGACACGACACGACACGACACGACACGACACGACACGACACGACACGACACGACACGACACGACACGACACGACACGACACGACACGACACGACACGACACGACACGACACGACACGACACGAGTTGGTGAGTCGACGTGGGGCCAGTCCTGTCATGAAGGCTGTAGGGTACCCGGCGACGGTGGAGCTGAGGCCCTTCCAGAGGCCCTTGATGGCCTTGCCGTCGACCTCGACGCCGATGATGCGGCTGAGGTAGAGGAAGAACATCTTCATCTCCATGTGCTGTCGCAGGTCGAACGTCGACTGCATCTCCTCGTCGGTCAGCAGAACCTGCACTTACGCTTCATCAGCCTGATCACCGCCCACACCGCACACACCGCACACGACACCGCACACGACATCACCGCAAACAGCGCGTACCCGGAATTGTTGTTTGAGTTCGCGCTTGACTTCGTGGGTCCAGTAGGTGTGCGCGGCGTCTTCGAAGCCCTGCGCGCCCAGCAGGAGGTTGAGGTTGGTGCAGATGATCTTCTTGTAGGGCTCGTCCGCTGGCGTGCCACCCTCCAATTGGCTCGTCATCGCTCTGCATGTGCGGTGTGTGCGATGTGTGCGGTGTGTACGTGTGCGTGTTAGTGATCACGTCGGTCGAGCGGGCGGCAAAGTGCGATGATGCCGACCTCATCTGCTCGCGGATGTTGTTCTTGGCGATGCGGGCCACGCAAATGGAGAGCAACAGCCGCCGCAGCTCCTCCTGCTCAACCAGCAACCGCACACGGCCCTAATGTCGTGTGTCGTGCGGCGTGTGTCATTAACACTCCCTTGGAACGCATAGGAATGTGGAGGAATGTACGAGATGACGAATGTTGCCGCCCGAGGCGTGGAGGTCGGACGTGATGCCCAGAATGAACTTGTCCAAGAGCTCCAGCGCGCCCTGGTAGGCCCTGTCCACGGTGGACTTGCCGCCCGACGGTGATGACGACGGCGTTGACGACGACGATGACGACGATCGGATGAAGTCGCAGTATTCGACCGCGAACTTGCTGCTGGTCGACAGGCGCCGGGCAAAGTCGGGGATGACGGTGTTGTGCAGATACCGCGTGGCCACCGTCACATCGCGGCACATCTCAGGCGCGCGAGGGTCAAATTGTCCCTATTACGCATGTCGTGTTGTGTGTGTCGTGTGTCGTGTGTCGTGTGTATCATGTGAGTTTTTCCACACACACACACACACACACACACACACACACACACACACACACACACACACACACACACACACATCACGCATTATAGGCATACCCATGCGGTGAATGCATCGGAGCAGAGGTAGATGTTGTGCTTTTGTTTGTAGGCGAACACGAGCTCCGGTCGCAGCAGTTTGTAGAACACCCCGCGCAGGTCCGACTTCCTTTCCTCGGGACTGTGCCGCGAGGGCGCAAAAATTGGTGAGTTGCGTGGGGGCGACCCCAACGCAGAGGCAGGCCAACGTACTCATCGGGAGGACTCTCCGGCGGCAGCAATCGAGCAAAATCTGCAGCGTGTCGTGTGTCATTAAATCGTTGTGTGCGTGCGCGTGCGCGTGCGCGTGTGCGTGTGCGTGTGCGTGTGCGTGTGCGTGTGCGTGTGCGTGTGCGTGTGCGTGTGCGTGTGCGTGTTGTACCAAGGACGTAGTATCGGCCGTCGGTGCCGTGGTGGGCCTCGATGTCGCCCGGTCCGTAGAGGATCTTGTCCTTGACCTTGTGTCCGCACAGGCCCAGCGACTGACACGCCTGCGCCATGGCATCGTTGAGCTCCGGAATGTCCGCGTGCACTGTTCGACCTCCGTCACTGCAGTGTGTGCGGTGTGTGCGGTGTGTGCGGTGTGCGTGAGTGAGGGCCGGGCGTTAAAAAAAATAGCATAGTAGGCGGGCTTGGTGCGAACCTCGATCCGTATTTGAGTGTCGTCGATGAGATGGGCAGCACAGCGACAGCGATGATCCGATAGCCGCAATGATCGATCACACACATGAGCGGAAAACTATGCGTGTGCGTGCGGTGGCGCGTGTGAGGTGGTTCGCGTTAAGCTGTCGCAGCTAAGATTGAACGGAGCAGGAATCATGCGTACTTGAGCTTGGGCGTGAAGGTGACGAACATCGCTTGGATTCCATTGAGCTCTCGCCCAGCTGCCTTTCCGGCTGTTCATAAGTTTATCACCAAAAAAATGGAAATGAATCAAATTGTGTCGTACGTTGTCAAACACAACACTTGCATGATCGTACCATTCTTGTGCGACGGAGCGTCCCAGCCGTACATCCACTTGTTCGCCCACCCACCCTTTGTATCAGCCACCCTGTTGGTCGGTGGTGGCGGTGGTGGTTCGTGTGCTTAGAATTTACTATTTTTATCCTTGACCGTGTGGCGATTGGATGGATTGCAGCGTACTTGAGCTGCGAGTCGAGGGCGAACTTGAAGAGGATTCCGTTCTTGATGTACTTTTCGCCGCCGGCCAATCTGTGTGATCACGTGGCGATGATTTGACCACGAATCGGGTGAGTACTGGAAGACTACAGACTACAGACTGGAGGCCATTGGTCGCGTACCCGCCGATGCCCACGGGCTTGATGGTCTTTAGCTTGGGCGGCAGGGTGATTTCGCTGATGATGAGTCGCGCGTAGGCGGTCGCTGCAGGGTCCCAGCGTCAGTCGTGGACCACGCGAGTCTGCCCTTATGGGGGAGTTCCGGGGGTACCTGCGCATATGAAGTCGTTCTGTAGGCAGTAGAGGCCGTCGGGCACAGTGTCGTCCTTCCCGAATCTGCCGATCGGCTCAGGCCTCAAGCACGGTTCGGAGGTAAAATTACATGCATAGGAGTTAAAAAAGTTACCTGGACAAGAGGTCTTGGAACCGATGGTTCCAGTCGATGCCCTTTCCCTTGTTCCGCTCCAGAATCTCGGTCGTGCCCTCCACTGCCCAGCAGCCAAGCACACGCCACCAAAGAATGCAGTCAGACACCCACTCACGCCCGCATCCACATGAGCGCCACTGGCACCTTTTTTCTTGGTAGCTTTGGAGTGGTCAGATTCATCGTCGGAGTCGACTTCCGAGTCTGACTGGTCGTCGTCGGTGGCGGTGGCGGTGGCGTCGGTCGCATCGTCGTCTTCATAGGCGACAGCTTCGTCATCCGACGCGCCGTCCATTGTGCTGTAGATGGAATTCGTTCTCTCTGCTTCCTTGTTCTCTTCTTCCCACTTGTCGCGCGACTCACCACTGTACACCGTCTCCGTCGTATCCTCCCCTGCAGAAACAGTGCATGCAGTGTCAACCAACCAAACTACCCGCAGAAGTTGAGGCGAGGAGTACCCGTGCCAGCGTAGCCACCGTCAACGTAGACGCTGTTCACCAAATCGCGCAGCTGAGGCTTTGCGGGCTTCGTTTTCTTCTTTTCTTTCTTTGGCTTCTTTTGTTGCGCCTGGGCGCCATCGACGGCTGAATAAATCGAGGCTTCAGGCTCCCCGTCGTTCACTCCGCTGTACCCGCCGTCGATTACCACGTCTTCTTCTTCCTGTTGTCACACCATGCGCGCGCGCGCGCGCACACACACACACACACACACCACCGCACACGCACAATTAGTGAGGTATGGACAATACCACAGCGCGCGTTACCGCACCGCAGCCTTCGTGTTGGTCTCATTGACCGGCTCGGCATTCACGCTGGCGGACGAAGACAAATCCACGTAAAGATAGAGCGCATCTCGCTCCGCCGCCTTTTGGTCCGAAGTGGCCTCTTCGCTTTCGTTTTTTGTCTCCTCTGTGTCGAGGGTGGTACGTGAGCCCAGCAGGATGTTGGGTCGTCGGCTCTTGGCCTCCAACTCCTCGTCGACGGTCCACTTTTGTACCGACGTCCACTGGGACCGGTTCAGATCGGTGGAATTGACTGGCATGGCCGGCATGAACAGGTTCAGCCCGCCCTCCTGTGTCCACACCACACATCAGAGGGTGCGTGTGTGCGTGTGCGTGTTACGCGTGCGATGGTCGTGATATCACGTGGGCGTACGGTCGATTCCGAGGGGCTGGGCGGGAACCGGGTGTGTTGCATGAAGTGCTCCGTGAACCGCCAGAAGAAGAATCCCTCCTGGAACGGCTTGTTCTTGTCCACCACGTGTTCAATGACCCTCGCCCTGAACCACCGCCACCACCCATGAGACTGTCAGCTTCACAAGGCGAAGCGGAATGTATGGCATTCCACTCAAGAGAAAGGGGAAGGCGGCGAGCACGAACCGATGGAGCTGCTCTCCGGTGCGGATGGCCTCCTCGCGGGTCACCTGACGACCCAACACGCGCTGACCGTAGGCCACCACCCACGCCACAAACTCGTCCACGTCTGACAGGATACCATCACACCCACAATGGCAAGGTCAGCGCTGCAAAGGAGAGTGCGTGGGTGGGTCTCCAAGGCCCTGTGGTGGGTGGGGCGCAGGTACGTACCAAAGCACTGTCGGTAGGTCTTGAGGCGGTACTTCCGGTTTCGCAGCGCGATCCCGCCAGCCATCGGGTCCAGCGCCATGTCTTAACCATTTTCATTTCAGTTATTATAGAATAATTAAATATATCATTATTTAGTATTTGGTATTTATTTATTTTTTAAGGAAAATGTCAACTACGATGAGGCCCATAGCCCAAGAGCAAATAGAAGAAGATAATTGAAATAAGGTACCTAGAGCGAGTTGAGAGAGGGCCGAGGCCGACAGCACCCGGCCTGCACCGCTGCCGGGCGTGGCAAGGGCAGCCGCACCCTCGGCATCGGTTGGGCAGACCGCAGGCGGCCGCCGACGAAAGAAGCCCCCCTTGCCGCCGCGAGTACAGGCTCGCGCCAACACCGGCGCTGTCTCCGCTCGCTTCATTTTTTGTAGTGGTGGGTGTCGCGCGCGGCCAGACCGTGCTTCTCTTCTAGGTTGAAAGTGTGTTGACCTGTTGTGCAAAGGGCAATCAGAGAGCGGCGGCGACAAAATAACCAACCAAACGCCGAGACCGTTGCACGTGATTCTGGAGCACACCATTGGTCTATTTTACGTTTCCGAAGCGTTACGAAATTTGTCAAAACGTTTCCAAAAACAGCAGAAAAGATGGCGGAAGCGGTGGATGAGAAGATGAAGAGCCATACCCCAGGCTCGCTGGAGGCGAGGTGCATGGAAGTGATTGCATGTGGCATGCACCGGGCGGGGGTGGTCCACGGCCTGCCCGCCCTGCCCGACGATCTGCGGCGCGCCCTCATCGATTTCCTACGCCGCAGCGACCGGCTCACCTCCAACTCGTTGGCCCACCTCCTCCACCCGGCCCACCAGCGCACCACCTGTACGCCGCCCAGGCTTCGTCTCTCTTGTCTTCATCTTTCATTTTCTTCGAACCGCCAACGATCAGGGGACGAGTTGGACCTGAGCGGGTGCACCAAGCTGTCGCCCAAGGGAATCAAGGGCCTGGGCGATCTGCCCAATCTCACGGCGCTCAACCTGTCGGCCACTTCCCTGCAGCCAGCAGCCATCAGTACGGCTATGTCGTGCGTGCCTGCGTGCGTGGTAGGCGTTGTGTGTGTGTGTGTGTGTGTGTGCGCGCGCGCGCGTGTGGTGCGTGTGGTGCGCGCGGCTAACCGCTCTTGTGCTATAGAGGAAGTGGCCGCCCTGGTGGGGTTGAGACGTCTGTGCCTGGACAACTCGTGGTGGGTACGCTCCCAACACCCACCGCAACTCTACACTCATCACACACACACACCAGCTCATCGAAAGTGATGGCAGGTGGAAGACACGTGCCTCGAGCAGGTGGCGACGCTGCGCTCGCTCGAGTCGCTCTCGCTGGTGGCGTGTCCCTGCACGCCACACGGCCTCAAGTCCCTCTCGCGATTGACTACCCTGCGGAGCCTAAACCTGAGTCAGGCGGGAAAAGCCGCCGCGAGCGGGCCTCAGGCCGTGATCCGACGGTCAATGCAGCCGCCCGGCCTCCGCTTTCGCGATCCGTCGCTTCGTTTTCTCACCCGGCTCACCAGGCTCGAACATCTCAACGTCGCCGGCATGGGCACGGACGGTACACGGCACACACGGCACACGGCACACACGGCACACGGCACACGGCACACGGCACACGGCACACGGCACACGGCACACGGCACACGGCACACGGCACAGTAACTAATCTCTGTTCGCGATTGGGCCAGGCTCATTTCTTATTAACTTGAACCCTGCCACGCTACGAGAACTGACGTTTGGCCTGCCAAGCAATGGTACACAACCTTTTTCCTTACGAGCGTGTGCGGTGTGTGCGGTGTGTGCGGTGTGTGCGGTGTGTGCGGTGTGTGCGTTCCGGGCGTGTGGTCCTGACCACGTGGAAATGCAGGATACACAGCACGTCTGCCCGAGGCGCGGTTGAGCAAGCTGACCAGTCTCACGCATCTCTCTATCCGGCCGTGCTCCGACACGGTGTTCGGCCCATCGCGCCTGCGCACCTTGTCGCGCCTGGTCGACCTCCGTCTGCCCATGGTCGTCTTCGCCGCGCCGGTCTTTGCCGAACTGCTCGAGGAGCTGCCCCTCCTCCGCCGCCTGTCCGTCTCCGTCTCGGTGCTGCTCCTGCGCCGCGTCGAGAGCGACGAGCCGGCGATCGAGTGCTACCCCGACACGACGGCCTTTCCGCCCGACCTGGCCTGGCTCACCTTCAACTCGGGCACCAACGTGCCGCCACCCGCAGCGGCTCGTCAGTCCACCACTACTACGACGACGACGAGGCGACAAGCCACCACCACACCGGCGCCGACGGCGGCCTTGGCTTTCCAGAGCGACCCACTCACGGCGAGCACCCTGGAGCGGCTGGCCGAGCTCCTGTTGGCCTCTTCGTCCCGCCTCGCTGTGCTCAAATTCAAAGGCGACTATCCACCAGGTACATACTACAACACACACACACCACACACGACACCACCGCATCATCGCAGAGGCGCTCACATTGCGTGCTCGATCTCAGATATGCCGTCGATGCTGAAGGCAAGCCCGCTGATGCAGTTGCGAAGCCTCCACACCCTGCAACACGGGTATCAGGCCAACCTGCTCCTCTGAACTCCTAAATTCCAAAAGCATGGTTGGGGTTGAGCACACCATCGCCCCGAGCGGGCAAAAGGTGATGGAGCTATCCGCGAGTGTCCCCGTACAGCTGCGAGCCGTGACGAGTGGTCCCAGTCAACCTGGACCGCTTCATCGATTCATTCGCAGTTTGTGTCTCACAGCGGCGGGAGGTCCACATCTAACCTGTGGTCCTCCTTCCAATGTCTCGAGCATCACATGTGCATGAGAGCACCCTGCAGCTGGGGTTGGCAGTGGACACATTGGCCCGGACGCACGATTATGGGACTGGATTAGAATTAACACCAAAACAGTCACACACCATATCTGGGAAATCAAAATAATAACTATGTACACCACAGCTCTGGAAGAGTGATGAAGCTGTGCAAGATCAATATTTGGTGTGGAGTGTCGCAAGAGTGGTGAAAGCAAGACCAACAATCTCTTTGGCATTTCAAAAAACAAAAAAAAAAAAACGAAGGGTTTGCTCTTCTTTACATGGCAAGGCCGCGCACGCCGCGCAGGCCCATCTTGCCGATGCACTGGGCGGTGAGCTTGGGCGGGCGGTCGGCGCCGAGGATGGTGGCGAGCTCGTTGGCCTGGGCCACGAGCTGCTCCTTGCTCCAGTTGAGGTACCTCGAGTGGCCGTTGTAGTAGCCCAGCCACGACTGGTAGGCCTGGCCTATACCGTCCTGCAGCTTCTTGAGGCCTCGCGCGCCCTTATGGCCCTGCAGCGCCATCATCTCGGCCGGCATGGTCTCGTAGGTGGCCAGCGGTCGCTTCGGCTTGTACTGCATTATCATAATTTGCGGATGGTGGACACGTCAGCAAGTGTGCCGTGTACACTCCGCACACCGCACACAAAGGGCGACATGGGTGGAGCGGGGAGCTCACCTCGGTGATGGGCAGTTCGCGAAGCTTGCCTAGGAACTTGGCCTCGAAGTCGGCGAGCAGGAGCAGACCCGATCCCTCCTTGCCGGCCCTGGCAGTACGGCCCAGCCTGTGGATGTACTGCGCCGAATCGGCAGGGAGACCCATCTGCACAATTCACCCAAACGTTTAGTTCAACGCCAACACGACACACACACACGACACACACACACACGAGTCAGGAAGACGGACCTGGAGGACGAGGGTGACATCAGGGTAGTCGACGCCGCGAGCAGAGACGTCGGAGGAGAACATGATGACGTTCTTGCCCTTCCTGAACTTGTCCGAGGTGGATGTTCGCTGGCTCTGGGACTTGCGCGAGTGGATCTCGAGCGTGGGAATGCCCAGGCAGTCGTTGAAGAGGTTGGCCATGAATTGGGTCATGCGCGCCGTGACGAAGAAGGCGATGATCTTGTAGTCCCGCTCGCTGGCCATGTGCTCCCTCACCATCTGGTAGAAGATCGGGATCTGGTCCTTGAACGGGGCGATGACGTACTCCTGCTTGACCTGGACGTTGGTCTGGTCGTCGCCCACCGTGTCGATGGTCTGGTGGGTCGGCGCGATGATGTTGCGCACGAGCTGTGCGAGCTGGTCGGGCATGGTGGCCGAGAAGAGCAGCGTCTGGCGGTGGCCCGTGGGGGGCAGGTACGAGACGATGGTGTCGATGTCCTTCTTGAAGCCCATCTCCAGCAGCTTGTCCGCCTCATCGAGCACCAGCACCGACACCGAATCGAGCAGCTCGCGCACGCCGCGGCTGTTTTGGATATGGTCCAGCAGGCGGCCGGGCGTGGCCACCAGGATGTCGACGCCGCCCTGGTTCAGGTTGCGCTGCTCTGACTTGATGTTGGTTCCGCCGATCACGCACTGCGCGCGGTAGCGGTGCTGCTTGAGGAGCATCTGGGCCTCCTTCATGGTCTGCATGGCCAGCTCCCTCGTGGGCGAGATCACCAGGATCGCGATCTTGCCCGGCGGCGTGAACAGCCTGTCACAAGGCAAGGCACACGCACCACATCGTTAGTCACACGCGTTGTGTGTGTGTGTGTAAGAGAGAGAGAGAACGGGCGCGAGTACTTCTTGGCGTGAAGGCGCTCGATGGAGGGCATGAGGAAGCCCAGCGTCTTGCCGGTACCGGTGCGGGCCTTGGCGATGAGATCCTTGCCGGTCACCGCAATCGGGATGGCCGCCTCCTGCACCTGGGTCATGTAGGTGAACCCGGCCTGCTGCAGGGCCTGCAGCGACTCGCGGCAGATCAGGTTGGACATCGACGCGAACGTCGTCTTCGTCATGAACGGCTTCGACTCTGCAGAGACACAAAACACAACCGAAGAAGAAGGAGGAGGAAAAGAAAGAGAGTGAGCTGCAGTGGAGTTAGCGACACTATCGTGCGCAACGCAGTGATCACAGCAGACAGGCTGGCCAGGCGAAGAGGAAGCGACGGCGGTGTGTTAAGTACCCGTGGCATCAGCAGCAGGAGCGGCGGGAGCTTCTTCATGGGCGGTTTTCTGTTTCTTGTTCTTGTTGCCCTTCTTGTTCTGCTTCTTGTTGTTGGTGGCGGTGGTGGCGAGCGTACCGTCGGCGACTTCGACCTCGCCGAGCGACTCGACGATCATCTCCTCCTCCGCCTCCATGTCGTCCGCGGCAGCGGGCCGCACGAACTCCTCTCCGCCGGTCTGCTCTCGGTGCGGCTGCTGCTGTCGTCCGCCGCCGCGACCGCCGCCTCGTCCACCCCTGCGGCCGCCGCGACCACCGCCGCCGGCGCCGCCTCGTCCGCCATTCTCGTCGCCGCCTCCCCTCTTCCTCTTGTTCACGTGGGCTCCAATTCCGTCGGGCATCGGGATCGCGCCATCAGGGCCGAATCTCGGCTGTTGAGGACGAGAATGATGGAAGCCGGCATGGCCGTTGGGCGCCTCACTGGCGGGGGCCTTGGGCTGGTACCTCTGGCCGCCATTGGCACCGCCGCCTCGACCGCCTCCACCATTGCCGCCAAATCCGCCGCGACCGCCTCCGCCGCCTCGTCCGCCGCGACCTCCGGCTCTGCCCTCGCCCCTACCGCCACCGCGTCCTCCACCTCCGCCTCCCCGTCCTCCTCGCGATGCGCCGTTGCTCCCTCCGTTCGTGTGTGATTGGCCTTCCATCGCGAATATGATGTGTTTCGCGAAAGATCTCTCAAAAAGATTAGCGATCAGGTGTGTGTCGCTACGCGATTCGATAATGAAGAGATGATCTCCGCCGATCCGGCGCCGGTAACGCGACCTACCATTCCCCTTTTATTCCAGCTTTCTGTCTCTACGCGGACTTTCGCACTTTCCCCGATTGCACGAATTGTGCAACGACAACAAGTGGGTGGCAGTGTATTTTTATTTTTATTTGAATAAGAAAATAAAGAGGTAAAATAAAAAAATAATGAAGGCGTACAGGCTAGAGGGAGGGGAGGAGGGCGGACGGGCCAGGGCCGGGGCGAAGCTGTCACTGGTCGGGCGCGAGGTGCCGGTGCCGCAGCCGGGCCGCGGCGACGTGCTGGTGCGGGTGGAGGCCGTGGGCGTGTGCCACCGCGAGCTGGTCGAGCTCAGGGGCGGCCACCCCGCTCCGTTCGCCCTGCCCCTCATCGCTGGCCACGAGGTTCGGTCTCTCCCCCCCCAACACAACGCTCAATGCACGACCTAACGCTTGCCTTCTGCGCTCAGTTTGCAGGAGTGGTGGAACAGGTGGGCGAAGCTGCCGACGGAGACCAGCCAGTGTGGGTATGCTGGCGTGTTTGTCGCGTGGCGTGTGGCGTGTGCCATTATTGACTGAGGCACGCATTGCACGTACCGGGCCGTGTAAGCTGCGCGTTGGTGCCCGGGTGGTAAATCTGCATCACGACCAATGCGGCCAATGTCACACCTGTCGCAACCCTCGTATGTGCACACGCCACCGCACGCCACCGCACCAACGCACAAACGGACCAACGCACGCCCACACGCACCGCATAAGCACGCAAAGATGTGGGTTGTGACAGCATCTCTGGTGGACAGGCGAGTCGTCGCGGTGGTGCGAGCAGGCCTCCGAGTACTATGGCACGACCGTGGATGGAAGCTATGCGCCCTACGTGCGCGCCAAAGTGAAATCCCTCGTTCCTCTCCCCGACGCCGTCTCTTTTGTCGGTACTCGAGCCTTCTTCCATTGTGCAATGTGCGTGTGCGGTGGTGCGTTTGCGTGTGCGATGGTGCGTGTGTGCTAAGGGTGGTGGTTTTGATAGAGGGGTGCTTCCTGATGTGCACGGCGGGCGTGGCCCTGCGCGGACTCCGATTCCACGCCGACTTGCGACCCGGCGAGCGGGTGCTGATCACCGGGGCCACCGGCGGTGTGGGCATCCACGCCATCCAGCTGGCCAAGCGCGTATTTGGCGCGCACGTGGTCGCGCTCACCTCCTCGGAGGCCAAAGCGGCCGTGCTCCGCGAGTACGGCGCCGATGAGGTCATCGTCTGCTCGACCAAGGAGCAGCTCCAGCAGTTCCATCACAGGTACACATGGGCACCACGTCGTCCGCAGTCGTGGTAGTTGTCGTGTGCTCACCGCTTGTGGTGCAGTGTTCGTCCGCCGGTGGACGTGGCCCTTGAGTGCGTCGGCACTCCGACACTGAACTCGAGCATCCGCAGTCTACGACCCAATGGCAGGTACGCGAACACGCACCGCTCGCCACACGCACCACCACCGCACTTGCACGCACATGCGCGCTCACATCAAAGCCGACCAAAGGCTGGTGATCATCGGTAATGTGACGGCCGGCAAGGAGACCATCAACCCGGGTCTCCTGATTCTCAAGGAACTCAAGATCTTTGGCAGCTCCGGCGCCTCCAGGTACTCGTTATTTACCAGTTGATTATATCTATATAATTATTATTAGCAATGTAACCCTGGCCTGAACACTGGCCTGCAGGGAGGACCTGGCCCAGGTGCTGGCGATGGCCGCCGAGCGGAAACTGAAGCCGGTCGTGCACAAGGTGCTGCCGCTCGATCTGGCCCACCAGGCCCACCACTTGCTGGCCGACAAGGGTGTCATCGGGCGTGTCGTCCTCGTTCCCTCCCACGCCCGCACCACAACCGCCAAATTTTGAAGTCAACGTCTCTCTTTCCCTTCTTTCCACTTCGGTATGCAACATTTATGCAAAGTATTCTAGATATTCACCAATCGCCAATTTCCCTCTCGGGTGAAAAGGGCCAACATAAAAGCACGAGTGGCTTCCGCTCAGTTTTTCTTTTCTTTACAACACAATGGCAGTAGGATCCACCTTCTCGAGAATGTGCACATGGAGAGGTTACATGGCGGTGGCAGCCATCGGCTTGGTCACGCTCACCGTGTTGTTCATCTCAACAACATCCCCTTCCACGTCTTCACCTCCCGAGTGCGCGCCGCGAGAAGCTGGAGGCCCCATGTGGGTCACTGCCGACTGCGTCGACCTCCTGTACAGCCGCCCGGTCATCGACAACGTGGTCGACCTCACCAGCCCGGTTCCTCACCGCAAGGTGTCGGGCCACTTCGACGGCACCGAGAAGCGATTCAACTTCTACTTCCCACCAAAGGGCCAGTGGGAGGGCCGCTTCTTCCACCTCGTGTACCCGACCCAGGACGAGATCGCCACCGACGAGGCCGTCAGCTTTGGCGTGGCCAGCGGGGCCTACACGGTGCAGACCAACGGTGGCGGCGGCTACCGGGTCGATGCTGCCGCGGCAAAGTTCGCCAAGGCCGTCGCGGCGAGCTACTACATCTCACCTGAACCGATCCACGGCTACCTCTACGGCGGCAGCGGCGGATCCTTCCAGACCATCGGCGCCATCGAGAACTGTGCTGGGGTGTGGCACGGCGCCGTGCCGTTCATACCAGGCGTGCCAACCTCGATCCCCAATAACTTCTTCGTCCGAGCCATGGCGCGGTTCGTGCTGGAGGACAAGGCGCCGCAGATTGCTGACGCGGTGCGCCCCGGCGGGAGCGGCGACCCCTACGCTGGGCTCAATAACGTGGAGCGCGCGGTGCTGCTCGAGGTGACCCGGATGGGCGTGCCGCTGCGGGCCTGGGAGGACTACAAGTATCTGCTCGGGCTGCACGATCCCCAGGGCCTCCTCGGCTTCGCAAGCGTGGTCCAGGGCCTGGACCCCACCTACGCCGATGACTTCTGGACCAAGCCCGGGTACCTCGGAACAGAGCAGTCGGCCCTCGGCGATCGGTTCCGTGCCGCAGCCAAGCCCAACAATCGGTGGTCTCTGGCGCTGGCCTCATACCACCGGCACCAGGTGCCCAAGCGGCCGGGCTTCTATGCCTGGGACCACCTCAGGGGACCCGATGGGAGGCCGATCTACCCGCAGCGCCCCATCGAGATCGGCCCGCTCATCTCCCGTGGCGCAGCCGGCGGTGGAACGCACACCGGCGCGATACAGGGCAAGATCATTGTGGCGGCCAACCTGCTCGACGTCGACGCCTACCCGTGGCATGCCGACTGGTACAGCACGAGGGTGAGGGAGTCCCTCGGCCAGCAGCGCTACGACGACAACTTCCGGCTCTGGTACAACGACAACGCCGATCACATCGGGCCTCGCACCGCCCGCCTCGTGCAGTCCGAGGGCATGCTCCAGCAGGCGCTCAGGGACCTGACTGCCTGGGTCGAGAGGGGGATAGCACCGGCGCGATCGACACGGTACGGGCTGGTCGACAGTCAGGTCAGGGTGCCGGACGACGCTGCAGGGCGCCAGGGTGTCCAGCCCGTTGTCGAGCTGACCGTCAACGGTGCGGCATGGATTGACGTCGCCGCCGGCCAGACCGTCACCTTCGTGGCCAAGGTTCAGGTTCCGCCGGCGGCCGGCAAGGTGGTGGCCACCGAGTGGGACTTCGATGGCACGGGCAACTTCACGGCGTGGCCCTTTGGTGGTCCCAGGCCGATGGTGGAGGTGTCGGTGCCGTTCACCTACACTACGCCCGGCCTCTACTTCCCGGCGCTGCGGGCGACCTCCCAACGCGAGGGTGACCCAAGCACGCCCTTCGCAAGGGTCCAGAACCTGGGTCGCGTTCGTGTCGTGGTCCACTAATAAAAAACCCTCAACACGTACTTGCTTGGATTGGACGCCGGCGGCACGAAACACACAAATGATTACAAGATTAAGTTTTGCTATCAGCTGGTCTTCTTTGCGCTGTCGCCAACATATCCACATGCACTGCGTCATGACGGAACTAGTATGGCCGCCGTTGTCGCAAGGTGTCGAGGTCGACGGGCATGCTTCGCGGTCTGCTCAAATACGACTCCAACGCGGGACTGCGCACGATACACGATACACGACACGACACACGCATGAAATGAGCATCACACACACACACACACACACACACAAACACACACACACGGCTGGTAGGAATTGGGGGCGGGGTGGGGGAGGAAGTACTCGGGCCGGTAGCCGAGAGACTCCATGGCCTGTTGGGCGCGTTCGAGGAGTTCGGTGTGCTGCACGCGCGCCATCTTGCGCACGATCATCGCGCAGGTGTCGTAGCCCACGTTGACCTCGAGGTCCCGTGCGACGCCGAGAAGCTCGAGTCCGTTTTGGAGCTCGTTGTTGACCAGGAAGGCCGAGATGACGTGGTGAAACGTCTCGGCCGTCGGTCGCAGATCATTCTTGGCCTGCGCACAGACCACAAATAAATACATGTGTGTCGTCGTGTGTGTGTGTCATATGTGTGTGTGTGTGTGTGTCATGTGTCGTGAAGGAGGTACGAGTTGGTCGTAGACTTGCGTCACAGCAGCGAGATGGCCGGGCACGCTGCAAATCCCCTGAAATGGAAAAAAAAAAGAAAGGGGGAAAAAGCGTAAGTGCCCGTACCTGGGTCAGGACCCAGAGCGAAGCAAGCGTTACTAAGTACCTTGAGAACAGCGTGGAAAGACTGGACGTCGGGCTTGAGCCCGAAAGACTCCAACGCCGCAAACGTGTCAAACGCTGCAAAGCAAGGAGGAGACTATTAGGCAAAAGCTATCAATGACAACGCCTGGGGCGAGGTGGAGGTGACGCACCTTTGGAAAACTGCTGCGTCTGCGAACAGGCCTCGATGATGAGATTCAGGTATGTGCGCATCACATCGGGATCCACTTCCACGTCCTCGGAAGATTGCAACTGCTCGACATGGACGTAGACCTGCGTTTTGGGAACCCAACACGTGTGTTCAGACAGCGCGTTGTGCGTGTCATGTCGTGTGCGTGTCATGTGGGGGGGAGGTGACTTACGTCGTCAATGACTCGGCAATCTCGGCTCATGGCTTCGACAAGGGCTCTCGAGGCGTGCGAGCGAAGTCTCAGTCCTTCCTTGTGCATCTCCGCTAGTGTCTGTGTCGGCGACAAACGCTGATGAGCACTGCACTGAACTGAACTTGGGGAAAAAAATGCAGAAAAGAAGAAGGGAAGACTGACCTTGAACGCCTCGGGAAACCGGATGGCGTTGGCTTGCGACCGGATGAGAGACTCGTAAGCAGTGTGTGCGGCATGTCTCGTGCACCCCGCGTGCACGTATTTTTCCTTGAGCTGAACGGAAACGAGAGTCAGAATGGCTGCACGCACCACCGTACATGCACCACTGCACACGCACACGCACGCACCACCGCACACGCACAACACGCACGACGCAGTGTTGTACTGTACCTGGAGTGTGAATTCGGGGTTGGCGCGCCTGCCTGCAAAGACGAGTATCGGCGTGAGCTGCTTTTCGCTGATCGGCGTGTTGCTGGCCTCCATGTGCTTGATGAAGTTCTGCAGGTCGTCGAGCTGCTCGTTGCGCAGACAAATGTCGAGCACCTGCTGAACGTCGTTCTTGCGCAACTTAATGCCCAGCCGCACCATTTCCTCGACAACCTGGCAGTGATCAAATAATCACCGTTAAAGATGCGTGTGCGGTGGTGCGTGCGCGTGCGCGTGTGCGGTGTGCTTGTGGTACCTGGATAGTGTTTCTGGGAAGGGCACGAAGCATGCTAGAGCTGAGGAGAGCATGAAAGACTTCGGCCGAAGGTTGGATCCCCTTTTCCTTCATGACTTCGACTTGCCGCCAACCCCTGATAAAATGAGGCCAAATTTTAAGCACAACGTAGATTCACGCCATGCACCACACGCACGCGTGGCTGCTTACCTGCGGAAGTCGCCGGCGTTGACGTAAGCCAACACGAGCAAGTGTTGAGAGGTGGCATTGGGCGTGAGCCCGTGCCGCACGCCGTACTGCGTAGCAAAAATTAGATTCCTGCATTTTGCGAAAAATGTGGGAAGCAACAAAGCCGTACCAGCAAAATGCTGGCGATACCGAAGCTCGACCCCTGCTTTGCCTCTGCCAGACACTGCATGCCGATGAAAACGCAATTAGTCGATGAAGTAATTTATAAACTAAAGCATAAGAGCTGCAATGATATGGACAGTGGTTGCGCGTACGTTGAGCAGGCCGTTGTAAATATCCAGATCGGGCTGAATGTTGTTCTCATCCATCTCGTTGATGAGCTGAGCGTGGTTGCATGGAAAAGGTGGGAGCGTTGGTGAGAATCAGAGATTCGAAGCGTTCCATCAGAGACATCAGAGTGAGATCAGAGCTAACGCACTTGAAGTGGCTCGTCGGCTTGACCCTCCATCGCGAACGCTCTCACCAGGAGCTTGTACGAGTCGCGATTGGGGATCAGGTTGTTTCTCTTCATAAGCTTCCACAGATGTACAACCTCGCCGGGTGTTCTGCATTTTAAGAAAAACATGCAAAAAATGCTAATGTCAATTTCTCGCTCTACGCCGGGCTCTCAAAGAGAATGGTGTACGTACTCGTCCTTGAGCGCCTCCTTCATGTAGTAATTGGCCTTTTCGACCGTCGTCAGGTCTGATGGGGCAAGCCTCGCCTTGCTCTTTTTCACTAGGTGCCGCACAACGCCACCCGTGAGTCGCACCATCAGGCGAAGAGTGCAGTACTCTCAAGTACCTGGGATTTGTGGCGCGGGCGACCGGGGCGTATCGAGTGCGGCAGGCGTGGGATGTGTGGCAGGTGGCATGGTTGTGACGGCGATCCGCTCGTGTTCGGGCACGTAGAAGTCCTGCAGAAAAACAAAGAAATCGAACGCCGCATTGAGCAATGCAAGAGATGCAGAGAAGGCAGAGAGGTCCAGGGTGTTGACCTCTTCTATGAGCGGGGATGTCCACACATCGGCAAATCGCCGCACTGGAAGAAAATGGCCAATGATGGCATCATAAGTGGCTGCAATAGCAGATTCTAAGAATTGAGACGACGCGGAGTACCGGTTAATCTGTGCAGCCCATGTCGCGAGGTGTGTGTAGTGAGATGGAGAGATGGATGGCGGGCGGCAGATGTGCAGAATCGGGATTTGAGATGAATCGCTGAGCGATTAGCGTAGAACTGTCCCAATCCGCGAGATGTTGGCACCATAGGTGGGGAAGAAAGGCGGGGCAGTGGGTTCAATCGCGAACTGAAGCGATTTGCTGCCTTCATCATGCGCCGTGTTGCCGATCGGTGTCGATTGTGATATCAATCTCCTGTGTGCTTTTTTTCTCTTTTTTTTTACCTGCTGACGTCAGCAAACAATTTGTATTATATTTTTGGTTATTTTCATATCTTTCGAACCACGACGTGCTTCTACTCGCGCGGTGCAGGAAGACGTCGTCCATCTTTTGAAGCGATCAGGTTAGAATCGCGAAGAGGGCTACGCAAATTTTGGAAATGAATTTGTATCCAGAGGAGCTGCGTGAGCCTCCCGTGCCGGTGGTGGCCTTCATCGGTGGCACCAAGCTGCACCAGAGCATCTTCAGGAACCTCTCCGTGGTTACGCTGCCAGATGGAACCAAGCGCCCCCAATTCTTCCCGTTGAGCATGGCTCGCTCCGATTCTCTGCCCCAATCCTCGGCTGCCGCCATGGCCTCATTAGCGCCATCTTCGTCACGCAAGCGAGTGCTCTCGTCGCTCAAGAAGCGCGGTGCAGGTGCAGCGGCATCGATGAATGGACCATCATCCCTTGCTGGCACCTCGCCAACGCTCGAGAGCGAGATGAACATGCCACCACAGGGCGTGCTCAAGGCCAATTGGATGTACAAGCACACGCGAGTCGTGCCGGCCGTGGCCGTTCTCCTCTTCCCCGAGTGGGCCAAGGACCACAAGTGGAAGGCCAAGGAAGCCGAGTTTCACACCATGCTCGACTCCATCAAGTACGTGCTCTGCTTTGCGCTTTGTGTCAGCTACCATATGCGGTTGCAGTATGGGTAGCCTCACGTGAGTGCGTGTGTGCGGTGTGTGCGGTGTGTGCGTGTGTGCGTGTGTGCGTGTGTGTGTAACAGAGGTGAGCTTCGCGCCCGCAACATCCGCACGCTGGTCGTGCTCGTGCAGAAGAGTCCTCCTCGTACGATCGCGCTCCGCTGCACTTAATGGCGCATCGCCCATCATGATTGAGTCCTTTGCTAACCGCGCTCCTTTCACGGTGGGCACAGCCGACAGTTCGCACGAGGAGCGGCTCTCCAATTTTCGCAAGAGGGCGGAAGTGGACTCCAAGCGCATCATCTACTTCTATGAGAGCGACATCTCTGGATCCGTGGGCAGGTACTGCTGCACACTTTATTTCAACAGTTAACATGTTTGACCCTTAAATTAACCACTGCTCGGGGGCAGGTTGGAGAAGCAGATGATGGAGCAAGCGCTGGCCTTCTACAAGGACGTGGCTCAGCGATTGAAGAAGGAAAAGGAAAGGCTCAACAAAAACGTCATTGGGCACAAGGACTACTACGTGCGATACTGCTTCAAGGTCGCCTTCTACACAGAGTTCTCCAAGGACACGCGCATCTCCATCAAGTACGGCATCATGATGCGCCACTCGAGAGTGGTGCTGTTTGCTTTGTTAGTTGTCGAGCTCACCAGTCCGTCGCTCATGATCTCAGGCACTATCTGGATGGCTATATCAACTTGGCCAACTTCGCCGTGGAGCGACAACGCGTCATGGAGATCAAGACCGTGGCAGAGTACATACATTTCAAGGTTACGAGCGCGCATTTTGAATCTATGTCGTTGTTACTCTCTTTGGTCCTCTTATATTGCTCACTGATTGCTCCTCAACTTGCCACAACAGTTGTGCAAGCTGTATTTTAGCACCAACAGCATCAACGATGCGGTGGCGCAACTTGAGAGACACATCAAAACCTTCCGCCGCGTGTTGGGCATGGCCGAAAAGGAGTTCGAGCATTGGGCGTGGTTGTCCCGGCAGTGCGTTCTCTCCCTTCCCTGATGCTACTGCTGTGATCGCCGAGTTGACTCCCCTCCTCTCCTCTCTTGTGCACCAGGTACGAAGTCTTTGCGCAGTTGCTCGAGCAGCATCCGCAGACGATAGATGCAGAAAACAAGAAGTGCTTCCCTGGCTACTACTACCACGTAAGTGCGATTCGTCTCGTTCTCTCAACGTGCAACAAACTCACTCTTGCTCATGTTGTCTGTTCCTGCTTTTTTCAAGGTGGCCGCCATCTATGCCAATAAGCGAAAAGCCATCGCGAAGCGGCTATGCGAGGTATGGCTCACTACTTACGCGCGCGTTGGCCAATATTTGATATCACAGTGGGCTCACGACAGTAATGACGTGATGTTGTATCTATGCAGCCTGTACGTGGCTCGCCGATCCTTGATCGGTACAAGGACATCGACCAAAAGCCGCTGGCTTCCATCGACAGGAGCAAGCAGGTGTTTGTCGGGCAGCCACCAGCTCCGTTCCAGGACCACCCGCTGGAGGCAGGTGCGTTGCGATAAGAGGGAACACACACATGAACGACACCACGCGTTGGCTACGCCGAAACAGAACACTGACTTGACCGCGCTTCTGCCGCCGCACACAGCGGGCGAACCGATGGTGCCGGATGAGATGGAGGATTTGTACATAGCCGTCGCAGCCGAACTCAAGGTCAACCACACCGATTTTGTCATTTCTCTACTCCAAAAGGTACAGAGCAATCTTTCCTTGACACGCGCGCGCAGCGTTCATTCGTCTCTTTGTATGAGCGGGGCAGCTGATTCGGTTCTGTGTCCTATATTGGACCGCTATAGGCGCGAAGCTATTACACGAAAACCAAAGCGAGTCGAATGCTTCTGCAAATCGACGCGCTGCTTGCCCAGCAGTTCGTCGATGCCGCCAGATACGCCGACGCCGAACCGTACGATTTAGCTCACTTGGCGTTCTTTGGTGGTTGTTGTGATGGTGACCGTTGTTGGTGTTTTGCTACCTTGCTACCAATCTTCTAGGCTCTTCCAAGCTCTGGTCCAGCACTACCAGGAGGAGGGATGGTGGCCCCTTCTGAATGACGTACTCGAGAGCGCATTGGTCTGCGAGCAAGACCTCGCCAACGCCCCGGGCTACTTCACCTACGCTCTGCAGCTGCTGCCGGCAGGTTCGGCGCACTAGACCTGCCACCAGAAAGCAATGTCAGCATTGCCGCTGCTGACCCTTTCATCGGTTCCTGCACAGAGATGACCGGGTCGCTCAAACGCAAGCAACAGATCCAGGCCAACATTGTTGCGGCCTTGGCGGTACGTACCCCCAAGTAAGTTCTTAACGAGGCAGGAACGAGGTACACTCACCCCGGTGTTCGTCTTGTTTGGTAAACAGAGAGCGAACATTGATATTCCACCGCTGACCAGTCCGCTTCGAGTGACCGACGTCCAAGCGCTTCATATCCTTTACAATTCACTCCTCTTCATGCGTTTGCATCAGTACTGTGTGTGTGTGTGCCTGTGTGTGTGTGTGTGTGTGTGTGTGTGTGTGTGTGTGTGTGTGTGTGTGTGCGCGCGCGCTCCCTCAAATCGTCGATCCTTAACCCCTCTCTACTGGATTGCTCCGTCCGCTTCGTGGAGAGCGAGGTGCTCGTGAACGAGGAGATGCACCTGGACGTGTACGTCCGCTCCAGCTTCCCTTCGCCCATTCGCTTCGACGCTCTTCAGCTGCAATTCAGCGACACCAGCTACAACGTATCCAGTACGTCTCTCTGGCCTTCACATTATTATTATCCATAGCCTCCCCAAAAGTGCTGATGATGTGGTCTCGACGCTGTCAACAGAGGAGTCGAGCGACGAGGACGAGCTGCTGTTCCAGCCGGGCGTAGAGCGGCACTTCACCTTTACGCTAAACGCTCGGGAGTCGCCACAGCAGCTTCAGGTACCCTGCACGCTCGAGTGTGCGCACGGTTCACTTGATCGCAATGACCGGTGTGATCTCACACTGTGCGCTGCGCAGATCACCGAAGTGCTGCTCGAGCTCGGGCATGCTCCGAATTCTGTTGTCTTCTGTTGGGACGCGCAACAGCCCAGCCAGCTTAAACCGCACGCGCAGGCCGAGGGCTCTGTTGAGGTACTGGGGAGTAGCTCATCGAAGCCCGATGGCGCCAGCGCCAGCGCCAGCCAAGTCATCTCGTACGTTCCCATTTCGTCGCACACACCTTCGCCAGATCAAGTTTCAAATTTTCTGATGTCTGCCCTGCTTCTGGTGCTGACCAGAATCAAAGAGTTGCCGGCCAAGATCGCCTTGAATGTGGTGCACGAACCACCAGCGCTGGTTAACGAGTACTACAAGGTTCACTTCATTCTCGACCCTCGGCCTCCTTTCCGTGGAGAGTTGCCTTGCGCTAACTTTACGACCCTTTCATCGCCACTCGCAGCTCGAACTCAACCTGCAGAACACTGAGGACGAACCAGCATCGGGCTCAATGCGTTTGCACATCGGCAACTGTACGCCTCCTCCGTTTAATCACCTTAGCACCAAGAACATATTTTTTTTTCAGATATATATTACAAATATTAAAACATATCCCACTCCTCCAGCGGCCAATAAGGAAGAGCCACAGTTCTTCGCAGCCAGAAACGACCGAACGCCGGTATCGTAACTCCCGCTATTGCTGGCTCCCATTCACTCCACGTTGTCGGTCTATCAACGTGTGCGTGCGCGGTGATTCGCTACTTGCTAATTGCTGCGAAACAAAGGTGGGCGAGATAGTCTTCAGGGACCTGGCACCGGGTGCCTCTACGCGGCACATCGTCTACGTGTACTTCCCCACAGCCGGACAGAAGAACACTGTCATCACGGTAGGCCACGCTCGTGACCCTTTACGCACGACACGCACGCCACACAGCGTAGACGTTCAGACTAAACCACGTGTTGTTGGCTGTACGGGCGCACAGGTTTCATATGAAACGGCAACAAGGGGCAGCACTGTGTTCGCGACTCAGCTGTCGATCGTCATCCAGCGACCGTTCAACGTGCACTTCGAATTCTACACGCGGGACATGAAGCAGATCCTCCCCTCTTCAACTTCCCAGGCCGCTCCATTCCACCAGCAGCAACCATCGCACCCGCAGGCGTCGCCGACGATCCAGCTCCCCGGACAGCCGCCGGCTTTCTCCGCTTCGGCAGCGGCGGCGTCGAGCGGCATCGGCGCCCCGCCCTCGCAGTCGGCCGACCTGTCGTCGCTCCTCGCCTCCCAAAACCTGTCGGCGTCAACGTTCCTGTCGGCACCGCTCTCGCACCCCGCCGGCGCGAGCGCGATTTCGCCATCAATGCTGCTGCAGCCGCCCGCCATCTCTCTCGCCTCCTCGGCCGAGCTCACCTCCACCATCCTAGTCGAGGAAATGGCCACCGACGAGGACGGGTACTCCGTGTGTCGTGCCGCGTGCACACATGTGCGTGTCTTTCTCATTCTTTTCATTTCATTTCCTTCTTTTCCTTTCCTTTCCTTTTCTCCACGCAGAGTGGTTGTGCCTCCTCCCGCGGTTCCGCTGACGGTCGACGAGCCCTTCTGGTTGATGGTGGAGATGACCTCGACTCCTCCCTATCCTCTCTCGATCGAGCACACCAACCTCGCGATGGTAGTGCATCGCTGCTACGACACTTAACGACACACGACATACACGACACTCAACGACACACGACACAGCTAACGTCGCCCCACGGTACTCACGATTTGGTTTACATGCAGAACACCACCAAAGAGAACGGACCAGTGGCGACCTGCACGTCGACCCCCTTCAAGCCGACGGGTGCGTGCAGCCCATCCACCAGTGAACTATGCTATCAATGCTGTTTGACCACCAAGCTCTCGCTCTGACACCCTCTGTGGTCTGTTTTTTTTTTTTTTTTCGCAACCAACAGTCATGGAATCGGGGCAACGGTACAGCCTGTGGTACTCGATCACAGCGTCGGTCGTGGGCGACAGCGTCAACCTGGCCACCTTCTCCCTCCGATGGAAAAGGTACACACGACCAACGACACACACGAAAACGAGGGATACCGCGTTTCTCCTCGAGACCTCACGTCCGTTGCAGAAAGCTGCGTGCAGGTGAGCCCGAGCCGGACGAGGAGGAGGTAGCATCCTCGGTGGTGCT